AAATAAAAGTTTACTGAATCAGAGAAATGAATTAGCTATTTTTGCCGTCATTTTCATAAATTTTACTTAAATAATATTTAAATATAATTTTTTTTAAAATTGTGACCTGGTAATATACATACTTATACTTGATGTGAAAATAATTTTACATACTGTAAGTAATTCTAATATATTTACTTGTTTTAAAAAGAAATATAGTATATTAAAAATTAAAAGTGAAAATATTTTTAAAATCGTAGTTAAATAAAACGTATTCTAACCTAAACACCCGTAAAAAAATCTTTAAGTATACAAATAGAAAAAAATGCCGTAAGAATTTTTGCCTTTAACAATAATTTAAAAAAAAAATCCTGACGACATGCATTTAACGAATGTCAGAATTCATTGAAAAATACATCCCTACCCCTACCAAAACGTAACTAATAACCGATACAACAGAATACAGCGATAATGAACACGCAACCACCCCTTGTCTGGATGAATGGACTTCTCTGTATCCTTGGAAACGTGAATTATGAATTTTTGCAGTGCCTTTAAAACCCAGTAATTTTAAAAATAAGTTACTCCAAAATTCGCTTGAGGATGAAATGGAACTAATGTCGTTAATTTAATTACAAAATTAAATTCGAAGCTTTAAGCTTGCATTTTTGAAACATGGTTAGAACTGTGTAGCAAAAAAAAAACATTTTAAATCAGTTAATTTATATTAATGCTCTGTAAATTGACATTGAGCATTATTTTGTAAAATTAAAAATATCTATAAGAACACCGGATTATATATCTTACTGTTCTTTCTTTATATATATATATATATATATATATAGTGTCCAGCTTATATTTTATATGATAAAGAAACAATTTACACAAAGAAATAAATAGCAATATTAATGTGATTAATGGCAAAATCACTTCGCTAACAAGACTTAATGAGACATTAACTTACTATTAATTCCTTGAATAATAAGATCCTTATATTCGAGTTGTCAGATGGAAGACACAAGTCAGGTACTTTCGACAATTTCAAATTGTCATCTTCAGAGCGCAATTTTCCCATACACAGACAAACACTAAGATGAAATATGTGTAGACCGAAAGATGTTTTTTTTAATTATTTGATCAACTTCTTTTATAAGGAGTAAGATAAAGAAGAAAACACTTTTAAGGGGAAAAGAGAAAAGGAGAAGAATCAGCCTCGGTCTGAAATAATGAAGAATTCTACTGCAGGGTTACCTTGTGTTAAATTTTGTTTATTAATTTTCATTCATTTTATACAGAAAAGACGTCAGAGAATTATGCAAACAGATAATAACTGATGAAAACTTCGATGGATATGTTGTGAAAGTGTCCACTGCAAGCATAAAAGTAATCGTAAAAAATATATAAACATTTTATTCGCTGCAGATTGAAACTTGAATCTGAAAATCGATTCCAGTATGTGGCAATGAGGCGTGATTATTGCTAGTTTAAAATTACATTTATTGCTTACTTCTTTTATCTCCATTATCAAGAAAGAAGAGACGCTTAAAAAAGAATATCATTTGAGGCCACGCATGGCGGTGCAAGAATGGCTTCAAACGAAGTGTGTACGAAAAGAAATACACAAAATATTCGTACGGCTTAAGATCATCGCTAAGGAATCTGATTCATTGTTCTTGATATTTTTGTTGTTAAAAAAAGCTATAAAAGTGGAAACAGACAATTCTATCCTTTCGGCATTGCTTCCGTTGATTCCTGACCACTAACAATACCTTTGTTCTTGCTTTTCAATGTATTTTTGTAGTAAAATCATTAACATTTCATTTATACAGTTCTGTATTTGATTGCATTCATTCCTGAATAATGATAATATTTGTGGCCATTATTTTCAATAAATTTCTATTTTAGTGGGACGCTTACCAAGTTTTGAATGAGCTGAGGGTTTTAGATGGGAAAAGGCCACAAGATTTTGAGTGCTTGTTGCACATCCGCTACATTTGTGAAATACGCCTTGTTGAGTTGAGACTTTCGTATATGTTTATTTGGATAGCAAAAATAGAAGAAAAAAAATACATCGACTAATAACAACAAATTTATCTACATTATTATACTTATCGATTTTTAAACAGAATAAAGAGAAACGTATGAAAGTTTGTCAATATTCTTTTCTTGTGTGTGCAAAGACAAAATACTTGTGTATTAATTCGACTGGTAAACTTAAATTCCCTGAAATAAGATACATTTAAAAGTACGTTGAGTCGATTTGTAAATAATACGAAGAAGGCTACAAGAAAAGTCGAAGTTATTTGTTACTCTTATATTATATAAAAGGGTTTCCTTTGATGTTAGGTTGACCTTTCCCATGGTAATAAGAGGATCAACTAGTCGCAGGTAAAACGTCGTGTTAACAATCCGGTTAACTGTGCATCTCTGTCTATACAGTTAAATGACCTTTTTTTTTTTTTTTTTTTTTCTAAAATAAACTTCCCAAAGAGTATCGCATATAGATGTGTATATTTAAGTTCTTTCTCAAGTTTTTCATTGTCAGAAAAATAGTTTTATTTTTTATTTAAAAGTTGGACGGTTGTTATATGCCGTGTTTTAAACCAGAAATGATTTCGCTGACGGGTCTTTGTTGGATTTTAATTTCCAGTATGTTACAAACCATCAGAGCGATAACTTTCGATAGTTTTTTAAAATATACATCAAGGCAGCGAAATCTTAGCCGTTGATATAATGGGTCACTTAAACATTTTAAAGACACTGTGCGGTGAATACAGATTTGTAATGCTAAATCACTCATCAAACAGCTAAATTCTGGAAGTTCTTTCTAATATGGCTGTTGAAGGACATTTGGTTTCCTTATTAAATATTCAATCTTTAAATATTTAATGAAACATTGAAGCTTATCGAACAACGTTGTGGTTGGATGTGTAAATATTTCTATGTTTCGTCAGACGGGATTTTTACTGGAAAGGCTCAATGGAAAGGGATGATGATAAAAGTGGTGCACAGATTTGTTGATTTAAACGTTTCCATAACAACCTGGGCTCCGAGCCATCTTTCTCTTGATCAGTTATATAAAAATACACATGAACAATTAATGTTTGGTGAAAACTTATCATGCTTCACATATTACTTGAGTCAGAAGATTAGATATGAAGTCAAGCAAAACTGAACATATGTCTTGCGTTAAAAGAATAAAACTATTTTGTAACAAAAGATTTCTTAATACGAAACATCAATATACACAGGTTGTCATGGAAGGAAAACTTTCCACTTCTATGAGTTTCAGTAAATCAATAAAAAGATTTAAATGACGGAAATAAAATATTTTAATATTACCTTCTCTTCTGACAAGAATAACAGAGAAGTTTTAGAAGGACATGCATGCATAATAAAAGACACTACTTTGATTAAAAAAAAAAGTTTTCTTATTGCAGTTTTTCCTTAACCAAGCATTTCAGCACTGAATTTTTCGCAACCAGTTCGTGGAATTTTAAGATCTTCCCACCGAGATTCGAGTTCCCATAAGCACATTAGAATATCTTGCAAAAATCCTAAATATATAACTTGATCCCAAAGCTTTCTTATATTTATTTATTCTCTTGTGGCTTATAGGAAGTTTCCCTATACATTGATGGACAAAAGAAATGAACCACCGAACTAAGAAATAAATATACAAAAAGACTGGACAAAGGAATATCTATAAATAAAAAAGAGAAACAGTAACATTGAACGACAAAAACTAAATTGCATTATATTCTAATTCACGAAAGCGAGTTCAAATAAGAGTTGTTACTAGAAATAATCCAAACTATAAAAAATACTGTGTAAAATTTTGTTGTGGGGGTTTAATGCTTCGTAGCTACATCTAAAGCAACGGCTAAAAAAATAGATAAAAATCGATGGAATAGAAAATGGCGAAAGATACATTATTTTGCTAAAGTCTCACCTGTTACTTAAAGATAGGTGAAATATCGCGTCATGTTCAACATGACGGATTACCTTGCAATACATTGCGTCAAATTTGTCACTGATGAAGTACGTCGCAATACTAATTACAAGATTGACCTAACGAAAGCCTTGATCCTAATCCTCTTACATTGGATTGAGGCTGTAGTTTGTGCCAATGGGAACCATATTAAGTACCGATGATAACTTTTAATGTCCATAAATACATAAATCAATTTAATTCTTACATATCATCTAGTATTTCTATAACTGTTGCATACCTTAACTTCAGCATCGCCATACATTCATATTTCCCTTCATACTGTGTCAATGTGAAGGAAATGACAAGAACTACAGTTCTAAATGGCCACAAATACAACTCCAGTTCTTTTGCTCGCAACTCTACAAGTTGTATACAGGTGGTATGTGAATATTTCGAGAACTGTTTCGGCAGCTTTAATGAACTTGATAATCAATCAGAAAGGACCTTACAGAGTATGTGCGAACACTCTCCCGTTGGATTACTCAATCGGCATTGAAACGCCTTTTGAGTGAAACTTTGTACTGTAATGCGTTTGCTAATTCTTTATCACTCCATCTGCAGGTTTCTTTTCGTCTTATATCGCATGACCCACGTATGCTGCCCAGTTTTAGCTCCCTGCGAGTCCTTGTTCTTTCCAAAGCAAAAAAAAAAAACGCCGTTGAAAGAAATTTCAGACTGTAGACAAGATGAAAGACAACTCCACAAGGCAGCTGATTGCAATTCTGCAAGAGAAGTTTGTAGACTGTTCTGAAAATTGAAAGAGACACTGGAGTGTGTGAGGTCCCAAGGGTCGTACTTTGAAGCGAAGTAAAGCATCGTTGTCGTTTTATCTTCATTAATATTAACTGCCTGGATGTTTTTTGACAATCCTTGTCAAATACAGGAAGAGCACACTGGTTTATATAATGAATTTGTTTTTCATTCGATAAAAATCATTATAATGAACTCAGTTTTTCTTTAACAAGTGCATATGTATAAAGACTTATAAACTGAATGCGATATTTACCAACGTTTATTTTGTTTGAAGGTTTGTTCCAGAAAGCCGAAGCGATCACAGCAAAAGAATTTATAAGCAATCGGGTATGATTCCTCTCTACACCGGTTATGTGCCACGTGAGTCATTGCTTTTTAATTACTTTTATTGCTTAGATTCTTGTCTCATTTATATAACTTGGGTGAGATTTTCCTCGTTGGTGGACGTTCTTACGTGTACTTCCGATTTTCACTATTAAACTCAGTCAGTTGTCACTTCTTCCGTTATCGTTCCCCTTTCCTCCATGACTGTTGTTTGCTAGATAGAATTTCTGATAATATAGATAAAACTCTCTCTCTATACTCGTCTGAAAATATCTTTGTGTTCAGCTACTTCAATGCTCCTCATCTCCATTGGCTTCATCACTCTAATGTCACTGACTTCGCTCACTTTGAACTTCTCAGTTACTCAATCTCTCACTCAAATAGTAGACTTCCCTACGCGTTTCTCTAACAATTCCGATGGACACGCTTCTCCAGGATTCATGTCGTGCTCTACAGCTATGTCTTCTTGGCAACTCTGACCACGCAAAGTTACCAATGCCTGTTGATATATCTTTCCGCTCTCCTATCAGGCAAGAACCCCAATATTAACAGTATTAGAAAGTCATCTTTCTATTATAAACGTACTGACTGGGGCCCATATATCATTCCAAGGGGTATCACAATACCCATTGGAATGATATATTTTAATCATCCTGTTGAGAGATGTTCCACTGAGGTCTCTTCTTGGGTAAAAGTCGGCATCAATTTTTTCATGCTCACATGAAAATAACAAGTGAAACCACAATCTTCTTTGTTCTCTCCTGTCTGCTCAGTCGTTGTAGCCCACAGGAATCGCTTTTTCTGGCTAAACCAACGCGACAGTCCCGATGATAACAAACGCCACTGTAACCGATCATAATGAGTGTAAGCGTGTTCTCAAAAACGCAAAGTCACTATTCGTTGATAGAATGAGAAATCGCATAGCCTCTCACAAGTTTGGTTCTAAAGATTACTGACCGCTCTATAAGAGTGTACTGAACAAGTGAAAATCTACAGTCCCTCCTCTCTTCAGTCAATTTGAAATGTTTACATATACTGCAGATAACGTAGAATGCTCTGCTCGGAAATTCTCTTCGAACTCCGCTCTCGACTCATCTCTAGTTTCTGCTATTATTTCTAAACTAGATCTCCATAAGGTTCGGGTATTTGACGGTATCCCTGTAATTACCCTAAAGAAATGTGCACCTGAACTTGCCCCAGTTCTCTTTAAACTATACAATAAATGTCTCGCTGCTTTTTGTTTTCCACCTTATTGGACGTCCTCCTCTGTAGTCCCTGTCTTTAAGAACTCTAAGGAACCTTCTGATCCCTCAAATTATCATCATATTAGTCTCTTAACACTTTTATTTACTTTCTCACCGACGTGACGTGGCTCCCCTCCGTCTTTTCGACAAATATTTTCATGACAACTTTTCTGATGAACTTTCTCCGTTAGTGCTTCGACTGAATGAATTTAAATGTGCTACTAGATTGGCAACTATTTCTCGTCGTTTTAATGTTGTACTGGCTAGATTCGACCGTCTGTTCTATTCTAATAGTAAATTTTTTCTCACCTGTGGAACTCCCTTCCGATTTCTTGCTTCTCTGCCAACTACAATCTTCAAAAATTTAAATGCATCGTCAATCATCATCTTCTGTCTTCCCGAATCCTGTTCCTTTTATTGTCTTTTTTCCTCACCTCTCCTCACTAAAGTCTTCTCATTCTCTTTCACTTCCTGTAACCGCCTGTGTCCTAGTGGTATTATCGATTTGCTTGGGGGGATGACTAAAAAATTCAGTATGCAACAATAGCCTTCATCACATCGATGGAAGTATATTTCGTATATAGGTGTCGATTTGATATTTTCGCCTCTACCACTGATTTACAATTGTATGCATTGTATAGACAATACGTGCTGCTAATATGTAACGCGCCTCCATACTAACACAACTGATCAGAAGAATGTTAAGCGCTCAGAACATTGGAGGGATTTTGTTAGTCCTCAACAAATACAAACGTACATAATTTTAAAATATGAAAGCACAAAATGAAACTATACTGCCTTTTCATTTTCTGGTGACTAAAGAAAAAGATATGCCCATGTAGGTATATTTCTTTAATCCTCTACGTAAGAAACTTATCGAATCAATACATGATCAAGTACAGTATGGTACCAACTTCAGTAATTACAATGGCGTCGTAAAGCCAAAACATTGGTTTCAAAAAATAGAAAAAGAAAAGTTTATAAAGACTGTTCTACTTTTAATGTAACAAGAAAACAACTTACAAAAGTTGACTTAATCTGATTCTTAACTTTACACATTTAAAAGTCACTTCTGCGTCATAAAAAGTATTAAACGTCCCTATTAAAGGTTCTGATCAAAAGTTGCATCTTTTGAGAATGACCTTCCTTTCGGTAAGGGTTAAGAAGCCTCTTCTTCATTTTCAGTGAACACATCTACAATGTAAGCTCTCGCAGAGGATTGCGTCTTCCCATTTGTGGGAGTCGCCATGAACATTATACACACATACACATACGTACGAATATTCACCAAAATACAAATTCTTTACGTTCACGCACAAACACAAATGTTTATGTCTATGTCCATTTTAAATTTTGTTGTTTTTAATACATATATTTTCTGATATATATATATATATATATATATATATATATATATATATATATATATATATATATATATCTTGTTGGTTTTCTTTATACTTCATTATGGTGGATTCAATCTCTGAGTCCGCCATGTTCTTGTAGTGGACATTCTTCTAGCAGGAATAAACACACATATTCCTAATTTAACCCACGGTCCGCTACACCATTATGTAAGCTTATGCACTGTGTGACCGTTGCATTCACAATAACCGGGCGAGTAGATTTTTTTTACCTTTGGTGCAGGAATTTTGGTAAACCATCGTCTGTTAGCCCCCCCTCTCCCTCTGCCTTCGACTAACTTTCACAGTCCTGATTTGGTTCCTTACTAACTTCTGGTTTTTCCCAAAATTGTGGAAATGCTATGAACGATATTAAGGGAAATAAGGATCTGAAAAAAAGACTTTGCAAACTGTTATCAAAATTGAAAGAGACTGTACAATAAGTGTGTAATGTCCCAAAGACAATCACGAACGCCATTGCCCAGGCTAAGTAAGCTATTTACCTTTATTTAATATTTCTGGATATTTTTCGAACAAACGTCGTATATAAGATGATGAACATTTTAGAATAACTCTTTCATTGAGAAACTATGGTATGGTAGTGGTTGTGGTACTTAAGTGGTATTATGTATTGTGTAAAATGTACGATTGAGTCAGTAGGTACGACTAAGTTAGAATTGGTAACATGAAGGCCAGATCCCTATTCTTTTCTCAAATTTAGTTGACCTTCTACCATATTTTTCAAGATTTTTAAAAATATTTTTGAAAATAAGATATAAATTTCATGTCAAAATGTTCATTTATTTGACCAGCCACGATACGGGTATTTTTAATGCCTTTTTTCTGGTTTGCTTTTCTTTTTTTTTATTATTATCTTGTATATTTTTCTACATTTTTTCTCACTTGACGTATTTTTCTTCTATTGATTGCAGAGAAAATATATCACCATGGTTACACTTATGGAGAAACAACCCGTTCTCTCCCAGTTTGTTCGCATAACGAACGTAATTATGGTGAATTTGTTAAAAAGACTAACCCAATTTCGGCTTAAGTTGAGGACGACTGGTCAGAAAAAACAAAGTCCTTCAAATAATCATAAAATCAACAAGAACGAAAGGACGGAATAAACAGAAGTAGACCTGACCAGTACCGGAGGAGGAAACTTGTCATCTACATTAAGAAATAAATAAAACAAATATATAGATGTGTGTAATGCATGATATCATACATGATATTGTAGTAGCAGTTGAAAGAAGGGCCAGTGAAAATTGCGAAAGATGGTTATATGTGACGACAAAGTTAGCAAGTGATAAAATATCTCAACTATAAAAGACTTTGGACACACCTGTGCCTGTCAAAATCAAAATAAAAACAACTCACATATATGCAGGCATACCAAAGCACATATACACATATCTAATATAGAAGTGCATATATACGAGGGGGGGGGATGAAAAGTTCTTACCAAACCACTTCCTAAAACCAGTATTTCAATCACTAATCATAAAAAAATTTAGAAAAGAAAAATGAGGAAGGATGTGTTAAGCCTGTTAAACCTTTGGATTTAACAGTGGAAAAAGCAAATACATTTTACAGTCGTAAACCATTCTTAGGACCGAGAACTTTTCAGTATCCACTCGTGTGTGTGTGTGTGTGTGTGTGTGTGTGTGTGTGTGTGTGTGTGTGTGTGTGTGTGTGTGTGTGTGTGTGCGTGTGTGTGTTCACGTGCGGTCACAAAAGCATATATGGACATGGAATTCAGCAAAAATTAGCCCCCATCTTACAAAAAGCAACGAATATCGACGAATAAAATTAAATGTTCAATTTACTAAGAGTTTCGCGGATATGATATCTACCCGTCAGAGGTTGATGAGTGGATACCATATCTGCGAAACTCTGAGTATGAAGAGATAAGTTGAAGATTTAACTTTATTTATTCCTATTAATATGCCCTATCTCATGATATTGAATACTTTAATTATAAAGCTTCCTTGCCTCAAAAACATTATCTTTTAGAAATGCACTGCTTGATGGTTTCATTTATTTATTTGGGGTGCGTTATACAATCTTTGCTTTTATATATATATATATATATATATATATATATAAAGACAAGGGAAAAACTATTCTTACCCGACGCGTTTCATCCTCTGAGGGACTTTATCAAATCCTTACATTTGCCTTGATAAAGTCAATCAGAGGACGAAACGCCTCGTCGGCTAAGAATAGTTTTTCTTCTTGTCTTTTTAGTCATTTTCTTCCTTTACAGATACAGTCTGTCTGAAAAATATATATATAATATATATATATATATATATATATATATATATATATATATATATATATATGTATGTGTGTGTGTGTGTGTGTGTGTGTTAGCTCTATCTCTGATATTAAGCGCTTTCTAATAAGTACCGCGCATATAATATATAAATAATTATATATATATATATATATTTATATACACACACTTTTCACATATATATATATATATATATATATATATATATATATATATATATATATATATATATATGAAATCATTGTATACGTCATCTTTTCTAAAAAGATTACATAAAAAGTTTAAGTAATAAGTTCCAATAATTATACTGAGACATCGCAAATATAAAACTCTTCGTTTCCACCTGATTTGCATTTACTTCTCACTCCAATGATGGTTACTTAAGACGACACATTTTTCAAATCTGTCTAGCGGAAGTTAAAAGTCTTCAAATAAGTCAATTGACGCCTTTGATTGATGTCATTGTGATTTTATAACGTAATATACAACTAAACGTTTTTTTTTTCGTAAAATTTACAATCCGACTGCAAGAAAACCGCTTTATAAATTACATTAATTCTGGAGCCTTAAAGAAAAGTATTTATATCTGATACTTTTCTTATTTTCAAAAATTAGCGATTTCTCATGGGTAATAATTTATTTTGAAAATATATATATCGCCAAGTTTTTATCGATTGTTAGATTTCAAGTTAGCAAAGCATTGACTTCATCTTATTTGTTCCGACAATCATTTAACCAATTTTGTTGCGTCTTCCAGTCTATATAAAATTATTGTTGCCATCATGATTTTTTTTGCTATAAAAGCTTAACACAGTATCTGTCTATACTTCTGAGATGTAGGCTGTTCTAGTTCCACGTGCCACGTTTAATGGATGTCAGTTATCAGTTATCTCCTGTTAATTCCCCTCTCCAAGTTCTCCGCCGCCTTAACCGGGTATTGAACTCACACTCTTTGGGCCCTGTCACTGGATCTAACCAACGCCTTTATCCACATGTCACATGACACAGCGGATAAAGGCGTTGGTTAGATCCAGTCACAGGACCCAAAGAGTGTGAGTTCAATACCTAGTTAAGGTGGTGGAGAACTTGGAGAGGGGAATTAACAGGAGATAACTGATAACTGACATCCATTAGACATGGCACGTGGAACTAGAATAGTCTACCCAAGTGAGCGAAATAAAGGGTTCAGTTCTACTTTCCAACCACCTGAAACGGACGAAACGTTGTAATAAATATGGCGACAAAGATGAGGTCAATAGTCCAAATAATGTAAAAAGCTTAACACATCTTGACTGGTAAAGGATTATACTTCACCAATTCTATGTTAAACCAGTTTATGTTTACTTATTCTTAGATTATTGCGAATTTTTTTTTTTACCAGAAAAATGTTCGCATCAACTTTAAAGATCCAAGTTGAAATTACAAAAAGAAAAATATAATTCTACAATTCCCATATTTCATAAAAGTTTTAAGTAAATGGGTCGTCAAAAATGGACGCCAATCGACTTTTTGCCGAAAATTAAAAATAAAATGAATATATGGAAGTTGTGTACATTTTATGTAGCTTCGTATTCAATATGCAAACACAGAAGCATACAAAACTAGAATTTCTCATACGGACGTTTATTCTTTTTATGGTTACTGTATTGAAACAAAATTCTCAATGTCTTTTGAGTATGTCCATTTTCCTTTTTGCTTAAAATGGTTGAGCTCAAGTCAGCTTTGCGCTGAGTTGGAACGTCCAATTCACTTACTGCATGAGTTCGAACGATGCCGTTGGAAGGTGGAAAAGAGAAAGATTCTGTTCTTTCCAGAAGTAGGATCACAAAATTGCGTATGTAACCAAAAATCCTTTCCGGTTTCTTTATAACTTGCATCATGGGAAAATGATTTTTCTTGTTATTCTTTATTGTTGTTTTATTTATTGTTTTTATTTCATTTTCCCACAAACACATCAAATCTCTCTGGATATAGATAATGCAGCTAGATATTTTTCTGAAAGGCTAATCGCTTTTTAAATATAACTTTTAAGAAATAACACGTCAGTTATAATATATATATATATATATATATATATATATATATATATATAGTCATCCACGGAAAGACTGTTTCTCTGTATCACAGCTCATCAGTGTGGCTAGACGTCCGGTTGCCTCTAGCTAGGATTAAAACCCAACTAAATTAGCGTCAGTCGGTGATTCTACCACTAAGCCATTAGCGCACGGTAGGGATGAAGGTGAATTTAAGCGCATTTATTTTTAGATAAACACACAGTGACTGAGAGGACTCGATAAAGCATTTGAAGACGGTGGCTTTATTTTGCTGATTTCGATGCCCGTGTCCAGCAATGATATTTTTGATTACTCAACGTCGTTTTCATGGCTCAGTGAGATAATCTTTGATTATCTGACGCGTTTAAAATCATTCCTCCTTTTGTGTCCAATCATATTTTCGAACTTTGTTGTGATAATGAACTCGTATTCTGTGATATATTTGTTGGTACTGTACTATTCTCCAACAATGGAAGCCTCTAAATGTTATGACGTCTCCGGCGAACGGACGTGTGACGAGGATAAAGAAAATAATAATTTGGAAATCTAAAGACAGAAGCAAGATATTTTACACTGTATCCTATTTTTATACTGAATACTACGAGATCTCAAAGTAAGTGACCTTATCTCTTTTCTATTCATTTTTGACTTTGTATGTTTGTAATTTAAATAATGTCAAAGGATATACTTGATTGGTCGTGATAGAGGAATTTTACTTTTATTTTGTTTACAAGGACGAGATCCAAGTAAATATGAACTAAAACGGATGCTTAAACTTTTAAAACCAACCATTGATACAGATTTTTTTTTTAAATTGCATATATTGACAATGGTTTTTAGTATACGTAGACAAATCGAATATATTTTCCAAACTGTGACGAATTAACCAACTAGAAAACAAGCCATTTTGTTTGTCGAGTGTTTTCATTCCATCCATCAAAATGGACCGGCGTCAAAGTCATGAATTATGTTTCTTCATAAGTGGTCACGGACATTAACACGATCGACTTTGTTGTGAGTGAGTCTTATCATTTGATCAAAAAATTTATATCAAAATCAGCGCCGTGTATAAAAATGTGGTTGGCCATTGAAATTGTTTTTGCATTTATTTACTATGACAACAGTTAGGATCCGACAGCGTGTCAAGTGGATAATTTTCATCGTCTTCTTTTAAAGTATCAGGTTAATGTTGTTATAAACACGTGTATGGTAGCACGAAAGAACAAACGAAACAAGTACTGCCGGTGAGGCAGAAGGAAAATAAAACAAAAATTTGTTTACATTTCTGAGATGAGTTATATTGTAATTATTTACACTATACACATTGTTCGGACTGTTGTCCTAATCTTTATTCCAATTACCTGAAGAGGTCCGGAACGTACAACATCCGAAACGTCGGGAATATAGCAACAAAGATGAGGAGAACAGTCTGAACATTGTAAATAGTGTAAGAATAGAATTATTAATATAAAATTCTTTGTCTTGACAATACAGCCTATGCCAGTTGAATGTTTTTAATATGGGCAAGGGAAGCATCTTTTGAAAGAAGGGTAGAGTTAGTATGGCCTGGAGTTGATGCGTTTGTCAGGGTCGTTTGACGGAAGTCCTTGGTGGTGACGCTGTGAGGTAGCCAGGTGTCGACAACTGGCTCGTTCGCCGCGATTGTGCTTTTGTCGATACAGAGGGTGCGAGTGGAGAGCGTCTATGTGAGTAAGGTGTAGTGATTTGGACGAGGAGAGTCTCAAGTGGATGTGTCAGTCGGGTCGGTTGACCGAGGTAACTGTTGCAACGTTCAGAGCCAGCCGGGCGTCAGGAGGTTCGTTCGCCGTGATTCTGCACCTGTTGATTATGACCGGCTTTCGTAAAAGCAAATTGTAAAAGCTTATGTTTTGTTCAGGTTTTATCTCTGGCGGCAACGTTCGTAATTGGCTTATTTTATGATGTTATTTTATATTTTTGAGGGGATTTATTTTGTAGACTGGATGTGATGATCAGAGTCCCTGCGCAGAGGACGACTTTTTTATTTTATTTTGGGTTTTGCTTTCTTAGCGTTCACATGCGGACGATAGAAAATATCTAAATTGAAACAGAGTATAACAATGTGAAGGGTCAAAAGGAAAATAACAAGAGGAGAGACTAAAGAACTATATTGCTCATCATTGCATTGATAGTTTTAAGTTTAATTACTTTATAAAATTAATTTGACCTCTTCTCACTAATATGGGATATAGTGTTCATAAAAAAAACTGCCACTTGGTGTATATGATTAAGCCGTAGGTCAACTTTCTCTTTACACCCAAATCATTTGGCCTTGTACCCCATTTTGTGTGTGTGTGTGTTTTAATACGTTTGTCTTTCATTTTTTTTTTTTTGTAACAAAAAAGTTCTCTGCAACAGAGCTTCTCAAACGATGGGGTCACAGTAAACGTTGGATTGTATTTTAAAGAATAATTAAGAAACTAAAGGATTTTTTTTTATCCGTACAAATATATATTTCTTATCGTGCTGATATATTTATTATAAACTGTTTCAAGAATTTAATAATTTTTTAATAAATTTGGTTTTTGTAATTTATTTAAAACCCTTTTTGTTGACAATCTCCGACTCAATCATTATTCACTGTTGGCAACTATCGCAAACTACTTTGTAATTTTCAAATTGAACCTGTTGTAAAATGCTGTAATAAAAACATTCGTCATAGGTGGGCTTATTCGATTTTAGCTTAAAATTCAACGTTCGATTTTTTTTAAAAAGTTGCTGCATTATGCATTACATCAAATTTGTATTTTTTTTTTTTAATTTGACAATGCTGCTGTTATCTTAACACGAATGTCTACATGATTTGTGATTAATTTTTGGCATGTGAAAGCATGCATTCCCATTCAGTAAAGTTAAAAGGCATCTTTAATACAAGACATTTTTCTTTTGTAAATACGCATTCGGTGTTTTTGTTCTTGAAGGTTTACTGAAGTCTTAAAAAAAAAAAAAAAAAGCAACCTCTTTCAATGGCTTATGTACAAAAGGACACCATATGAAGCGTCGCACTGAATTGACAAAGCATAAATCATTAACAAATAAATGAAGTTGCCAATCATGAAAAGAAATGCAGACAAAATATTATTTCATTATCAAATGAGCTAACAATTTAGCGCTTTAAAAATATTCAATTTCATCTATATAGTAATAATACATTGTCATAAAAGATATTTCATTTTAAAAATGCTAAAATATAGTAATGATAATAAATTTATAGAAAATTAAGACGTATGTAAACAAAGATAGAAGCAGCAAAGAAAAAAACAGTTTCTGCTACAAACGTTTATTCCTTTTATGTTGACTGCATTGAAATAAAATTATGTCTCTTGAGTATGTTCGTTTTCCCTTTTAGCTTGATTTCTAGAAAGTAAGGATAAGAACGGGTAAAGATGGTCGAGCTCAAGTGAGACTCGTGATAAGTTGGAACCTCTACTTCATGAGTAGACTGCTGAAAACAGGTTTGGCGATGTCGTTGGTAAGTGGAAAAAGTTTAATCGTCAGTGGGCCGAGGAAACATTCCCCAGTGGAACGCTATCACTGCGTGGTTCACGTCTTGTAAGCCAAGAGGAGAAAGAGGAAGATTCTGTCTTTTCCGGAAGTGGGGGTCATAAAATCGCGCATGTAACCAGAAACCCTTTCCGGTTTCTTTATAACTTGCATTGTGGGATTTATTTTTTATTTTTATTTTATTTATTGGTTTTTATTTAATTTCCCCACAATATGCAATAGGTGAAATCGAAAATATAAGCATTTAGGGGAAAAAATGAAACCAGGAAAGATAAACTTGAAAATAACTCGTTTGAAATGTTTTTATATAAAGATAATTTTATTGTTGTAGCGAAGGAGTAGAAGTTAATCTGAATAAACATATAATTGATCACTTGGCTTGTTTGAAAAAACCGTACGGGCAATTCAACCGATTTTAACCAGTTAAGATGGAACTCCAAACTTCCTGTTGTCGAAATGAAGCAATATCTCTCACTGAAAGCTAAAAGAATTGACAGAGATTTATATATAAAAGACGAATGAAAAAAAAAAAAAAAACACTTGGTGTTAAATTCCTAATACTGTCACCGATGGCATCTCATTTGCCATTTGCTGCCACCGGTTTCGAAGATTTGACATTTAAAGCAAAATATCGCTTAAGTCATTTACATTATTCAGACTGTTATCCTCATCTTCATTGCTATATTCACGTTTCGGCCGTTTTATGCTCTGGCCTCCTTCAGGTGATTGGAACTTCGAACCGAAACCTTTATTCCGTCTACCGGGTTAGATTGTTCTAGTTCCGTGTGCCATGTTTCTTCCGGATGTCTCAGTTATTTCCCTTTAACTCTACAAGTTTTGGTTCACCACTGCTGTGGCCTGGTACTGAACTCACAACTCTTTCGGTCTAGTCACTGGATTTAACCAACGTCTTTAAAGAGAGAGCTCAGAGATATAAACAGATAAGCCTTAAATATATTGAATTTGCTTGCAGATCAGCACTAACGAATATTAACTTAAAATTTGACTGCTTGTGTCGAAATAACAAGTGCATTCATACCACAAAAAAGGCAATTTTTAAAGTTTTCATTTTTAGTTTTAATGATAGTGTTATGAAGGTATCTCATTCACATACAATACTACACCTATCTTAACTGAAATGGCCTCATGCCCTTTCATTGATCTTTAACTTCTAATTATTCTTGGGAATCTAAATTGTCTTTCTTGGTGTGTATCTTGATTTCTTTTTACAGGGGACCTCAGTGTGAATTCATTTTCCTCTTCCGACTCCTTGTCAGATTTCTGGTCATTAATATCCATAGATTGTTCAATTTCACTACTGGATTCATTAGTCCCCCTCCATTTTCTTCACATTCAGATTCTTCATCCATTTCTATATCCTCGGGTTCCATTCTGCTTCTGAATTGATCCAGATGGGCCAGTACATTTTGTCTATTTTATTGTTAATATTGCTGTGTCCTTTCTGTACTACAAAGTTTGCCTTCTCTGGATTAGATTCTTTGTCTTTTTTATATCATACACTTTCACTTGTTGAAAATGGCATTGTTATGGGAGCTCTAATCTGTCTACCCATTAATGCAGAGGGCTTTGTAGTCTGCTGGCATTTGGAATTGTCCTATAGCTTAACAGTAATCTTGGTAAATAACTTTCTATATTATCATTAAATGGGAAAAATGCTTTTAGTTCCATCTTCACAGTCTGCACCATTCTTTCTGCAATTCCATTCAATTGTGGATGGTAGGATGGTGTTTTATTTGGAACGCATCTAATACGCTTTAGCCACAAGCACAAACTTTCCTCACAAAATATTCACACATTATCTGAGATCAAAGTTTTAGGCACCACATTTTCTGAAAATATTGTTCTTAATATTTATTTTACAGTGGTGGCTTTTCTGTCAGCAACCTTAGGTCCACTAAAATTAAAAATAGCCCCATGTCTTTAATATGGGCATAATCCACATGTATCTGAGCCCATGGTTCTTTTTTCTTTTTTTTTTAAAGGCCATGAGTGAATTTTGTTTTGCTAAAAAAATTTTTTTTATTTCAGCACATTTGGAGCATTTTTTTTTTTACATAGTTGAGAATACCTCTTGAGAATATCTTGGCCACCATGCATGTAATTTTAATCTCATTTATGTCACTGTTATATCACAATGTACATAATCATGTATGCCTTTTAGTACTTCCTTTCTTTGTGGGGGTAGTATATCTCCATTGCATATCATACCTTTCTCTACCACCCACAATCGAATGAAATTGCAAACTTTTACTGTAAACTGTTTTTAATCACTTCAAGTTGCTGGAATATACATTGATCAGACATAACCTGTACACTAAAAAATTTAAATTTGCTGAGAAAGATCATGACCAAGTAATTAATTAACATTTGATTCCTGTAGAATAAACAAATTCTCTTAAACAGAATATAAAAGCAGGGTTAATAACAAAACAAATTTTAGCATTTTATTTACAAATTAGAGTTGGCATACACAAATAAATGTATGTTTATACCAATATACAGTTATTTATTCATACATATATATATTACATATTTATACACACATCTCAATGTTTTCTTTTTTGTTTATTCATTTTATCATCTTCTTTTTCTTTAAAGCTTTTTCAGGCCGAAGCAATTCTATTTTCCTCTTTTTTGCTTGCTTCTTAACAAGATTCCTTTTAATTTTTCTCTTGTATGCAATTTCAGGGTTTGTTATCACCTATAAAAGAAAACAGAGCTAGAATTAACATGGAAAAACTTATTAAAATCTATTATATATTAACACTATCTGTCTGTCAAAGGCAAATTTAGTCAGAATGGGTTTCCAAGTTAATAAACTTAAAACAACACTAATTATATTATTTACTATTCAGTATCAACAATAGCATAATTTTGCCATGTCTAATTTCAGCCAAATGGCAAGGAAATTCAAGCGTTATCTCCCTTAAAAAATCATGTGATATTTATTGACAAGTCCAATCACCCTGATTTACCACATTGTTTCTAAAAACACTATTTTTTCCATCACAACTATTTCAGCCAGCTGTAAAAAGTAGAGTTTCTAGTGACATTTAAATTTACATCCATCAGCTTCAGAAAACCTAGTTAATCATGAATAGATTTGTTGTTCTTCCAGCCAAGAGTTCAGATAGTTGATTCGTGCTCAATTGGCAGCACAGCTAATATGATTAACTAGGTTCTCTTAGGCAAAGGAATGTAAGTTTGAATATTAGTCCAAAATTAATAATGGTTCTCATTGCTACATTTAATAAAAAATATAATATTCTGCTATTTTTATATGCTAGAATTTTTTTGCAACACACTGACACATATTGAAATCTTCACAATATTTAGAATTGTTGAAGTTATAGCTATCATTTTTGGTAGTTTAATTCAATAAATAAACTTTTAATTTTCCAAAAAAAATGAATGAAAATTTATTGTAATAAGCTATGCAGCCTAGTAAAACCAACTATACTTTGTACCCCCTTAACTGTTTGCACTTCTTCCCAAATTTGGTTTTGATTGGTCAAAGTATGGCTATTTTAAAGCATGTGACAGATGGTTGGACAAATGGAAGTCACAGAATTTTATACATAGATAATTGTTACACTTTTCAATCTGAAATTATTACCATGCTCTCATCTGCTACCATGCTCTTAAGTAAGTAAATAAATTTTCAAACAAAATTGAATTCTACAGAACATTGCCTTAATCACAAAAACATTTCTGTGATCTTTCTGCCATGAAAGATAGGCTCCCAAAATTATTAGATGCAAGTCTTGTCAGAAGATTTGTGCTTGAACAGAATAAATAAAATGTGCATAAGAAACAGCTAAGAATTTTTCAGCCCAAGCAACTTGCAAAAATCTGACAAAATTTTTTTTTTAAATCCCTTTTTGAGTGGGTTGATAATAGAGCTTCCCCTCATGATAATAGTGAAAATACTTTTGTAATTATTATTATTATTATTATAAATTTAACTAATGTAAAATCGCTTACCTGAATAGCTTTCTTTCTCTTACGGGATTCTGATCTTTCTTTCCGGTCTCTGTGTACAATAGCATATTTGTATGAGAAGACTTCTACACCAACTGTGTTCTTCAGCAGTTCCATGACTTCTTGTGTCAAATTTTTCAAGTTGGCATCTGTGAAGAAAACAAAAATTAGTGGCAGAGAGCTTAAGTAATAAATGTGTAGAGTATATGGCTCACCAAGAAAAGCTAGGAATAAAGATGACCAAGGATGGAGATTGGTGATTCACTCAGAATCAATGGTAACCCCAACAGTAGACACATGATTGAACCATCTGTGCCTGAGGTATGTATGGGGAAATAAACCACATGACCTATATAAAAATACCTGTCCCAGAGACAGATCTTTTAAACTGTACATGAGAATAGAATATCCAGATGAGGGGGCCTTTAATTATTGATGAAGTCCAAAGTTGATTTCTTTCCTTTATTTGTTTAGCGGCATATCAACTCTTTATGGGTCATTTAATGTTGAAATTTAATTTTCTTGAGAGCATTAGTAATTTCTTTTACAAAAATGTATTGCTGGTAATATTTTTTTTCCAAATATATATTGCTGGTAATTTTACTATAAAAATCTATTTTTATACTTTTGTAGTGTTTTGACCCCAGTTTGGGGGTTATGTATTTGCCAATTGCTGGGACCCTAACAGGGGATACCACCCCAGGTTAGGGTGAACCTGGGAACAACACTCCTCAAAACCTCCCAATCAGAAGCTTTGCAGCCAGATGTAGTTTATTATCATACCCAAGACAGTCCAGAGTTGAATAAAATCCAATGAGATTTAAATTTTGTGTTTTCATTATTTGCTATGATGATAATATTACAAAAATATTTGAAAGATAAAAAGAAACAATGACATCTGTGAAAAAGTGTGCATGCTTAAATTACAAAATATGGTTATCATTATTTTATGCAGCAATTATTAATTTCTCTCTTGCAGTTAGAATATTATAACAGTATTGTTCTAACAAAAATCTTACTACGATGTGCTATTTTTGTTCTGTTAAGCAAAAAGCATGTAATTAGAAATAGTCTCATTGGTGAATGTTATTTTAACTCACATCTGACACCCTGGGAGGCCGATTTTCACGGAACATCACTTTAATTATTGAAGCAGTTAAGTGGAGCACAAATCTATAATCAATCAAGCATCTAAATGGAACACAAGTCTATAGTCATTTTATACAGTATATAAACCTGACCCCCCCACATAAACACCAAACTTCCATTTATGTATTATGACATTAGGTGATGTGGAAATACTACTAGTTTTTATTGTTGGGAGAAACCTTAACTTATAGTAAGATGCCTCAAATTTGTATATAATACTAAAAAGATTTTTGGTGAGAGAGAAGAGGGGTAGTCTTGTATGACATTAAATATGGTATTGTTAACAAAAAGAAAAATGGAATACATTCTAAAGTTTTCAGTGGCAATAACACAAAATTTATAAGTGGTAAGATTACATATAATTATTAAACATTACTTCTGTCCCATAATATTTGTTACATTTTAGTGTCTGAAATGTATATGAAAATGTAACAACTCTTATGAGAGAGTAGAAGGATAGACATTATTTAACTTACCTTGAGTACGGACTGTATCATTGAGCTCTCGGTGTAATGCAGGAAGCATGATGTGTAACACAGAGGCTAAGAGATTTGCCCCTAGGTCCACAGCAACAGCAGCAAACCATTTAAATACAAATGAACGCTGAAATAAATACACAATGAGAAAAAAATAATATGCAAATTTGGGGTATATAGTTTTTTTTGCTTTTTTACCACACATGCAATGTAAATATCTAAAATTGATTAGCCTTCTCAAATGAGAAATTGCAATCTAGTCTCTTGTGTGATAGACAAGAACACAAAGCTACTGGGGACATAATTGCCTGAATTTTTCTGTTTATATTAGTAACTATGTTCTGCAGGAAAGAGATTTTCTTTTACCTTATAGCAGGCCTGTTATAAGTATGTTTTTTGGGGGAGAAGAGTCTTCAAGTAAGAATTTTCAGAGTAAAATTAGTTCACATTTTCACAGAGGTAGGGATGATTTTCTAAGGGGTGCTCTTGTCTTGCCAATGGGCCTACCTTATGGATTGTCCAGACTATTCAATAGAGTTCAATAATGACTGTCCCCAAGATTATACACAAAATAATTCTACTTTGTCTCCTCCCAAACTGTCTGTATATTGAACTAGACACACTGATAATAAGTTTAAAGAATCTAGACTGAACTTAGAAAATCTTTTTTATTTTGGTTTTGTGTTCTTTAATCCCAAACAGTGAAAACAATGAAATCACTGTCCATATGATCCATTGGTTAATAATACAAATTCTGCCAACTTATATGCAAATAACAACTTAATCAAATCAGAAAGACTTAAATACAGTCTTAAAGACTGTACAGTTTAATTTTAGGAAATATTTTCCTTTTTAGGTCAAAATATTCCAGATTTACTTATCAATACTGTAAAAATAATTTTTGTCTAATTTTCCTTTTACAAAAGTAAAAAACAATTTAATTTTAACACTTCAAATTTTAAACTTGAAATGACCAATCTTTAATGGAGATACCACCAAAGGTTTGCTAAAAAATGAGAATAGATAATGAAAAAAAAATGACCCAAACTTAATAAAAACAAAGTTTTGTCATCAAAATCTTTATTATTATTATTAAGAGGAAAGATCAAAGGATTTTTGATCATTAAATTACATTTTTTGGTTTTTATTAAAACGTCCAGAATTTTGATTAAAAATTTTGTTTTTCTTACGTCAACAGGAGGACTATAAATTAGTATAGGAAATTTTAGCATCTTTTTTTGCAGTGAAAAACACATTGATTTGGAAATTCTTGCAAAATTCAAATAATTGTCAGATTTTAATTAAACTTTCAGGAAATTATTATAAAATTATTTGAGAAACATTTATTTTTTAGAGAATCTTGGTAAAAATTTTCTTTTTACATCTGTTACCCACCACTTATTTAATTTTATGAATTTTTGAGAAATTCATTTTTGTACCAGTTAATGCTTAATGCTTACTACAATTCAGTGACACCCAATATTTTAAGAATTTTTAATTCTGTGTGTGTGTGTGTGTGTTTATGAATGTGCCAAATTTTGTAAATACATGTCTATACACAACATTATCATAAATAAGAACAGTAACTATAGTAAATTTAAAGCCAAAGTACCTAAAATTAAATAAAATATTAGATTACAGAAAATATTTTCCTGAACTTTTATGATTACTGGGTAGTTAAATATTCCTCAAGTAATTTTAACAGATATGCCCACCAAAGAAAAAAAATTAGATAAAATTCCATCTGTCAATCAAGTTGTCAACACCTTAAATAAAAAACTACCTCAATGTTAAAAAATGCATTACTAAATGTATGTAATATTTATTTCAAATCAAATTAAACTTTAAATCAGTTAATATTCCTCAAATAAAATTTCAGAAAAGTGTATTTTATTTTTGAAAGATTTTAAAAAAAAAATAAAATAAAATTTTGGCCAAAAATGGTGCTAAAATCAGTGATTTTTAGCAAATTAAAAAAAAATCTTCCAGTCAATTTAAATTAGTTTTGAATTACAGCAAAGTATTTTGCTTATTGCAAATATTAAATTTAATCTATTAGCTTGAAATTAAAACTAAAATGAAAGTGTCAAGAAAGATTTTTAATTCTTAATAATTAATTTTAAACATTAGGTATCACGTTTCTTTGTAGGTACCTACTTTAATGCCTTTGTTCATTTTATGGATCTTAAGTTATTCTATTTTATAATCCATGAAATCTAATATAAATTTTTTTGTTATAATATCTTTCATTTTTAACCACTTCTTAATGTCAGAATAATACCAGTTGTTAATTTCTATAAATAATCATATTTTTTTAATACTGTTGGGACATTTCTTTAACTCTGAAAAACACATTGGATGTAAAAAGAATAGGGCTTATTGAAGGTTTCATAAACTCATTAATATAAATAAATACATTAAAAAATTCTTTGCACAAAAATCTAATGAAAAGAGTTAAGAGCGATTTTGATCATCATTTTTTTATGAACATATTAAAAAATTTAAGACAAGCAAAATGAATGAAAATGCTGCCTCGTTACCTTTAATGTACACTTGGGGTTATGAATGTTTTCATAATGGGCTTCTCTAGTCATTTTACGGACAATCCAGGGCAATGTAACCTCAGAACTTTCATCATCATCAGGGGTTTCATTTTTCCACATCTGTTTTTTCACTTCATCAGATATATCTTCTTCACAAGATATTAATTCTTCATATTCTACCTTTTCTTCAATCTCATCAGTTTTTTCTTCTTCAACCTTTTCTTTTTCCTTCTCTTCCTCTTCAACATCATTACTGTATTTCTTCAGTATTTTTTCTAAATCTTCCTCTTCCTCTAAATCTTCTTCCTCTTCCTCTAAATTGTTTTCCTCTTCATTTTCATCAATCAGTTTTTCTTCATATTCTACTGTTTCCATTTCTTCATCCTCCTCCTTCTCCATTTTAGAGTCATCTTCTATTTCATGTTCTGTTACATCTTTTATTTTACTGTTCTCTTCCTCAACAACTACTAACTCACTGTTTATCTCTGGCACTGATGAAGGATCAATGATACCTTGTTGTATATTTAAACGTTTGATAACTTTGGCTAAATACACCAAATTCTTTACAGCCTGGAAAAAAAAAACAAAAAAACTAAGCATTTCTGAATCAAATACAAAGCATAAACAATACGTTTCCACTTATCAAAAATTTGCATACATTTTTACAGAAAGTAAAAATATTTTCATGTTTTTTAATTTTTGGGGAGAAACTTTTTTTTTTCATTCTTTATTAAAATATTTGACACAGAATAAGTCAACTTTGCATAAAAAAGTAAAAAAAATTAAGCAAAAAGTTAGAAAAAAATTAAGTTAAAAGTAAAAATAAAAGCTAAAAGTAAAAAAAAAAGAAGCTAAAATAAGAAAAATTAAAGGCTAAAAAGAAAAAATTAAGCTAAAAGTAAAAAATTAAAGCTAAAAAAAATTAAGAAGCTAAAAACAAAAATTAAGAAACTAAAAATAAAAAATAAGCTAAAAATAAAAAAATTAAAGCTCAAAAAAAGAAGCTAAAAGCACAGAAAAAAATAAGATAAAAGTAAAAAAAAAAAATTAAAGCTAAAAAAATGGAGGAGGAAGGAAACCTATGACAATGGCGAATTCTTTGAAATTATTTCTGTTTTAATTCTTTATATAGCACATATCCAACATATTTATGAAGAATATTGCATCCCATCAATATTAATGTTAAGAATGAGAATTATGAATTCATAACAATATTTAATACATTAAGTTTTAAAGGTTAAGACTAACACAGAAAAAGAAATTGCGAAAATCTTTTAAAAATTTTTTTTTTAGCAATACAAAAAAAGGAAAGTAAAAATGGAAGGAAGGTATTGGCAGTGGTTTGCATAAACATCTAAAAATGAAAAATCAAAACATTACTCACTTGTTCTGCTTGTGCTTTCTGTAAAAGAGGAGATTGTAATTGGGCCACAGAATCCATGACCAAACTGTGAATCTAAAATAAATGAAATACATTCAGTCAATTTGTATTACCAAATGCTGCTTGTAAAAACTGTTACAGTTTAACAAAAACACTGGCCTGTCAGATCTTATATTTTCTAAATTCAATAACAAATAAGTCACAAGTCTTAAAACATCTTAATACTTCAGAATAAAAGGTTAGTTAATTATTAAATAATTGTATTATATTATCATAGTTAAAAGTATCCATGCTATTTATTTCAAGTGTGTATGCAAGCAGGACCAGAGAAAATTTCATAATTTTCCTATTTGAATTTTCTCATGAATCGTAATTTTTAATTTAATGATTGATTAAGCTCCTTACAAATTCTACAACTATAAAATACATGTGGAAATTCCTCCCCAACCCCCATAGCATTGTTAAATATTTGAGCTTAACACCATTAATAAATTATTGCAATAACACATCACAGGTGCGAATAATGCAGGACATTTAAAGAAGGCAGTAAAAACTAAAAAAAAGATTTGAAACTGACAAGGTTTTCCATTTCACAGAAACAGACGTTAAACGCATGAGAGTGTTATCACCTCTTTTATCACCTCTTTTATCTTCTCTTACTTTCTTTTTCTCACTGAAACCAAAAAGTGTCTTTGTATCTTTTTTCTGTTTTTACTCACAATCAAAACAGAATAGTCCATAATTTATTGGCAGGGTGGTTGGGGGAAAATATTTATTAGCCATTAAAGCTTTTAGATCCCTTGAACTTATTTCTCTGTTGATGATGTAAATTTGCAAAATTAGTATTCAGTTTTTAGATTTTTGGTAAATCTTTGACCCACGGTTGTTGTTTTGTGCACAACTGAATTCTTTCACCTTTCGTATAATTAATTATTTAACATTTCACATATTTTATCAAGTAACCTTCTATAATAACCTCATGAATTTTAAGGTAAATTAAGCACACTTGAAACATACGAACAAAGTTATGTAAACAATATGTTAGTGGGAGTCATAACACAGTTTGACATGCTGACTACTAGAAAATTACACACATACATAAATACATGACACTCTCCTTATGCAGACACATTCTGTTTCTGCTAACATACCAACGCGATTTATTCTGTGGTGGTGTAAATAAAAAAAACAAAAATGTTTTTGTGAGACTATTTTTTGATGACATCTGTAATTTGTTTCTTTCAACTTGAAAGAAAACAAATAATCAATGATAAAATTTATTTAAAATTTGTACAGCCATGTTTGAAGATTATTTAATTTCTTTGCTTCTCACACACTTTTTCCTCTACAATTAACTATGGATTATCTTTTCTTAATAAGTATTCACTGAAATGTTAGATGCTGACCTGCAGTCACAGTAATACAATTTCTTTTCATTGTCACCACAGTTTTCGATCTAGTTCAGAATATAATAATCATTTTCTGTTAGTTAACCATGCAGCAATTCCTGAACAATTAACTCAAGGAAATGTTTATCATCAATCCGAATGTGGTAAAAGAACTGCAAAGGCTAAAGCTTAATCATTAAATTTATTTTACCTGCTAAAAATAGAAATGTTCTTTGTATCAGGTACTTTCTAGAAATATGTATTCTGCATCAGATATTTTCTAGAAATATGTACTTTGTATCTTAAAGCCCATTTTTGCTAACTTTATTTTTTACCCAAAATGTAAACGTAGTAATTTCTGAAGGATTAATAGATTTTATTTTTAATCTGACATTATTTTTTATTACTTTAAACATTTATATTAAGTGGATACATATTTGAGTAGACATCCCTATTTTTTTTAAGCAGTTTAAATTCACATTTATTGACCTGTGCATTAATAAAGAAAATATAGCTTCCAGTAGTGTTCAAACTTTTCCCCTACCAGAAGTGGGGGGGGGAACTATCAGAAAGCCTGACATGCTTTAGACTGCTCAGTCACTGATAACTTACAGTTAAGCAAGGTTCAATTACTCCATTGAAGAAATGCACGTCTCTTGATCAGATCTCTCAAGGCCTGTTTCTGCTAAATTTATTTTCTTATCCAAAATGCAAATCTCTTAGGACTTAATAGATTTTGTTAACCATCCAACATTATTTCTTATTAATTTAAATGTCATATCTACAATGAATATTGCTTACACTGTCTAAAAAAAAATTGTATCAAAACTCATTTCATGGCAACCATCTACAGAATGAAAGAACAGTGGCCAGCAAGCCATGATGCTCCCAGATAGATTTATGTAAAGGCATCAAAAACAGCTATAATAGAATGGGACAATTAGAGACAACATATTGTGAGTTGAGACTTGGCCAAACTAAATAAACTTGGATACCCATGTTTCAGTAGACATCCCAATTTTTAAACAGTGTAAATAGGCATGTATATATTTTAGGTTTAATTGCAATTGACACTAAAATACAATTCTGATTATTTTCATTTCCCATCACCTCTCAGCTCTGTTATTATATATGAAATCATTACATTGAATGAATTTTAATGCATTTGTTCATTAAATCTTACCCATGATATATCAGGTTAACTAAATAATATAAAAGAAATAACTTCAATGGAAAATACTGACCTTTTTCTGACCATTTTTTACCAAGTAAGGCACAGACTGCTTTGATTTTTGTGAACTGTTTCTCAAAATATCAGCAACTAATTGATCTGGAGGATATGACGTGAACAGCAAACCAAACAATTGTCCTGACATTAATTGCACCCAGGTGTGTGGATACCTTAAGTAATTCTGGACATGCTCTGCAGAAAAATAATATTCAAGAGTTTTTTAAACTATTTTCTTGCAATACTTTAATAACAGAAATTTTTTTAAACATAAAAGGCTTAATTAAGCATTAATTGGGATTAATTAATCAAGAATTTTATTCATTAATAAAAAAGATTAATTTAAAATCTCAAATTTAAATGATAATTGAAGTGTTTATTAGCAAAAACAATAACACTAAGTTGGCATTTTTTTGCTGTTTCTAAAAATTATTACAAACATTTTATTATCATACAGCAAACTGCTTGCAGTTTTTAAAATATGTTAGGAAAATGTTTACTTTTATGGAAATTGCTACTTTATATGTAGATGTTTTTTTTTTGTTTTTAACGTAAGTAAAAAGCCAACATTTGTTAAAACGTGTATGCTATGAAGAATAGCTCATACCCCATAACTTGTTCATTCGTTCAATCCATTTGGAGTTTTTGGCTACATCACAACACCTCAAAATCTTGAGCATGGTATTCAAGTTGTTGTACAAAAAGTGATCTTGGTCATTCTCATTAGCCAAGCTCTTTGCCTGAATATTAAAAAAATAGAAAAAAGTTTCAATAAATTCATCTTATTAAATGAAATTAGTATTTATAATGCTTATATCTATAATTAGATAGAAAGAAGCACTGATAAACAAATCAAATTTACAGTTTGACACAATACAATCTTCCATGTACAGAAAAATCAACATTCAAAATACTGGCATTTTTTTAATAAATAATAATAATGAAAATAATAATAAAAAATTGTAGGAATTATTTAAGTACCTTTCAATAACCACAGTAGATCATATGTATAAGTGTGGTTGTTAATGTAATGAATACTTACTTCAGTTTTAATCTCTTCATATAGCAATAAGGCATAATTTATCATAAAATTTACTCAACTATGACAAAGAGGAACTACATCTTGTTAATATCTATATATTGATACACTTGTAACTACTGTGTCATGCTTGGTATGACAGATACTGTGAGGGGGAAACACAAAGAGAGAAGCATAAAAAAGTAAAACAGAGAGAGAGAGAGAAGGATGTAAAGAGACAAAAAGAGTGTGACACAGGGATTGACGGTGGGGGTCATCTTAGATAAAGGCAGTTATTTGTAGTGAGGGGTTAAATCATGTTTTGTGACTTAAAAATCTGTTGAGGACAAATTTGCCACTAACTTTAACTGACCTTTTGAAATTAAAATCTTTAATAATTATAACCATTTTGTAATATAATGAAAATAGATGATGTTCTTCTAATCAAAAATCCTATTAAACACAGCCTGTATTGAGCATCCGAAAGGTAAACAAAAAGAGAGAGGGACATAGAAAAACAGAGAGTGCAACACAGAGGGGGATAAGATTGGTGAGGGGGGGAGGGATTTGGGGTCTCATTTTAGATAAAGGCATTTGTTTGTAGTGAAAGGGTTAATTCATGTTTTGTGACCTAAGGACATTTCAGTATTTTTAAAGAGAAACTACGTCACTTTTCTTAAAAGCCTAGGAATGGTCATGGGTTGAAAAGTACTGAATGCAGCATTAAAATATTTATTAGTAAATACGTGTAATTTATACAGGACCTGCTAGTCATTATTATTATTATTATTATAATAGCTTATATAAAAAAAAAAACATATTTGCCCATTGGGATTGATCTATACTTGAATTGTCTTTCTTTACTTACCTCCTTAATGCTGTTACTCAACATGAAACTTTTATTGAGCAAAGGTAACACTGTCGTTAATCTTTGACTGAATTGCTCTTTCTCTACCTCTACATAAAGACCTGAGAGTTGAGCAGCAACTGTCTGTAACTGCAACTAGAAATTAGAATACAAAAGAGACATTAGGAGCCTTTTCTTTCTTATTTATCAGATGAGAAATCCTGTCTGAATTTCCGTTATCATTATTTACAGTTAGATTAATATTGTCATCTTTGTTGTTGTTATCACAATGTTTTGGCCATTGTGCTCTTCAGCCTTCTTCAGATATCTGCTGATCCAATAACCTTTAGGGAATCTTAAATTGAACCCTTTATTTAATCGACACTGATAAACTGTACATGGAAAGCAAAATGAGAGAAATCTACTAAAGGGCTCAGTTCAAAATTTCCTTAAGGTTATCTGGCTTAACAGATATCTGAAGAAGGTTGTGGGTACAATGGATAAAACATTGCAATAATAACAAAGATGAGGGCATTAGTACAACTGTAAATAATGTAAATACTCATATAAGAAATTTTGAGTCAATTTTTTAGCAAGTATGATAACCATGCTTTTTAATGCATAAAAATTTTAAGGGCTAGGCATTTGATTTTTGAATTTAAATCGAACATTTATTTCCTTTTGTTAATTGGTGCTTTTGCTATATGATATTCTGTATAACTAATTCTCTTATAAAATTTTTACTTTTATTTTATACTAGCAGTAGAGCCCGGCGTTGCCTGGGGATGTAATAGTAAGAGATAGATCAAGTATCGACCATCATAAAGACTGAAAAATAAAATTGACAAAGATTATTGTTTAAGGTTGATGGACACACATGTCTTAATTAGTTTTTTTTTTCTTTTGTTTTTTTCTTTACGAATTGGTCAAACCCAAACTCAAACAAAAACATTGTTTTCAATCGTTATGAGTCTATCGATTGAATAGAATTTTATTATAAACAATTGTCTTGTAAATGGAATTTTTAAAGCATTCTGAATGTAAAAATAAAGAAAAAAGTGTGCAAGACAATAAGAAACACTACCTGCCAAAAAAAGTGAAGTTTAGTTGAAATCAGTTGAAAAATGTAGGAAATACGATCCCATATATAAACCAACACACACACACATGCAAACAACCTGGGTTTTAAGTATAACTCGATATGAGTTGCCCCCCTTTCATTCTTGTGATGCCTCTTAATCGTGTTTTCAAATTGATTTCATGCAAAAACAATTGTGTTTTTCCAATTTTTGGTGCTGTCAGAACCACCGCAAGGTAATTTTATGTAGTCCTGTGAAGTTTTGTTGAAATCAGTTGAAAAATGTAGGAAATCTGATCCAATATATAAATGTACAGACACACAACCTGGGTTTTATAATAAGTATGATATATATTTTTTTGTTTTTAACAACTTTTGTTTTTACATGTAGATTTTTTTTTAGTAATGAATTATCATATTGAAGGATAAAGACAACATTTGTTAAAATGTGAATGCCATAAAGAATAGCCCATACCTTATAACTTGTGTATTTGTTCAATCCATAAAAAGGAAACATTTTATATGATAATTACTTATACAGAAAATTTTAATATTTTTGAAATATGTATAAATGTTATTACTTTACAATGAAATTTAAAAAATTTTTTTTTTTGTTTAACTCTCACATTGTATTAAAATAGAAGTATTTGTCTCTGATCAACATTACAAGTATTTTAGACAAGGGGAATTTAACGAATGAAAATATTTAAGGCTTTCAAAGACTTACCTTTTTGTCTTCATACCATTTGACAACAAAAGTAAAAAGTTCCTGTCGCATTTTAGAATCCAACTTTAAGAAAAAAAATAAATCAAAACTGAAAATACTTGTATATGCTTTTTACGTATAATAAAATAAATTTTTCATAATTTACAAATAACTAAATTAAATCAACTCATGGCCTACATTCACTAGGCATCATACCAATCAGCTTACGAGGTTCCTCTTATATATGGTGTCTTCTTAAAAGATGTACACATATATTGAAATGTTTGAATATATATTGAAGTGTTTGAATTTCTCAGATGAGGAGTTATCATTATTTACATGCAGATTATTGTTCTCATTTTTGTTGCTATTATGACGTTTCAGCCAGTTTTTCCTCCAGACCTCATCAGTAATTGCTGTGTTACCAAATTCACAAACCAACATGAAAAGCAGCAGCATCAACAGGCAGGTTAGATTTAAAGTTTTCCACTCAGAATTGTCCCATGGGACAATAGCCTGTCAGTCATGAATTTTGGTGAGTTCAATCCCTGGGCTGGGCAGTGTGTACTTGAACTCAGTGGAAATTGGTGTAGCAATACTAAATAACAACTTGATGAGATATTCCTAGACATGGTCAGCAGAATAACAATAATCTACCTCTGTAGATTAAATAAAGGGTTCAGTTCAAAATTCCCTCCTGATGGGTACTTGAATCAATAAACACCTGATGAAGGTCAGAGGGCACAACAGCTGAAACATTGTGGTAACAACAACAAAGATGAGGACAAATATAAATAATACTGAGTTTGGATTGATGGATTTTAGGACATGTCAGCCTCTGCTGGGTTATTTAATATTAAAATTTGTTATTTCTTTTGATTTATTTTATACTTCAGCCTATAGATTGGATTTATACCAGAGTCTGTATGGATCCATCTGGTAGGTGGCCAGTTTTTGAGATGAGTTTACCTCTTTGCAGGCGATAGTGTATTCTAGGCGCCACCAATAGGGTAATATACATTATTAATAGCAACTATCGTTACTGTCTGAAAGTTAATTAAATATAGAATAATTGCTATAGATACTAACTTTTTGAATTAAAAAATATTGTATTAAAAATGTCAGTTTTTATCACTTTATGACTTGATAAAACATTTTTCTGAATCAACACTTATATAATAAATGTTTGTTCCTATTATTTTATGGATTTAATTTTCATTTAATAACCATAGCTAGGAATGCAGAAGGCAATTATCCTCCTTTTGATAGGAAGAATTTACTGATGTCTTAAGGAGCCCTTGAGACTCACATGACAGTCCATTGGTGAGAATAGTTGTCAAAAGAGACACTGAAGAGATACCACAGGTCTGTACCATGGCTCTCTTGAAGACATTACAAGTAAAACCTTGTTTTCACATGAGCTTTAATTTCTCTGTGTGAGACAATTTGTGATTTATATATATGTCTTGCATCTTTAATAAAAATTACGTATGTGTACTAATGTTTTGTATGTAAAATGTTTTCATGTTTAACTCATTTTTAAATTTATTTCTTTGGGTCATGCTAGTCCTTCCTTACATCTTACTAAGGTATTAGTTTATTGTAGATATACTAATGCCTGTAATGGGCCTTGGTGAGTAGAGAAGGCCAAGATATTTCCTCTCTCTTTCCAAGCATCTCATTATTGCTATTAATGACACCCTGTATCAGTAATAATGATTTTCCAAGCATAGCTTAGATGTGGTAAAAGACCAAAAATATGGGGCACCCAGTGAGGATCAAACTCACTACTCATATGTAATTGTTCTAGCGAGATAAACTTGCTAACCATTATACCACCTCGGGGTGCCCACCCTGTATCAGTATTATATAGTGAAGTATTTTTAATAAAATATAATTTCCTTAGAAACCTAATGATTTTTTGTACTCATTTTGGAAATAAAGCATATTCAAGGGAACATTTTAATGCCATGTGTGTATGTTTAAAGCAGTTACTAGCAGGACAGTAGACACATGAGGTAACTGATTATCAACAAAAACAATTCTAGCAGAGGATGTTTGTGTTCATTTAGCATTCATGACCTTGAAAAAGGCATGAGTTCACTTTCTTTATATCCTATATATGTACTAAATTGGGAATCAACCTATCAGATGGAATAGGCACAGGATTCAAATTCTGGCTGAAGCTATTCAGGAAGCTTATATGAATGGAGAAATGAGAATGTGGGAAAACCCATTCTCCCATAACTGTAGTATAAAGTGACATGTTATATTAGTATATTTGACAACTTATTTTCATCCCTTGACTTGTAAAATATTATGGCTACTTTAGAAAAATGACTTCTATTAAATGACAAGCTCCTTACAAATGATGTGCAGGTAGGGTAATGGATATCAACAAGGAAAGTAAGTAGCAGGCCAAGTTCAAATTTTGGACTAGTCTGTAGTATTCACTTTCATACAAATGCTCTTGTGAGAGGCATGAACCCAACTCTTCTCCCTCTAGCTATGGGTTAAATAGTAAGGCAGAGTAGATTCTCTAGCCTTGAAATCTAACTCTGCATTCAAAACCAGCCTAAAGAAAGATGAGCTAGACACTCCCACTGCTTCTCTAGCTGCAATACATATGGTGTCCCTATGACATCAAATGGTTTACAGGACTAATGACCTTACAAATAAACCTTTTAACAGAAAAAAGTGCCAAACAAAGAGAAATCTATTTTCTTATATCTCTATCAGTTTTTAAAATTTGGAAGTTTTTAAAACATGCGCAGATTTTCTCTTTAAATAAGAAAGTACAATAAAAAAGAAGAGAAAGATGTCAACTGCAATTTTCAAAACTCTTTCACTAAATATTCCATCACCCATCATATGCAAAGATCCAAGCCACTTGACAATTTAATTTTTTTTCTCTACAATAAAAAGAATTCTCTTAGACTGCATTTTACATTTTTTTAATGTTTATTAATATGAAAATACATTGCCAAAGTACTGCGACGCATATATTGACAATATATTAAAGAAATGTTTAAATTTTTAATAAAATTAATATCAATTAAGTATTTCTTACCTTTTCTATTAACATTTTAATTGCACCGGCTGTATTCTTGCGACAAGCTGCAGATTTATCATTAATTAGAGAAGCGCTGAGAGGTAAAAAAAAAAAGACTGCCTGATCTGCAACAAGTTCCTGAAAATATAACAAAACAGAAAGACAGCAGCAGTTAAGGCTTTGAACAGAGAGAAGAAAGAAACATAAGGGAAGCAAATATTCTTAATTTATTGTTTCTATACAATTCAAAATAAGAGATGTACCTTAATGTAAACAATGACAACATATTATGAAATGGATTAAGTCCAACAATTGAGCAGATATGATCATTCAAGAAAGATCATTGAAGATTTGCTGTTTAAAAACATTAATTTGGACTTTGCTAACCAGATGCTTCTCTATAGTTAAGTGGTGTAGCATGTCAGATAAAATGATGGTTCTGTATAGGACACAGGTTCAATTCCTGTTGGAGAATGCATATTTTCTACAAAGTCTCTTGAACATTCAGACCAGTAAATGTAATTAATACTGTTTGATTAAAAAGCAGAGCATTTACTTAAATAAACTGTATCTATTAAAATAATGTAAACAGAAAATATATTAAATAATTGTCTGACTTAATCCATTTATATATATATATATAGATATATATATATATAATTTATTTGAAAATTATAATATTTTGGCTATTTTTATAGTGATTTTATAACATATTTATGTTATAATTTTTAAATAAATTTGCTCTATACTGTATTGAGCACTCTTTTAAGAATAGTATTTTTTAGTTATTGGAATTTATTCCATATGCAACAATCCTATACTTGAGTGTGTGTGTGTGTGTGTGTATATACATATACACACACACACAGCAATGGGTAAATTGTTGCCATTTTATATTTTTCATTTTGTGCATGTGCATTGACAACTTTTGATTTTGTCAACTGTACAGTACAGTAGAGTCAGTTGGGCACTGTCTGTGAGAAAAAGAGCACCATAACATAATTCACTCTGCCAGAAATTTGGAAATGGCATGCAGGACTGCTTGGTATTTGCACTGGAAGCTCCAATACAAATATTATCAAAGTGTTTGGCTGTTACTAGTGATGACGACATTATGCCTCCATTCATCTTCCCACAGGGCCTCAACGTGGAAGCCAACCTCAAGTGCCATGGGAGGTAGTGCTGCCCTGGGTGAAGATGGTAGCAGCTGTGAGACCCTATGTCTGACAACAGAACTCTGCACCATATCGCACAAACAGGAGAACACAGTCATTATTATGTGTGGGAAACAGTTGAGTGAGAGACTAACAAAACTCCTTGTCACACCAAAGATGAACTGAAGGCAAGGATTATAGCAGTATTCACCAACTTAAAAGAAAGAGGCCATCCAGAAAAGTCGCAGGAGATTCCAAAGTTGTCTGTAGGCCATGGTTGAAGCTAATGGCAATTTTATTGAATAAATTCACTCTTTAGTATTTCAAGATATTTTTGTATAATTTTGGTAAATATATCTATTAAAATGAGATGTAAGTGTTATTTTAAATTTTTGCATAATTTAGACGACAATTTATCCATCTCTCTCTCTCTCACTCTCTGTGTAGGAGAGATATTTAAATAGACAATTAAGTATATTTACAGGTGGGAATGTCCTGATAATTGCTGTTAGAATTTCAATGGCTGATAATCGTCCTTCTTCAATAGAGAAATCTAAATGCTTTACAAAAAATTCCACATAATTCTGTCTTGCCATTCCAACAGGATAATCCAGCAAGTATCGAAGAACAACCTGCAACAAAATGAAAAAAAATTCTAATTTAGAAACATTTAAGTTAACTTCTTGGGTTTTAGAATAGTCTTATTTCAAATTTACCATTTCCATAGAGTATTTCTATATTTTTAATCATAGTGATCAATTAACTACTGCTAAAATTTCCAGCTTACTTAACAAATCTAGAGATCTACAATGATAGAAATTCACATTGTCCACAGTTAATGAGTTTAATATAAGTCAAGACAGAAAACTATATTTATAAATATACATAATGACTGTGAGTTTAGTAAGTTTAAATTCCATACTTAGTATTCCATCAATTTCTACACATAACATATATACTTGAGTATAATGTACATCTTTATGACTTGCTTTTTACGCAAAAAAATAGGTTATACACAGGTAAATTTTTTTGAAAAGCTTAAAAATCATTCATTTTTAGTGACTGATTGCACTATATACAGGTAAATTTTTTTCTGAAGGGGTTAAAATTCATGAAAATAAAAAACCCGATGTCAACCTATATATTAAGTCAGCTTATACACAAGTATATATGGTATGTAACAGATGAAAACTGAACAAAAAATTATCTCTTCTTGATTAGATCATGACAAATTCCACAGTTATTCCAAACTTAATTATTTAAGAAATTTTCTTTTAAGTCTTTAAAAAAATGAAATTTCTAAACTGCTTATTTATCAGCTGTTTAATTTTATATCATTTATATATTTAATATATAAATTTTATGTTCATGCACACATTTAAACTTGTAAATTTGACACATTGAAAACAAAAGTTGCACAATCGGTAGGTATTTCAATGTGTATTGGTGCAGAAAATAGAAGTCACTAGACTGACTACACACCAAATCATTTTTCTTCCTTTTTTTAACCTAAGCAGTCTATGTTTATAACTGTTACTGCCAAAAAAAAAAAAAAAAAAAAAAAAACAGTAAAAAGATTTGGTAACAGTCTGTAACGATTTGAACAATAAATTTAAGGAAATTAAGTGGTATACAAATTAATTCTAAAAATCGCCATTACATCAACCAAATCTATTTTATTCATGACACTTGAGAAGAAAGACTTATTTTCCACCCTGCAACCTCTTTCACCACAGATGCAATGTTGCAAATATATCACTCCTCTGTTGCTATTTCTATGGCAAATGTTCAAATGAGCACTCCATTCTTTAGTTCTCCCATTTCAGACATTTACAGCTTAGACACACCATGCTACATCCACAGAATGAAATCACTCACACATTTTTCATATTCCAATTGTGAGGAGGAAATTCCAATCAGACAGCTCCCCCCCACAAGAACTCTGACTTTGCAGAACAGAGACTCTGACATAGATGCGTCCCTGAACACTACAATCTTGACCTTTTCAAGTCAAAGGTCAATTGTTATCTATCCTCCTTATACTCATAATCTTCACGTCCTACCACCTCCTCTTCATATCACACACCTCATTCTTTAACTCTACATTAACTTTCGAGACTTGTATTGGGTGAACTTTAGTAAAAAAAAAAAAAATATGCTTATTCAAAAATCAGCAGTTACATTGGATTAAAAAAATAAATAATTCCTTTGAATATTTTTCCTATTAATCTTACCAAATTGTAAGTTCAAAAGATACAACAACTGCACATCTGGATATCACACAGTTAAGAGCAATAAAAATATTAATATTTGTCAATTGATATAATCAGAAAAAATGCAATAAAATGTTATAAGCAGAATTCTTCCTATTACTTAGTCTAAAGATTTTTACCTCTCGACATTGCTTTCGAATATGTGCTACTTCGGAAGTTATAGCCATCGTTTTTATCAAGTTCATCATTTCTGTAATTTCAGGACTCTTGAGTTTTCGGTACAAGATTGCCTAGAAAAAAGAAATTAAAAAAAGAATTTAGTACTATATGAAAACTGGTTAAGCAAGAAAAAAACTAATGCTTATTATTATTTCAAAATCAATCATCAACTTTAATCATGTTTATAAACAAACCATTAAATATTTCTTCTGATTGAATGATCAAATTGTTAAATTATATTTAAATGTTATACATTCAAAAATGAAAAGACTTTACCTTAATAAGTGTGAAAGCACTGGATTGTCTTGTGTAATCACAAATGTCCTCTTCACAATACATCACCAACACTTGCAGTTGTTCCGGTTTTACATCATAATAATTGATTTCCCGTACCAAGATGGTCACAATCTGGAAATATAAAAATAAACAATTCAATCTCCTGCACTTGTTACTTATCCTTTGTAATAATATTTTATAGCAGAGCATCTTAAATCACCAAAATATTATTCAATTTTTACATGGATATTAAACCCTTGATTCATATGAATGTGTATAATGTAGGTTTTTATTTTATAAGCAATTTTATTAATGTAGCTGTGGCAAACTCACTTCAGTACAGAAACAAAAGAGGCCCTGAATCACGTGCGGACATGTTTGTCAATGCCAATTATATCCAATTTTTCCCCCAAAACAGCAGGACAGCATCACAACATGGTGGCTTGTCTCACCCTGCTGAAGCCACAATATACCAAGGCATCTTTGTTCTATTATTGCTGCCATCATACTGATTATCTTTGTGCATTTTTTGGTTTTATATTAAAAACTTAAAGACAATCCATTAGTGTCAAGATTCTATGCTCATAGGATGCAAACAATCCCCACTCAATACAAATCATCCAAGTTCTGACTAGTTATGTAAGGTTTGCTACTTTGGGTTAGCCTATACATTCTGTAACACTAGTCAAGGCTGTTTAGTTTACTTTGCAATTATGTCCTTGGAAAAAGCAGGAAACCTTTCTCTTCTCCCTCCAACAGGCAAAATAGTAGAGTCTGAAACCTCTAATCTTGCTAGGCAGCCATTCCAAGAGAAGCAAAACTGTAGAGAAGGTAACAGGAAACCACTCTACTACCTATCCTTAATATAGTCCTGACAACAATTTTCAGATATTAAAATAAAAGGAATTTGTGAAGAGTCATGAATGAACATGATTAAAAGAATAAAATATAAAGATATTTCATTTTTGCAAGTTAAATGTATAAATCCATCTAATGTGCATAGACAGTATGAACTTGATTAGCATATTTTATGGGATCAGTTAAGCAAAAGTTCAATGGATTTAATCTCTGTGTTGGATTAAAATTAACCCTAAGAAAAATTTACCAAGCATTAACCTGTAGATAATATTGCATTTTCTTATTTTATACACCATGTTCCATGGAGATGATAAATTTATATTATTCTCAGTTTTACTAGCAATGCTTAATAACATTATTCTATCATTATTTTAATGGGAGCGGTATCTTTAAGACTATACACTATCTTGGTGTCTATAAGTGATGAGTTAGAAGCCATTGTGAAAATGCAAGATAAATAACACAAACATAATTAATAAAGTTTGCAATGAAAAGAAAAAAGGTGAAAAAAGATGAAACAGCAACAATCATGCAAGCAAGCAAACAATATAGTTAAAGCAAATCAAACAAGTAAGAAGGCAAAAGAATTGACAAACTATAAGTTAGTGTTTGTACACAAAATCAAGGTTGCATAAGCAAACACAGTAGGTCTGTCTAGTAGATAAGGCAGATCTGGGCTGAGTTGTATCAAAACGCTAGCCGACCCATTTTATTGGCTAAGAAAAATATCCCAGCACGCATTCCATGTATTTCTGACTGAGAGGAAGGAGGAAATGTTTTACAATCATTCCCAACTGTTGAGAAATCAACAGTAAGACTATACATTATCTTGGAATTTATAAGACTCCATCTATGTATTATGTAAAATAAACCTGGCATCTCTACTTCAGTCACTTTCCTACAGTCGTAACGTAGCTTTTAACGTAGCTTTTCTTTGCCTCTTCTAGAAATATTTTCACAACACTTGTTCTGATGAGCCTAGCTAAGTACCTCAACTGCACAAATTGTTTTTTTAGTATAATAATTTCAGTTGAAATTGCAAGTTGTAACTATAAATTCTATGCTGACAGTTTCTTTTCAAAAATTTAAATGCAAAGTCAATCATCAGATTCTGTCTTCTTACATCCTTGCTTGGAGTGAAATGATAAAAAAAAAAAATAATAATTTATATTATTAAAAAATAATTCTAATAATTATACACCTGAACAACAAGATTATTTTTCACCATTTTGTTTTGTAATACTCTTACAAAAATGCAATAAAATATTAATTTAGAACTATTTTAAAGAAATGAAAGATTAGAGATTAAAATTAATGTGCTTCCATGAAGTCTTACCCTAAACAGAATGAAAACAAGTTCAGCATTTTCCCCACGAGCTGCACCAGAAGCTGCAAAACTGTTTAACAGAACAAATAAATTGTCTGCAAGTCTTTTAACATTCTTCTTCATTGCAGGCAGTGGAAATTTCAACATGATGCACAAAGATTTAATGGCACAGATGATCACCTGCAAAAATATGAATTTAACAAAATATTAATTTGATAAATTTTGAAATTAAAATAAAAAATTTAAAGCTAAAACTGGATCACATGTACAACTTTAAAAAAAAAAATTGATTGAACCACCAAAGTGAAAAAAAAAAAAAAAAGAAAATGATAGCATTTTCAATCTATTTATTATTTATAATGAAAATGTTGATATTTGTAACCTAAATAGATATTAACTAGATTTTTAAGAAAAACAATTTTTAAACAAATTCTTAAATCTTTATTTCCAGAAAAAAAAAAAAAAAAAAAAGATTTTGTCACCAACACAATAACAAGTGATACTTTCAAAGAAATTTTGGAAAAGTTAAATACAAACCTTAATATGTTTTGAAGCTAAACAATCAATCAAAATACTGACAAATGGATCCAACAACTGCAGATGGTCAACTTCACTGGATTTTAATCGTGATTGCTTGAAGATGTAGAACAGTAACTGAAAAGAAAAAGAAGATTATTGCTGAATTAGGTAGAAGTGTTATACTATATTAGACAGCAGTGCTATAACATACTAAACAATTACTTACATACTACAATAAGAATAGTAAATGGTGATTCTTTAGTTGCCTCTTATCAGCAACTTAAAAATTTTTAATAGAAAACAAAAAATGAATTTTCATAAATGTTTTAGTACTTCAAATCAGAATTTAAAATTGACATTATTATTATTCAAGAAAGACCAATGATGAGCACAAGAAACTATATTAACTACTTTTATCTTTTTAAATCAAATTCACCCCAAGCAAAGTAGTAAAGCCACCAAGACACAAGGGGTCACTGGGTGTGAAAGAATTAGAAAACAGAAAATATTATGAAAGAGCAAGAACAAAAGAAGAGTAATCAGGAAAACAGTAGATAGCAATTGACATTGCATTTAAATTTTTGAAAATCAAAGTTGGCCAGAAAGTGAGCAAATAAATTGCTAGCATAGAATTTATGATTAGATCTTGCAATTTCAACAGTAAATTGATGAGATCTTGTTGCTAATCTGATTAATTTTGATATATTTCCATGTTGTTTTAAATGTGTACATATGGAGCTCTGGTCTGAGAGATGTAGAATCAGCCATTTTGATAAGTGGCAGTATGTTTCTGAACAGAGTTCCATATGCATACATTTAATCTCGTATGGAAATATACCACCCTCATTACAGGATATTTGTCAAGAACACGAACACACATTATATATATATATATATATATATATATATATACAAATCTAGTCACACTATGCATGAGAAGAAACATGATACAAATTTTAAAAGAAAATGGGACAAACAAACATCTAAATAAATTTGTTTCTTAGTGTAATAGCAATTTTAAAATCCTTTCTGATTTTAAGAATCATTGCAGAACCCATGAGCATGCATCTGTTTCAGATGCATAGTTATTGTGTTGACAGGCAATTACTATTTTTATGTAAAGTATTTAAAATAAATAATTAATAAATGTGATACCTACTAATGAATTCAATTGATGACACAGGATAGGAAAAAGTCAGAAAATAAATCCTCAGAACTTAAATATGTGTGTGTATATATATATATATATATATATATATATATATATATATATATATATATTCATACACGTTTCATTAAATAATATAGACAAGTGTTGTCTATTTATTTTATGTAAATTTTTTTTGTAAAATCTGATAAGTTTAATAACATTATCGTTGAACGAAGAAAGAAATTCACAATATTGATCCATATTTTTTTAATACAATCTAAGCTTTCGGCTTACTTAAGCCATTATCAAAGATGTCAATTACAACATATTAAGCAATATACGGACAAGACAGTGATGATAGTCTGTCAATATACACACACAGAGTTGTGTAGCATGGACAAGGCCAGAGAGGTGATTACCGCAGGAACTAAATTTTCAGGGGCGCAAAAAAGATGAATTAGGTTGAGAAAATATGTACAAAACCAGAATTTATAACAGCTCATGGTTAAGGAGGTGGTGCAAAAGTTTAAATTTTCCAGGTGCCCAAAATCCACCCTAAGCTTCAGAGAATTGAAGAGATTTATCAAAATTTTCATCTGTCAAATTAGGCAACATTCCTCTGCATCTCATCAAAATTTGATACATTGCTCAAAATCACTAATAAAAAAAAATAAAGAACCTATATATTTTTTTTAAGGGAGCCATTTTGTGCTATGAGTTGCCTAACTTTAACTCACCTTTAACCCAAATTCTACCAAAATATGCATATTTGTCTTCTTGGATACTTTGGATTTTTTCCCTTCACGTGTTGGGGCTTTTGGCAAGATCAGACAACTTTCCACTTTTGTTTCCAGTGGGTGAACAAGTTTTTCTGAATCCCTGAAAAGAAAAGAAATAAGAAACAAACATCAGTGTGTGCGTGTATATATATATATATATATATATATATATATGTTTGAATTATACATTAATTCTTTCAAATTGATTTCCTCATCTTTGTTTTTAAAAACATTTCAGCAACTGCATCCTCTGATGAGAGACACTTGAAGAAAACCAGAGAGTACATCAGCCAAAACAAAGATGAGTAAATTGGTTGACAAGAATAGGAGTAATCTCATATAAATATACTTGAAGAATTAAAGCCTGAAGAATACAAGTTTATATCAACAACATATTGTATTCTCATTCGGATGATCAATAAATAGAACTATTTATTCAGTTATTAAAATACAACGTTTAAGTTTAAATATAAATTGTCCACCATGTTTCAGTTTTCATTAACTATTATCAAAGAGTTCCTAAAGAATTTGATAATATCTTATGAAAGCCAAAAGATGTTAGACAATTTATATCAAAACTTTCACTGGAAAACAGAAAAAGGGTCCCAAATATACAAAATATAATTTAAAAAAAATCCTTAACAATGATTTTTCATTTGTCTTTATCCAAACTTTTATATATATATATATATATATATATATATTAAATTACATAAAAGAGAAATCCCAAAATACCTCATGAGTATAGACTATTTCAACTAATATCAATGTGTTAGTTTTATTAAACTCAAATGTTGGACTGTATTCAGTGTTGGAACTAAAGATATAAAATTTAATATTTAAAAGAAACAGCAGTTGAAAAAAATGATGCTTAGCCAACCCATAACATAGCAGACAACACAAACAGCCCGAGCGGTGGTAAGAGGAGGGCAGATGTTGTCTGGCTTAAATGGAAAGAAGCTACACAAATTCAACCCAGATATTAACCTTAACACCCCAAGTTGGGGTTATAAAAAAGGGGAAAAGAAACTGAAGGAAGGCTGAAAAAAGTTTTAAAAAAATGAAAATTATTAATTATTACATAACAAAAAAAAATTGTTTATATATATATATAACAAATTTGCAATATTTTAAACAAACCTATTAAAAAGTCAAAAATATGATTGCATAATTAACTTTTTGCCACAAATCATAGTTTACTATGTAAACTGATAAATAAAATGTATTTTCAATTAAACTTTCAAAAATAAGGAATCTAATAAGGCATTTAACTAAATAAAAAAATGCCCAGACAGCAAAATAATTTTGTAAACGTAAAAGAAATTGCAATTGTCTTTGTTATACCTGTTCTTGATTTTCCATTCTATTTTTATCTGTTACAGGAAAATCTTCACAGAACATTGTCTAGCAATCAGGCCTCAATAGCAAGTTCAATGAACCAAACTGAAGTGAATTTGTCAAAATACTTGTTGTAGAGTAGGACTCCATGTATTTCCTTCTCTTCCCTGCTACTAAGACAATGGTCTGCTTCTACTTATAAATATGGCTAATAGAGTTGGATTTGAGCAGCAGTTGATTTACTCATGTTTTTTTGTTCTATGTATAAGTAATTAATAAAATTCTTCATTGTTTTCCCAACCTAGTTTTCTCTTCCTTTCAAGACAATGGACTGCTCTTACTTAAAAACATGGCAATATCCACATTAGAGTTGCATGTGAGCAGTAGTTGATTTACTCAAGTTTTTTGTTCTATGTATGAGTAAAAGGAACAGAAAATTAGGTAGGGACCTAGTTTTCTGTTCCTTTGATATGCTAACTAGGACCTTCCTATTTTTCAGCTAATGTGAACAAAGACAACATTACATCAATACTTACATTGATTCTAAGAGTTTATCCAAATCAAATACTGCATGAATAATTTTAATAATTTTCACTGTTTTGATGATTTCCCAGTATGTAAACATTATTTTAACAATTTCTCAATGTATAAACCTTACATGAGAAAAAGATGAGCAATAAAAATAAAATTTAATGTTTCTTACATTTTTTTCTCTACAAGGAGAGGCAATGTTTGACAGACCAAACTGTAAATGAAAATCATCAGATTGTGGACTTCCAACGATTTATTGGCAGCAAGTCCAATAATCAATCGTCTGAGGACTAATTCCACTTTCTGGGAAACCTTGTGGCTGTTTGTGTTGTCAAGTATCTGAAAAACAAAAAAGATAAAGTGGTTTTCAAGAGGCTTTAAGTTTTAACCAGATGAAATTATTTGATAGGAACAAGATTATATACTATGTCCTTGTTATCAATATATTTGATACATTAAAACCCATCTTCAGCATATAATCACTTTTAGTTCAAATTTTCTTTTATTTCTTTCTTTAACATATTAGATTTTAATAAATATAGCAAAAGATATTTAGTAAGGTCTTATGAAAGCCAAAAGATGTTAAACAATTTATATTAAAACTTTCACTGGAAACCAAATATAGAAAATATAATTTTAAAAAATCCTTAACAATGGGCTTTCATTGGTCTTTTAGATTTTAATAAATATAATATTTGAAAAAATATTACTGTATTTAATACGATAAGTTTCCTACATTTTCTTAAAACAAAATATATTCCAGCTGTCCAGTTGGTGAAATACTGAACAACTGACTCGGCTGTATATTCACATATGTAAAGTTAGGTTATCTGTTAAACTAATAATCACCAAGATGCTGTCAACTAATTCGGCCATAATACATAAACATGGAGAGTGTTGTATAAGCCATCAAATACTGGAGGTTTATTTAAAAATAATTATTCTTAAAAATGAGATACCATATATACTTGGGTATAAACCAACTTCATGTATATGTGTGGCCCCTGAAGTTTTTGGCATGAATTTTAACTCCCACAGAAAAAATTTTACCTGTGTATAGTGTAACAGGTCACCAAAAAGCATGATTTTTTTTAAACTCTTCAAAAAAGTTTGTCTGTGCAACACCCTATTTTTTGCATAAAAAACATTTTGGCTGCAGTAACACTCTCCTAGCTTTCTTCAGATTTGTTGGAAGTGGTAAACTTCAGAGAGTTTCAAACGGAACTTTATTAAATTCACAAGAGATCATTTGTTTCCATTCTGCTATCCGTTCTTGTATCAATTAATTCTATCAGTTTATCAATCGTCTCAATCAGTTGTCTCTTTGCAGTCAACTAGAGTCCATAACTTTTCCCCACTTTTCATTCCAAAGATTAAAATCACAAGTATATATACAAGTAAATAGGTATGAAGGTACTAGGCAGGCTTTTCTGAAAGGGTTCCAAAAAGACTGCCATATATATATGTTCCTAGATTTTATATGAGAATTTTTGACTTACCTGTTTTAAGGGACTAATCAAAGCTGTCATGCAGTTTGTACTCATATATTTGGCCAGTACTTGATAGGAATTGAAGCTTTTACAGTTTTTGGCCTCCATTAATTTGGAAACCAAAGCCTCAACTGTTTTTTCTTCTGCAACTTCACCAAATATATCTTCATTGAAAACCTTATGAAAAACAAGAAATAAAATAAAATCTTTTAAGAAGGAAAATAAAAGATGAAAGAAAAATACATTTTTATAACAAGAAAAAGAATTAATTCATAAGTGGAAATTTTAATTCTCAGTTTATCAAATATTCTTTTATCTACTACTTCTTTCCCATAATAGATGTTACATTTGTCTATTTTTTTTTTTTTGGATTATTATTAAAGAATGTCGTTATGTAGGGATAAGTAAGGCAATTATCTCCCTTCGGTGGAGATGAGTCACGTGACCACTACTTAGTGACATCACTTCATGCAGTGATGTGAATGGCCAATCATTCAGTTTGTTTACAGCAACTTAACCAAGTAGTTGCTTTTTTAGCCTTGGCCAAGGGTCCAGACTGAGGTTAAATTTGCCTCCTCCAGCAAATGCTACAGTTTACAAGTCCATGGTGTCGTTTTCCTTTGAAAATATATCTTTCCCAGATATAGAAAGAAACTCCAGCTCGCAGTCCTCAAGTTGGGAAAACCCAACACTCACTATTTCCCTTTCATGGAATATGTCCTCACCTGGGACATAGTAGATGAATCCTGCTCATTTTAACCTGGAGTCCTAAACATGGCTTCTCCAGAAAAACAAAAGAACCTCCATGTTATATATAAGAACCTTCATTTTTGTTTCTCCTTGCATGCTGCTCACTGTATATGATATATTGTTTTTCATGTAGGAAATGTGTATATATGTATATATAGTTTTGTGTATGTCTTAGTGGTATAAAAGCCTCTCTGAGAACAAAGCATGTTTGTCGTTCCTTTTTCTTTCAGCTATTCTGTTCCATTCGTGAACTTTGGTTTGGTTTGTTTTGTTTTACAGCATATCATCCTCAATGGGTTATGTAATGCTGACAAAATTTTTATTGCTGGTAATATTTTGTTTTATCAAAAATCTATTTCTGGTAATATTTTTTCTTCAAAAATGTATCGCTGGTAATAATATTTTTTTTTTTTTTTCAAAAATGTATTCCTGGTAATAATTTTTTTTACAAAGTATTTCTGGTATTAAAACCTATTTTTACACTTTCATAGTGTTTTTACCCCAGTTTCAGGGTTAACTATTTGCCCATAGCTGGGACCCTAACAGGTGTTACCACTCTGGGTCATGGGAACACCAGCAATTAAGAGGTGGTTCCATGCTCCTCAAAACCTCCTGATCAGAGGTCTTGCTGCAGGACGTAGTTTATCATCTTACCCAGGATGCAGATGTAGTTTATCGTCATACCCAGGATGCCCATTCATGAACTACAGTGTTATTATATCATGGATATAATAATGCCTATAATGGGGGAAATACAAATGGAAGAATAAACCTTACTTCCATAGCACTCTTACTGTTACAGTTATATGTTCTAGTAAGAATCACTTAAACCTGACAGCTTTTGCTTTTTTTTTTTTTTTTTACATACTATATCCCTTCAGGTTCTATTATTTAACATTTGAACTGACATGACTTCTTAGGAAAATACTTGAATAGTTTCTATTACAGTCTCCACAGTTTTTAATTCAGAGTAACTACTCCTAGACTGACTGCAATCCAAAGGCTAACCTGCTATTTAACCCATACCTAACAGAAGTAATTTTTAATAGTGAGGTGTTTTAAAGTGAATTGTTCCAAAACAGCTAAATTTGAAATTTTTCAAATTGCATCTGTAGTGTTGATATATTTCAGCAAATAGTATTTGATGGAAATTTAAGAATACTTAAGGCAAAACTTGAAATAGTAAATGATATTTGAAATTATTACTGTATTTGTTACAATGTTCTAAAAATTAAAAAAATGATTCATAGTATTGTAACTTGAAAAGAATTTAAACTATTAATTCCAAAAAATGTTTGAATGTAAATTCTTTAAGTGTTCTGAAAATGAATAGTTCCAAGCAATGAATTCATCAACTATTTCATTTTCATTAATTTTACCTTTTATTTTGTTTTTATTTACAAATGTACAAACTATTTTGGGACAGAAGTGATATAAGATAGACATACTCCAACATATAAACATCTTCATTATGATATAAACAGACTGAGAAAGACAATTAAGGAAGGAGGCTATAATTTAAGTTAACAGATTTACAAACCATCCTGCTGCCTATGACATTGTTAGAATTATAATGTTTTTAAAAAAATACTGCAATGAAGTTAACCAAAAACGTTTCTCTATTGTAAGTAATAAACATAAACGTTCTTGATAATGACTAGTGATAATGGAAAATAATCAAACAAAAAAATCAGGAACTTTGTAGATTTTATTTCCACAGGTTTGGTGGAAGAACAACTCAAGTTCTTTAACAAACAAAACAAAAAAAATTCTACATCTACATTTTAAAAAATACACACACACACACTCCTATTAGCCATTCCTTCTACTTACAGAGGAATGGTTGGAAGGGCTCTATATAAATTTAAAACCATCAGATGAAAATCAGAGTGAGCCTTCCTCAGTACCAAGAACATGTCATGGTTTTGGTTCTGACAAACTGGTAGTTGTTTAATATACCTGTGCAGAATGGTTTGTAAGTGCGTACATTCTTTAATAGATTTAATACATGAAATGTAATCCATAATATATAATCACAGCCAACATGAGACAATAAGAGTGAAGAGGAGAAAAAAATGATATTTCATTTACCTCAATGAGACTTTTCAGGCAAGAGTCAAGGTCACCAATTTTCAGTTGACCTGACAATGCTTGCAGCAAGGAATGAGTTGTAAAACCCAAAACATGAAGCTGAAAAAATTTTTTTAAAAATGTAAATAATTTGAAGTAATTTTTTCAATCATGTGTGAGATAAAAAATCTGCAAAAGCAATATTAATGTACAAATTCTTTATAATTAACCTAAAAAGTGACTTAAGAATGAATACTAAGCAAAATAATTCTTGAATTTTTGCTATATTGAGGTTTTTAGAAATATATTTATTCTAACTTTTCTATAGGATAAAACAGACGTTCTTAATAATAAAAACAGATAAATCTGTAATGAGGAACAATTATAAAATATTTTTTGATTGAATAAAACTTATAATGGATGTTAATATTAAATAATATTAGGCAATATTTATCAGAAATTTTTGAGGATGTGTTTTCCTTTTTATTTTTATTTTTTTTTTCAGGACAACAAAATCAAATAATGAAAATAGCTTACTTGGTAACCCCTGGTGAGAGCAGATTTCATCTCCGACAAAATATATGGGAAGTAGCCAGGTCCAAGTGACTGAGCTATTTTGACCAAAGTGTCACGTGAAGATTTACGGATATCCTGAGACCGTGACTTTAAAAACTGGCACACACGCAGCAAGATGCTAAATAAGAACAAATTAAAAATGTCACTTTAGAATCAACACACATATATATGTGTGTGTGTGTGTGTGTGTGTGTGTGTGGAGAATCTTGGAAGTAGTGTATTAATAATTACACATTCAATATATGCCTGTCTGTGTGTAACTTTGTATGTGTGTATGTAATGTATATGTACATGTGGCATTTAATGTAAACACAAGTACACACACATATAAATATACAATTTACCCAACATTCAGGTAAAAATGGTACAAGTGGAATGATAGTAAAAAATGGTGTAACTAATTTCTTGATAAAAAATCTGTTAATTTTTGAAACCCTAAAAATATCAGATAATTATAAAATTTGATCGACCTATTTGGAAATTATTTTTTTAAAGATTTTCTTTTGCTTTTTTTTAGTTTTATAGAAATATCTTTTAGTCTATCATTGGATTACAATATACTTGTGCACACACACACACACACACACACACACACACACACACACACACACACAAATATACATACACACAAATTTTGATTAAAATTGAAATGGACATGTGTGTTGTAGGGGATCATTTTCCATTCTGTCTGGCAACAACCCCAGGAAACAGGAAAAGAGCATAACTCAAAATATGCAACCCTTTAAAGTAATTTTTTATGACTCTTCTGTATTAAAACTGAATATATTTTTTAATAAATGCAGTATTTTAGAATGGACAATTTAGATTAGAAATTTGAACATCTTGACATCAACAAAGTAACCAATACCAAACTTGTTCATATAAAAGCTATCAGTAGGGAAAATTAATCTCAAAAGTAAATATGCAATTTAAAGTGAAAAAAAAAAAGAGTTTATTTTCATATATCAAAGAAAAGTAACTTGAAGCAGAAATTAAACAGAATAATATGCTTAGAATGAGATTAGAATACTGAAACTTAATATAAATTTACATGAGGGCCATATCTAAAAAGTTATGTCTTTATGGTGAGTGAAACCAAACTCAATTTTTAATTAATATCAAAAGTTTTTCAGTTATTAAAACATTTTCATATTGAAATATTTAGATTGATAAAATTTTCATTTCTGACAAGGGATCAAGAAGAGTTCTACTTACGAAGGGAGATTACTCTTCAGAGAGTGTTCAGGTAAATTTTTCAATAATTTAATCATCGTCAGAGCAATTGGCACTCGCAGAATCTCAAAGTCCTCAGCATATTTTGACTTAACAAGTTTGTGTTCAGTTTCACTTCTCACCTGAAATCAAAACATCAAAAGAAAATAAATAATCAATAAGAATATACAAAATAATTTCAGATGACACAGATTTTACAAATGGATCTGAAATGTAAGATATCTACCTCCAATATTCAAATTCCTGTTCAAGTGAAAAAAGACAATAAAATAAGAAACAAAATTATCAAGAGCCATGCCAGATTTTTCTTCATGGTATCATAATGAAATAATTGTTAAAAAACTTGTTAACTATTAGCACTCTAAAGATGATTTATTTGCAAAACAAAATGTTTGCCCTGCAATTGTAGGTGACACATTGCTGAACAAATGTTATATTTAAATAACATGGTTGTGTTATCATGCCCTGCTATAGCAACAGTGAAAACGACCTTGATTGAAATTCAGAATGAGGCTACCGCAGTTAAGGAGGAAGAGTCAAAAGTAATATATATGAATAATGCAGAGTGATAAAGGAAAATATTTTCTTAAAATATTTAAACACACACACATGGTTGCATTTTTTTAAGCTTGTATCAAAAATTTTAAGAATACACATGAATCTTTTAATATTGCAATGAAAATAACTGAAAAGCCAGTATGAATAGAATTACTTAATGTGACTAACTAAACAACAATAATAATAATAAAGTATTTACGACAAAAGAAATCAAACCAGTTCACCATTTATGATTGTTTCCAAATAAATGATTGCCAAAAAGGATTGTTTTTCTTTCTTTATATTTCAATCTTATCAAATGAACTTTTATTATATCTGTTTCATCATCATCATCAGTCATATAACTGGGTGTGGTCATAGGGGGCATTGCACAGGTGAGCACCTCATAAAGAATCTGTTCAATTGTTTTCCTTACCTTTTGGACCAAGCATCTGTAGAGTTTTGGCAAGATGTTGTTCACAATTGAAGAGTGGATTCTGGTAGCCATGCCAGCAGGACAAATTACTCGACCAGATGCACTTTGTTTTCCAATTCTGGTGTCTTCTTCATCTTCGTCTTCTTTTTCTTCTTCCTTTTCCTCTTTATCATTTTTCTCTTTTTCTGAAAATCATTAAAAAACAAAAACTAATAAAAATGAACCTGATAAAATTACAACAATTGTTACTAATTAAATACTTTTATATCTTTTTGAGGCAATTAATATTTTGAATCATGTACATATCTTTACACGTGAAGCTTACAGAACAGCATTCATAGCAAGAGAAAAGTCCAAATGTTTCATAGACAATTAACTATAACTGATTTTCTTATGTATAAAAACATGATAGAATCAATATAAAATAATAGATATTTATTGTCTGGAATTTGAATATTCAATGAAGATTTGGGATTATTCCACATTTTTTCTGATCTATTTCCTATATTTCCTATGTTGCATAGCAAAATGGACTAGTCTATTTCCAGATGCATCATGAAATGGGCTCATCTATTCCCATGTTTTATTAGTTGTAAGTTTTACTCCTCCCTAAAATGTACATATATAAATAAAAGCTTCTAACATAGACAGCAATCTGTGTGTTTTCCTTTCCACTAAAATATATAGTTTGCAAAATACAGAATTATAACATAGGTGATATCAAATTCTTATTTTATTCTTTTTTAATCATTTCACCCTAAGCAAGGTAACAAAGCCACTAAGATGCAATGGGTTACTGTGAGTGAAGAATATGAGAAAAAAATACATGAAGGAGAGAGAACAATAAAAGAACAGGAATCAAGAAGATAATGATTGAAATTTAAATTTTTGAAGATCAAATTTGACTGGAAAGCAAAAGCTGTAATAGAATACCACAAGTGAGAAGTGCGAGTGAAGAAACTGTTAGCATAGAACTTATGGTTACATCTAGCCATGTTAACTGTAAAATGATGAAACCTAGATGCCAATCTAGTTAAGTCTAGATACAATAGAAGGAAGTTCATTAGAACAATTACTATGAAAGTATTTATAGAAAAGGCAGAGGGAAGAAGCTACATTATGGCAGTGGGAAACTGACAGCAGCCAAGATGTCAGGTCAGGACCAATCATATTGCAGATTATTCTTTGTATTCTATCAAGAATCTCTAAATATGACAGAATTATTTGAAGCATGGACAAATAGTATTCTGCTAATATGCTGTTCATATGCTAGTCTGTTGCTGCGGACTATACCCTATCGTGATATATGGCTTCTTTTGAACTGCTGTTGCTGCAGTAGTACAACAATACATCTAAATTCTTTTAGTTTACACTTATTCATTTTTATTTTTCTCTGATTTTCTATAAATCAGCTCCAAAGATAGTTGTAGTCATTTGTGTTTTGCTTTAGGTATGTGTGTGTGTGTGTGTGTGTGTGTGTGTGTGTGTGTCTACTGGTTCTTTGATATTCCTTGACTAATACAATCCTTATATAACACATCTTATATCAAAACAACTGCCCAGCTTCTATAACATTGTGATTGGCCAACATATGAACAAAATCAAAAGAATAAAAACCAAATAGAAGCTGTTATTACAGACAACATTTGAGACATAGAAGAAAAAGGAACAAAGTTACATCAACTGGCTTAGAACTATACAGGAAAATATAACTATGCATACATTGGTCCATATGACATTATCAAAAGACCCCATTCACAGGCATTTTATTATACTAAGGTTCACCCAATCTAGGCTTGAAAGTCACAAGGTAGAGGGTTACAGTCAACAAATCCATTGAACGAGATGTGTGATATAAATAGAAGAGAAAGTGGTAAGAAATGAAGATTTAATATAAGGCTAGAAAGCCACTTAAGGTAGAGGATTAATCAAGATGATAATGCTGAATAAGGTGTGTGATATGAATGGAAGAGAAAGTGGTAAGAAATGAAGATTGTAAGGATGAGGAGGAAAAATAACAATTGACGCTTAAATTGAAGAGATTGAATTGTTTAAAGAACCAACAATGCTGGAGACTGTTCCACAATGTATCAGTTCTTAAGAAAAAGCTGAGTTAAACTTTCTTCTTACTTTTGGAAGACAGAGGAAATGAGGGTGTTTCAGCTCTGAGGCAGTGGCATAGTGAATCCTAGTTATAAAGATTATATCATTATTATGACAATTTGTCTAATCGTTATTGAATTGTTTATTTATTTTCATATATAACATATAAACATTAATTGTTTATTCTTTATTTTACAGCTTTGAAAATGATTGGTGAAAAAATTGCAATTAGAGCCAATTTTATGCTACCTGTGGGAAAAAGGACCGAGTGCAAGAGCAGTGGCAAAAGAAATTAATGATGGAGAAGGCCCAGAAATTGTCAATGAATGTGTGGCACAAAACTGGTTCAAACATTTCAAGGAAAGTGACACCAGCCTCAAAGACAAACCAAGGTCACAGAGACAGAAGATGTTGCTTTGCTTGCAATGGTTGAACAACAGCCAAACACTAGTACATTATCAGTAGAACTTAGTCCTTCACAAAGCTCCATTAATTGACTGATCCATAAGCTTGGTCATGTGAACAGATACTGTCAAGAATTATTTCATAAACTGACCAATGACCAGGCTCAATAACATTTGAGCACTTGCAAACAAATACTAGGAAATCCTCAAGATGTCCATTTTTACCATCAAATTGTAACTGGGGATGAAAAATGGATCTATTTCCATAATACAAATAAGAGAAATCTTGTAACTTCATTCCAGCCAGGCTTCAGAACCTGTTGTCAAACAAGGGTAGTTTGAACAGAAGGTTGTGTGTGTTTGATGGAATTTTGAGTAGGTGTTGCACTTTGAGCTTGCCCCAGATGGTCATGCTGTGAACACTGACCTTTAGGCTCAACAACTTCAGCAAGTATATGATACTTTGAAAGTCTGCTATTCAGCAATGGTCATATGAAGACATACTCTTATAGCAATGTTCCAGCACACACTGCCAATGTGACCAAGCATGATCTTGTGGAACTGGAAGTGCTGCCTACTGTCCAGACCTTGCACCATAAGATTATAACATTTTCCAAGCCATGGCTCATTCCTTGCACGGATGGAGGTTCAACAATGTAGATATGGTTGAAAACATGTGCGGGCAGTTTTTTGCTTCTAAAACAGCAAAATGTTATAAACATAGAATTGAGCTTCTGGCACAACAATGGCAACAGACAATAGAATCTGGTAGGATATATTTTGATAAATAAATGCTTTTCATACATAATTTGTTTGAACTATTAAAGCTTGAAATAAAAAAAAAACTTGACTCAACTTAGTATATACATGAGCCCACTACAGTTTAAGAAGTAACAAAGGGATTAGAAAAAAGTCCTATAACATTGGAACATAAACAATAACACCAGATTGAAATATAAACAAAATAACACAATCACATAGAGAAAGCTGGAAATGAAATGGGTGAAATATTGTGAAATTGGCAGCAAACATAAGAACAAAAACAATCTTTTACAGTAGTTTCACAAATGACTAATGGTAACTTTATTTCAGACTTGTTTATTATAATGGAATTATTGTGAAGTGATAAGTAACATAAATCTTTTATGAAAAGAATTGTTATTCAAAATGGAACTGACCTTCTTTTTCTAAGACATGTTTGATGAGATTATTGGCATTAGAACCAGTGTAAGTACTGTTGGACAAATCAAAATGAAAACCATCCAAGATGGCAATCACAATTCTGGAAAGAGAAGAAAAGAAAAAAAATTAATTCTTTAGATTTTCCATTCATTTTCACCTGTTCTTTAAAAAAATGAAGTGTCAAAATATCAGATACAGTAGTAAACTGGATGGTTTTCAACCTTGCTCATTTGTAAAAATGAACTCAGACAAATTATGTTATTTAATAGGTAGTGTAACTGTGGTAACAATGGGACACAAACAGGATTTAACATTGTTTGGCTGCAAAATGATAGACAGGGTATTATCTCAAAAGTGGTTTCTGCTTTAGGTTCTTTTCTGGTAACAGTAACAAGAATACACAAAAAATATATAAATTCCTGGCAGACATCAACAGCATGTAAAAATTTCAAGTGTCCAGACTGCTAGTAACAGACAAGGATGGTAACTGCCCAATGAAGGATAACATTACACCAAATCACATCCCAATTTAATACTGGTGCTATTAAAACACAGACTTTACATGGTACAGTGCATTTACATGGGGTTTTGGAGTTGCCTGACTAACAGGTGTACCATTATTTGCATCATTGGTTACTACACTTTGACAGGGAGGGAGAACATTGCCAGTAGATTATGACAGACTGGTGACATGTCCACTGTTCAGAAGAATCATGCTTCCAATTCTTTCAAGTAGACACTCGAATTCATATGTGAAGGAGACTGCATGAGGCTACGGATCTAGCTTATTGTCAAGATATTGTGCAAGCTGATAATGGCTTTGTAATGGTAGAATTCTGCTCAAGTTCAAAAAGACAGGTTTTGACATAAACAAATCTTACAAATCAATTGGAATTCTTTATTCTCACCATGTTTCCTGGGAGTGATGGTATGTTCCAGCAAGATAATGCAACTCCCCCTTGTGTGCAGGTGACACAAAACTGGTTCCAGAAACACCTCCAGATTTAAACCCCATTGAGCATATATAGGATATTTTCAAGGTTTCAATAAATTCTCCGCAGACTAAACAATAGTAATTCTGTCATGCCCAACCATAGCTTCCTTTGTAAGGTTTTGCAATAATGAGAAAATTAAGAAAAATCAATAATGAATAATATATTGAATAATATTATTTGTGTAAAAATAGTAATAACTGAAAATAACACAAGTTGGATCAATGGAAATTTACACTATATTAAAAATAAGTTGCTGCAAACCATTAGTATATTCATATTGTGACTTCAACATGTTTTCAAGGAAGTTTGTAGACAATATACTTAATGTAGATAGGTACAAATATATTAACCTATAGATAAGTAATAGTATGGAATTAACACATTAATTCCATCTATATTTTACGCGCACGAGAGTTTCCTCCCTTCCTTTCACACTCGTGCGTGTGTGCGTGCGGTTTTCACCCCTTCCTTCCTCTCACAGCTAGACGTAGCAGTGACCTGAGGAAGAACTTCGCTAGCTCCTCCTGATGAAGTCAGACTAACAGATTTTGAATTTTTTCCCGCACGTTTCGCGGCGTCTCAAACGGCCAGCGTTTGCAAACCGGTTGCCTCCTGACTTTCGACCTGACTAGACGGGCAACTCATTTATTCCGTGCCCTTAACCCATATGCAGGGCGAATATCTTATCTCAACGATGTTGACCCCACTTATTTACCAAGATTTCTTCTCATCTTGGCGTTACCTGCAGGTCAACCAGTTGCTCCGTTTTCGACCAGAAAACGTTTGAGACCCATCGTTCGAGACGCGACACAGTGTAAAGCAGAACTTATCCTCGTCAGTGAACCAAACTTTAAATACAGACAGGGATATCTTATTGACGAACAAACTTGCTGCCCGCAGGTCAGACCTTCTCCGTTTTTCGACCAGAAGGCGTTCGAGACACACGACACAGTTGTGAGCAAAACCGTATTCAACAAGTGGCTTATTTTTATCCCTCGTCAGTCAATCGTAAATACAGACAGGGATATCCTACTGACGAACAACTTGCTATCCGCCAGGTCAGACCGTCTCCGTTTTCTGCTAGAAAATGTGCGAGACACACGACACAGTCGTGGGCAAAACTTCGTATTCAACAGGTGACTTACACTTACCCCTCGTCAGTGAACCAGTAAATACAGATAGGGATATTCTTACTTACGGACAAAAATTTTTCATCTCCCTGGGCTCGCCATAAACAACTCTACAAGACCATTAAACTCGCTTCAAACATTCTTCGTTTCTCCTGGCTAGATGCCCACAGCAATCCGGTAAAATTTCCAGCAGCCAATTCAATGCCTCACCAAAAACTCTGAGACGACCGAACATTCTTTCTAACTATGAACCGGAACACAAAAATACCACACACACTTACAACGCCAAAAAAAAAAAAAATCCACAGTGAGTACTCCTTTCTATCTGTGCGCACATACACCTCGTGTTTAACGAGTTCCCTTTTTCCAGAACTTTATAAAACTCTTTTTCCCGCCTTGTTCATCTTGCATTCCTATTTAGGCGCGGAGCTCTTCTCTAATCTCGTACCACGAGATAATCTACTTGTTTCCATCTAATTAAAGTTACACATGTTTTATAAACAGACGTCTTTGTCATTTTATTCCGGCTATCTCTTTGATGTTTATTAATTTATGCACTTGTTGATTGACCCCTTTCCTCTCACTGTTCATTCATGCATTATTACATTATTATTTTTTTTTTTACATTGCTTGTGGACTCGGTAGTTTAGTGTGGTGTCTGGCACAAGGCCACTTTGTAATAAACCAGCACTGCACGCTACCGGGTCTGCAACAATAGTATAGCAGTAATTATGGTGTTAATTTCTCATTTCTTTGACTTTCCATATTTTTCAATTTCTGAAATGCAAGGCAGGTAATTTTCCCTTCTGAACAGTTCAGAAATAGAATAAAGGAAGTTAGACCTTAAAAAAAATAAAAAAAGCTATACACAACATGCAAAATTTACAGAGAAAAATTAATTGTTTTTATCCATATGTCCTCCATGTCGACAGTATGTAATAAATTTGGGTATGTTGTGACAATATTTATTACTGGTAAATAATAAAGTTTTTTGTTCATATTTCTGAGATGAGGTATTATGTACACTATTTACATTATTCGGACTATTGTTCTCATCTTTGTCATATTTATTACAACGTTTCAGCCATTGTATGCTCCAGCCTTCTTCAGGTGGTAAATGTTGAAGGTTTTTTGGATAGAATGAACGATATACCGACAAATCTCTAGTAAATAATAAGTCTTTTTGAATAAAACAAACAATATACCAATAAACTATCATGAGAAAGATTTAAGATTTTATTTCTCAAAAAGCTGAAATTCTCAAAAACCAGATGGCTAGTTAAAAACAACACTTAATTTTACAACAGGACCATGTAGTGGCAATCTGACAGGTGATGGATGACCACCAGCTAAAATGACTGGCCGAGGAAATGGAGAGAATCAGATAAGATTTAAAATCATAATTTGAAGATAAGGATTTTCTTGGAGAATGTCCCCAATGGGACCTGAGGGAAAAAAAAGCCATCTGGTTTGGGTTTCAATTTTGGACAAGGAAAACATAAAACTTATATGGAAAATTTGTCTGCTTAGGTGACAAGTTTGAAATGATAATTCTTTTTGATTAACGAATTTGGGAATTAGCTTCACCCGACAGTTGGGAACCATTGGTTGGAATGTGGCCAAGTTAGCAGGCACAGATGAGATACCGAGGAAGGTAGAGGAGCTACCCATGCCCACTGAAAAGTATTAGTGAGAGATGCTAAGAGGAGGAGGAAGTCATGAGGCAGATTGATGCCCATGGAAGTGGGGAATCCCCCAAATTAGGAAGTAATTAATTCTTAGAACCCAGACAATGGAGAAAGGGTTCTTTGTGACAAGTAGAGAAGATACTGAATATCCAGCTGCATTATGCCCCCATGATGGTTTGGGCAAATGTCAATAAATATGAATGCCTCAAAGCAAGCCATCAGACGTGAGACACCTCACGTGACTGCCTGTGAAGACAACCTTTGGCATCAGCTTTGTGCCAAACTTCACCAAGTCAGCAAACTGTCACATCTTACCTATGAAGCAAGTTGGGTCAATAATCGTCATCATACAAACTGCAAGACTTTGACAAAAAAACTAACCAACTGTTGTATGAAGGACCTTATATAAAAATAGTATTTATTTTTGTTATTCAAGTGTTATTTTCTTTCTTTGCATCTTCATCCTGCTTGGATCAGCCCAATACAAAGATATCTGATAACGATTTGATCTTGGCCAACCTTATGATCAAAACAAATCACAACATAGGATAAGACAAGGCCTGGATTGAAGTGATCGCCTATTCGATCAGCCGCAGGTATTGGATATTTGGAGGACCAGGGAAGGACTTGAGGGCAACATGTAATCCTGACAGAGTTATTGGTTATTGACATTTGGAAAAACACTCCTGAAAGTATGTTTCGAAAAATAATATCCGATAATGCATTTCACCTCTAATGGCTTCATCAGATGGATAACAAAAAGATGTGTTGTGTGTGTATGCATTTGTGTGTGTTTAAAATAATTAAATCTTATATTATTTTTCCTAAGCTGGTGACTAAAGACAAAGAAAATGAGTGATTTAAAAAAAAAAAAAATCACTTAAAAAAAAAAAAAAAAAAAATAAATAAATAAAAACAAATTTGAAATACTTACTTCATCATTAATTTGTGGTTTTCTTGTTCAGTTGTTATCTTATTCAGGTAATACCTCAGCTGTTTCTGATATATTTTCCATGGCAACTGAGAGCACAGAGCACCAAGCAACTCAATTGCAGCTTCTTGGAGACCTTCTATCTTCTTGAATTTGGTTTGAAGGTAGCCATTTGCAATAGGCAGCAAATACAATAAAAGAGTTTCACGTTCCATTTCATAGCTCGCCAGATTATTAGCAAGTCTGCGAAGGGCACGGGTTCTTCGGTGAACCTGTTGTACAAGAAACAAAAATACTTGATCAAGATTTTTTTATTGCCATGTCTCTTCAATGATCATGGTTCTCCACAGCTTTTCTTTTCTCTTTTTTTTTTTTTTTTAAATATCTGTAACCTTTGCACTACCTTGATTGTTCTTGAAAAAGATAATGAAGTGGTTTTCAAAGTTTTTCTCCAAGATTTGTTGCCATTTAAGACTAGAGAACCCAATTATTTAATTCATGGCTGGGAGGGAACATAGATTCATGCCTTTCCTACCTCAGCTGGAATTTGAACTCAGTTTGTTATGCCATTCAGCAACTAATATGCTTAAGATGTCATAAAATATGAAAACAAAAATTAAGAAACCTGAATATATATTGTAATATTGAATAAATATACTTTTTGTTTTGTTTTTTATTATATACTAGCAGCCATACCCAGCTGGTCGATCAGAAAAAAACGTTCAATTAGAATGGAGCAAAAACAGCATTATGTTTAGATGTAACAGAGTCTATCTTTTTCAATTACTTTAAAGTACCTTCATTAAAAAACATTTTGAATGAATGCAGTTACTGACATAACAGAAGTAGTCTGTATTTATTCAGTCAAAGTTAGCTGAAGACATGAAGGGTTAAAACAGGCAACATGAAGGCCCAAATCAGACCACAATTATTTTGAAGTTTTTGAAATTCAGTTTGTCAGTATGCTACCAGGGATGTAAAAGAGGATACATTTATAAAGTAATTGTTAAATTTAATGAAAATTGGTTGAAAGATTAATGAAAAATAAGAAAGAAGCCAGTAAAAATGGCCATTTTTCACTATTTACGCAGGTTTTCACTATATGAGTGGACTCAATTATCAAGTTAAATGACTGTTAAACAATCAACTTATTGTTGGTTACAATTGAGTGAAGTTTGTATTAGATTGCTTGAAAACTGAGGGAGTTCATAATTTAAAATTTGTGTTGAAATCAATTTTTTGTTTTTCACAGTTTTTCACTAAATGCAGTGGTGTAGAAATAAAAAATTAGGTATTGTTGAGCTCGTCATGACATAAGTAACCTACATACTGAGTTTGAATGAAATTGGAGGAAAAAAGTTAAATTTATCGATTTTTGATCGGCTTTATCGATTATTGATTTTTTAAAAATTATCAAATTTTATGCTAAGAACCTAGCTCTTACATTGTACAATGTATATGCCAAGTTTGATCAAAATCATTTGGATGGATCTCGAGTGAAAAGGTACCAGACAGACAGACATCCTCTGTTTTATATATAGAGATTTGGGACAAATCCAGTATTGTTATATACTTCATACTGCAGCACTTACCTGAATATGCTTTATGTTTTCAAAGAAATCTGTGTCTGGATCTTTGTCTGTGATTTTCACAAGGTCATCAAATGGTTTCCGTGAAGAAAATTTAATCACTACAGCTCGCAAAACTGTGCAGAACTCAGCACGAACAGACTGAAAAACATCAGAATCATTTATGTCAGAACAGAAAAAGAAAATCACAAGTGCAGCAAATGTGTAATGGTCTAACAGGAAATGTAGCAATGAAAGTAAGCAAAAAAAAAAAAAAAATGTTAAGAATTAAATAAACCTCTTTGAATATTACTGGCTGCAACAGACACCTGAGGAAGGTTGGAGAACACACTGGCTGCAATATAGTGGTCAAAACAACAAAGAGGATATTATTTTTGCCTGAATATCTTTAGACAAAGCATTTAACCTCTTGTTTGTCACTAATTTCTTGCTACAGTATTTTGGCTTCTGTACACTTTGACCTTCTTTGAGTGAATATTAGTTCTACTGAAGAATGCACATTCCTTCCCAAAAATATCTCATTCAGTGTTTCTGTACATGTCTGGAACCACAAATCAAGAATTTCTCTTCTGATCAGTGACTCCTATACATTAGTGATATCTATGACTATGTTTAGCCTGTGACCCTGATTCAAGTATAGTATATATGCTAATTCAATCAACCATCTTATTCTTCAGTACTGTTCTCTATTAAATATTTTAACCTAATTCTCACAGAGGCTGGAGAGCTACCTTATCACTCTACATGTGTTCAGCCAAGTTCAATTTTCCCTATAGCCAACAGCTTTCTTCTTTAAAAGGACAGCAAACCCCACACTTGTCTTTACTTCCACAACTGAAAGGAATGCTGTGCATACAATTGCAACAGGGAATATAAAGCAGAGACCTGACAACACATAAAAAACAATGAAGACACAAAGGTATAATATTAATAAATTAGCAAAGTAATTAAGGGGGGAGGGGTTAATCAAATAAAGTTTTCTTTTTTTCTTTGAAATTTGTAATAGCAACCCTCTTAAGCTGAGATAACTTGTTTAGTGCTACAAATAAAACTACTTATTCAGCAAGTCAATAATTTAGTGTTACCGATAGGTTGTCTTAGCAAATTGTCAGTTTAGTGTTAGAGATAATTTGTGATAGATCATTATTTTATAAGATGGCACACATCTCTTTGTGCAAATGGATAAAATCCACATATTTACATATGACAAATATTAAATGTTCGCACAATTTTGTACCTTAAATTTTCTAATGCAAATAATTCCATAATATTAATTACAATATCTTTTCGTTTACAGGTAAACGATTTTTCACAATATCACTTTTTAAAACTATCTGTACTTTATACAGCGTACATTATATTTAAATCAGAATTTTTTCTAATTTTTCTTCTTACTATTGGCAGAAAGATTTTTATGATAAAATCTAAATTTTACACATGCTTGTTTATTTTTTTTGTTCATACCAAAATGGAAGCCAGATTTCTATCAGTGTAGTGGTCCTCAATCTGTATTGTGATGCAGAAGAGAAATCAATTATGAGATTTAAGTGGATTTTACTGATTATATAATGTGAATAAGAAATAATAAAAATAAATAAAACTTACTTGGTTAACTCCTCCAATTCCAGCCTGTATTTGTGGCAAAATTGTCCGCTCAATGACTTCTTGATAAGCAAATTTGTCTTTGTTTGCTACTTGATCAAACTGGTTAATAATTGTAACCAAACAATTGGTGCTGTTATCTTTGATTGAAAAATCATCAAGCTGTATGGAAAAAAAAGAAAAAAAAGAAAAAGAAATTTAAACACATTATCACTATGTAACTCTTTCATAACTCCAATGAGGAAATATAGACCTCCAGCTAATTTTGTCTTTTAGATATACATTTGCCGTTTTATATATTTTGATATTCTACTTTCTTATCTTTATCTTTCATTTGTTTTCCCATACATATTTACATATCATTGGGATAATAGGATATATAAATCTAGGTACCACCAGTCTATGCTGCTTTTTTACGTGACCTAGTGGAGGTACCTATATAAATCTCAATACAGCAGAACAATGCCAAGAAATTGAATGACAAAGTTTTAAAAATTCTCTGTAATGTGTTTCATTATCTAAAAGAACTTCATCAGACTAAAGTAACATTTTTATTGATGGAACTATATATATGTATGGGATGGGGAGATATAAATGTTGGTTATAATTATGAACCGAGGGAAAGCACTGAAGATGTGGGAAGGCTAAATAAAAAAAATTTTAAGTTTTAAAATTTTTAAAATAAATATCGTTATTTGAAAAGTTTTTTGGTCTCCTTCTGATAAACTTTTGAATGATCATAATCCAAATTTTAAAAATAATAAACAAATAAGAAAAAAAGAATTATAATAAAATCTCCCTTCAGCGATAAATTCATTGCATCATAAATACTAATAGCTATTCACTAAACATATCATACAATGAATCCTCCTTAACACATTAATGTCTAACCATCTTGAAAATGGAACTGTGAGTATTAAATCAGTTAGAGGTCAAAAGTCACAATACCAGATTTTTAGAAACTTTTATAAGTTTCTAAAAATCATGGCATTTTTTAAAACCTATAACTAATAGAAGATTTTTAAAAAACTTCTAATACAGGAGTTTTTAAAACCCTATAATTAATACAGGAGTTTTTAAAACCCTATAATTAATACAGGATTTTGTAAAACCCTATAATTAATACAGGATTTTGTAAAACCCTATAATTAATACAGGATTTTGTATGAACCCTATAATTAATACAGGATTTTGTATGAACCTATAATATTGCATTTTTATTTTTATAACTAACACCAAATTTTATGGTGGACATGAATGAGTTAACTTACAGAATCTTTTCACAAAAGACACACACACTTTCCTTCTGGTTTAATAATAACCAAAAAATGTGCATAATTTATAGCTTGTTCATTTGAACAAATTACACAATCTATACCATTAAAAAAAGCACGAAACAATCATGGAAAATCCTTCTAAATTTGTATTTAAGTCCTGATATTAGCAGTTTAAATTCTACAGAATGACCGCACATTTCAGATGAGAGCAGTCTTTAGACATACTTTTATTCACAAGTTACAGTCAGCCACTGATAGTCATTTATGCTAATAATGATTATTGGCTTAAATTAGGAATTAAAACTTCAAGCTGAAGATAAAGAAAACAGAACATCAAGCTAATAAGCAAACTTTTTTTTCTTTTTATTTTAAAGATATGTCCCTTCAGGACTGAAGTGATCAGGATTCTCCACATATTCCTTTTCTTTATTATTTGTAAAATGCCATGTCTCTCTTCATGATTTGCAAAACAGTTCAATCTACCCTGCTATTTCATCCATAATTGGCAGAAGAGGTTCATGCCTTTCTCAAAGGCATCTATGTAAAAGTGAGCACATTAGACTAGTACAGAATTTGAATTCTAGGCTGCCAATTGCATACCAATACCTATTACACTACCCATAAATCCAATAGCCAATCTAGTGCAGCCAATTCAGCTCTTTCTAAAGCAACACAATCATGTAAAATCTCTGATGTATAAATAAATTATTGCAACTCTGAATTATCACAGAATACTAAAAACATTTTGTTTACTTAGGATTGAAATCAAACCAAAATTACATTCTAATTCTTATAAAAGAATGGATAAATAAGTCTGTAACTTAACAATAATTATTATTTGAATTTTGCTCTAAAATTTTCACTGTAAAATATTTGATTTACATTATTAGTTATGTTAAGAAGCCTCATTTACAGGATGTTGCAGCAAAAACCAACACTTGACAAAAAGAAAACAAAATAGGTAATAAAAACAAAAGTTGTATATGCAGAGACCCGACAGTTTATTTTAGCAACAGTTAGAGTTACATACTACATTATTTTTCAATGTAGCCGGTGGCGGTGGCGACCATCTTAACGCGGGCGCAAAATGAGTCACTCACTTTGGCGACCATATCCATAGTGGCATGTTGTGGGCGTGCTTGTTAGTCTTGGCCTCGATCACGCCCCAGAAGAAAAAGTCAAGAGGGTTGCAGTCAGGCGAGGAGGGCAGCCACAAGTCCAGCGACCAGTGGTGAGGAACATTGGGTCATCTTGGCCTTGTGTGCAGCAAGGGGGACGTCATGCCTCTGTTCTTCTTTCAATAGGGCCTGAGAGTCACTGCTGAGATCTACCAAGAGGTGCTGAGGAGCGTGGTGAAGCCCTGGATGGACAAGATTGCCGCCGGACACCCCTACATCTTCCAGCAGGACTCCGCTCCTGCACACAAGGCCAACACGAACCGGGCGTGGCTGCTCAACAATTTTCCTCACCACTGGCTGCCGGACTTGTGGCCGTCTTCGTCACCTGACTGCAACCCCCGTGACTATTTCTTCTGGGGCGTGATCGAGGCAAAGATCAACAAGCACGCACACAACATGGTTGACTCTCTGAAAGCTGCCATCATGGAGGCGTTCGCTGCTATGGACAAGGACATGGTCTCCCAAGTGTGTGACTCATTTCGCGCCCGCCTTGATATGGTTGTCGCCGCTATCGGCAGTTACATTGAAAAATAATGTAGTATGTACCTCTAACTGTTGCTAAATAAACTGTTGAGTATCTTCATATACAACTTTTTTTTTTATTGCCTAATTCATTTTCTTTTTGTCAAGTGTTAGATTTTGCTGCAACACCCTGTATTACTAAGGATGTCAGAAGGATGATAGAAAAGATATGAGCTTTTTGTTCAAGAATTTTAGTTATGGTCACAAACTTCTCTAGACTGGGACCAGAGACAGAGGTTAGCAATACCCTTTTCTCTCACTCAGAAAATACACATATACACAAAAATATGTAAAACAACTTACTGATATAATAAAAAAACAGCAGTTGTGTACCAAGGGAAGGAGGAAATTAACATCCAGTTCTTCCATGTCACTAATAATTTTATTGGCCACTTTGAAGCCTTCAAGTCTCTGATGAAAATCAGGCTCCTCAATACGGTTTGGATTCCAAGAATTCAGCTGCAAAAGAAAGAAAAATTTTTAGAAATAAAATAAAACTTTCACTTTCAAATTAAATGAACAATGAAATTATGGAGTCCATAAAACTGTTTTTTTTTTATGGGCAATGTATTTAACATAACACTATACATGAAAGTTCTTTATAAATTCTTTAATACTTACTTGGTGTAAAATCTTGGCAATTTTTTCTAAACTTGACTGTTTCTCAGAAAGTTTCTGCAAATAAAAAAATATTAAAATGTTTAAAAAAACAAAAGTTATTACAAGCAATACAAAACATTATATACCAGAAAAGTTATTCATTTAAAAAAAAAAAAAAATCTATCATCATAACCAAATGCCAAATATTTAAACTGTATATTAATAAACTAGTTTTTTAAATTTTTATAGTTAATTTGATAAAGCAGTATTTAATTTAATTTCATAATTTTATTAACTCATTCACTGCCAATTGTATTTTTTAATGGTACACCTTTTGAGTCTTGTTTTTCTCATAAAAAATTGATGAGGTCTTGATTGCATGTTTAAATCTGTTTTATTTTCACACAAATCACCTAATATCTAAAATCAAATATCTGATAAATGATATATATGCATAAATGTGTTAAAATATTATTGAATTTCTTAATTTTTTTTTATTACACCAAGGGGTTTTTAATCTTTAAAAATGTTATATAGAAATGTTGGGTAGATTAAATAATTTTTTTTTAACAAAGTTCACAGCAACAAAATACATACATACCTGAACAATGTCACACAAAACCTTTCGGGGTCTTCGATGTTTTATTGAAGTAAATAAACAAATGACTTTTCTATAATGTGAAACAAACAACAGTCAATATGAGTAAAACATTTCACAAGAAACATGAATGAAATGTTTTTGTAAGAAACAAAAAGAAATCTTGATATGCTTTCATAAGATTACAAAATAAAAGAAACATTTTCTTCATGTCCAATACAATAATGCAATTTTCCAATTAAGAACAAACATTATTTCATTAATTTCTATCTGAAAATCTGGGACGAGGAGTTATCATTATTTACACTATTTACCTTTAGACTATTGTCCTCATCTTTGTTGTTATTATTAACAACAAATAGTCAATAGTTTGAAGATAAAAAGTGTAAATAATTATTTCACTAGTCAGAGTCAACTGCAACCTTTTAATAAAACAATATTAAATTAATTTTTTTTAAAACGTGTGTGATGAGATATGGAACATCTTGTTATCATCCACAGATAAAATGCAATGAATACAAAGACAAAATGACTTTACAGTTTGTAGCCTTTTTTAACACAAGCATGCCAAAATTGAACAAATGTTATTAATAATATGTTGCAGTCTTTTTATGTAAAGGGTTTCCATATTTTTTAATCATTTTTTGCAGTTGGATTGGCAGAGTACTGTTGTATCATCAACCATGGTATCCTTGCATTAGCCCTAAAGAAATGTGCTCTGAACTGGTTTCTGTTCTCTTTAAAGTTTACAATATATGCATTGTTGCTTCTTGCTTTCCTGCATGTTGGAAATCCTCTTCTGTAGTTCCTATTTTTAAGAACTCAGGTGAACTATCTGAACCTTGTAACTATTATCATATTAGTCTTCTATCTCTTTTTGGCAAAGTCTTAGAGGTTCTGAATTGGTTAAGTATCTCACCTTGCAGTCTTCTTTTAGACAAATAATGTGGCTTTTGCATTTCTAAGTCAACTATTGATGTGTTAATGGTTATTGATGAAAGAGTCTGACAAGCTTCAAATAAGAAGGTTAAATCTAAACACCATATTGGAAATAAATGCCTTGTTTTTATTTATTAAATTGTGCATTACATTTATCAGTCTACATATTCAAAAAATCTTAGTAAAGAAAAATGCATTCCCTCACAGAGATTAAACTAGCATCCAGTAGGGGAAACCAGTGATTAAATGTTAACTATAGTTAGCACTTTGTCACTTGATGCACTGAATTTTGCATCATCAATCTCTTTCCAGACAGAACCAGTTTTATCTTTCAATTTATTTTTACAGTTTATATTTTTTCAGTCATTGTTTTTCTTTTTTTTATTGAATTCCCATTAGAACTATAGCAAAATAGGAAAAATAAAATGTATCCACTTTACTCTCTAGTGATCCACAAGCTGCAAAATGTTGGCAGCCATGTTCTATAAAACTATAAGGTTGCTGAGTTTTTTCACAAAATCTTTAGGATGTTACTTGACACTGGTCATATCCTCTTGAAATAACATCAGACAGATTGCATTAGGTTTCATGATGTCAGCAGCAGAAGAAAAAAAAATCACTTGCCTGCATCTTTTTTCACCACTTCATAGATGTCAATAAAGAGACATTTTGTCAAAATGTCTAGCAATTGAATAGAGTGCAGGAAGAAATGGGTTCATGCCTTACCCAAAGCTTTGGTATTGCAAAACTGAACCCATGCAGCCTTCATCAGAATTAAAACTCGATTTGCCAATTATATTTTCCATGCTAAATTATCCTGTCATCTTAGCAAATAAATATTATTCAGTTTTAAAATGGCCAATATTCAATGATTATATGTATTGCTTTCCACTAAATCCTTACCTGTAGAGATTTAAAATGTCCTTCTTTATGACTGGAATCATATTTAGAATTGATGTAAGGAGATCAAGTTCAGTTTCCTGATTGAAACAAAAAAAAATTCCATTTATAAATCATGACAATAATGATTGAATAACATTTGAAAATAAAAAAATGAAAGATCACTTCAACAAATATTTAATTATTAAATATTTGAAAAAAAAATTATCAATGCTAAATGATCAAAAAGCTTCATTTATTCCCACCAATTAAATTAATTAACACCACATTCAATTCAATCAGAGATCAGGAACCTAAAACTATCAGAAATGTTTAAGTATATAACAACTATAACAGCCCCCACTCAATATCCATGAGGCAGAGGTGTTCCAAGACCCACCTTAGTACATACCTGGAACAGCATTTAGTAATACATACGTTTTTATAAATTAGGCATAAATGAGTGTCTGGGAATGTTTTGTCAGGCTTTAAGCAAACCTTCCTTAGTAGGTCAAATATAGGTTTTATAATGGCATGCATGTTTTTCAAGACCAGTCACTTGTCAGTTCAAGATGAACTAATCACCAACAAAATGTGAAAGAAATTTGTATATTCATCCTTTGCCAAACAATGACCTAGTGGAATCAAACATTGATTAGTGAAATTGGTGACAATAACTCTATGATCAATCCCTAAGTTGGGTAGTACAAACAAACTTTGTCAAAACAAGTCTAACAATAACTAAACAATTAACCAAGACAAAATATTACAAGACATGGATAGTGGAATGAGAACAATCTGTAGATTGAATAAAGGGTTTAGTTCAATATTCCCTGAATGATAATTGAATTGACAGGCATCTGACGAAGCTGATCAGACAGAAAATGGAATATTCCTGCCAGAAGTCAGATCAAACCAAAACTGGAGTATTTCCAGCCACAACAGAGTTCCAGTGTTAACACAGTCTTGTAAGTGGTGAATTATTTTCCACCCTCCAACACCTTTCCTACAGAAGCAACATCACAAGCCTATTAATATTTCCCTGGAAAATTCCCTAGTTCTACCAATTCAGACCTCTACAGTGAAAAACCCACCATGCCATGTACACAAGATCAAACCATCCTCATTCCCTTTGTATTCCAATGGTAAGAAGGAAGTTCAATTTGGATAGCTTCTCTTCAAGAACTGCTGCTTTTTGAAATAGACTCTCAAGTGGATACTTACATGACCACTACAATCTTAGCCTATTCATGTTAACTGTTATCTAACATATCCACATAATCTACAATTCTTATGTCCATAAAACAATCCCATTCAATAACCCTCTATCTTGAATGGTTCTTTATTGTGTGAGCATCAGTATGAAAAAAAAACAATGAACAAAAATGCTTTTTATTGCATCTATCAAACTTGTAAACAAGATAGTAAGAAGAGATATTTAGTATATATGTATGTGTTTGTGTGTGTGCAAAATTTCAGATATAGCTAAAATATATATCTGTAAAAGGACAATATGAATTAAAGACAAAAAGAAAACTTATCTTAACTGACAGACTTCATCCTCTAATCAACTTTATCAAAGCAATTGTAAGGATTTTATTTTGTAACAATTATTTATAAACAATAGTAAAAATGTTGTCAGTTTTTCAAAATTTTTCATTTTAAGAGATGCTCATAAGCATTCATCAGGTTAAGTGAAAAGTCTAGGTAAATTATGGAGGATGCTAAGTGATATAATTTAATGTCTAATCAATGAAAGGTCTATTGTATTATATTGATGGTTATCGGGTGTGTGGTAACAGTTATGTTTCAAATTATATATATATATATATATATTGTAGATTTGGGCAGCAATCCTTCTTACATACATGTTTTGATAAGGTACTGTGTTTAAGCTTTTTATTTAATTTTTCTTGACACAGAGTGTGCAAAAGTTGTCCAAAAGTTCTGCATATCCAAGCGCTTTCAGCTATTCTTTTAGCCATTATCAAGGGCAATTCTTATTTTTTTAATTGAATGCATGGACAGTTTCTTTGAGCAATTACTAACATACTAACAACTATTGCGCATCCGATATTACAGTGCTAGTTACATAAAGGGCAGTATTTACTTACCCAACTGCGTTTCCCTTTCTTGGCAAGAATCGACAATAAAAGTGAAACCAATACTGGACATTGCTTGCTGCTTGTCACAAGATTAGTGATTCTGAAATTGAAGATAAAAAGATAAAATTATTTTGTAGCCAAAAACAGAATTTTCTGTTAAACATCTTTTAATAAATACTGCCAGGTGTAAACAAACCTGAGATGGAAGTAAAATCAGATGAAGATGAATAGTATTTGCTGGTCGGCTTTTGTCATCTTATCAGTAGGAATGTAAGTCAGAGAGGCTCCCAAAGACATCAGAGTTCAAATTTTATTGGAAGCTCATTTTCAATACATAGAGCACACTTAACAGTTATAAAATATAAAAATCACCTGACATTTGTAATGAAAAAAAGGCAACAAAAATAAGATGAATGAAAAACTAACCAAAAATGAATAATAATATTTAGGAAGATATATAAGCAATTGATGGATTTTATATTTAAACTGACATTCTTTCTTATTACTTTAAACATTTTAGTGAATACACGTGTCTGAGTAGATACCATTTTTTTTTAAACACTGTGAATTACAGTAATAAAAAAATTATGTCAGATTAAAAATAAAATCCATTGATTCTTTAGAGATTTCTGTTTACAACTTCAATGCAAAAATAAAGTTTACAGATCTGGACTTTCAAGATCTGAACAAGAAGATGATGAGTATTCCTTAAAAGGATAATTTAACTTTTTGGGGCTGTGAAGATTTCTGTAGCTAAATCAATCTAAAGCACATCAGATCAGACAATGGTTTTCTTTACAAAGGGAAACACATGTTTGAACCCCCTACCAGATGGAATACTTTCTTTATTAAGATTCTCAAATGCATAAGCAGATAGATGCAATTCATATTGTTTAAAAAACCAAGGATTCTATTAAAAAATGTGGATCCACTAAAACATAACATTTAGGATAATAAGAAATTTAGGTCTATAAAACACTTATAAATTCTATAATCCATAACCTGATATAGTTATTTGCTGAATTTTGATCTAAAATTTTTACTGTATAATGTTCAATCAATGAGATTAATGAGAAGCATTGACAAAGAAGGAGATTATGTGCAAAAAAATAAATATTTGTTGTATAAAATAAATGCTTTTTTTTTTTTCTTTTCAACATTAGACAACATATTTACTGATTTCCATTTCAATTCATATCAATGGAGTGCCATGCTGAATAACTTTCCTTAATGGCATTTCCCGAGGTAATGAGTGTTACTTAGCACCCATCTTCTCTCCGAGTAACAAGTGACAGGTTTTACTGGATTACATAGTACCAGCAATAAAGCATGATCCCTGACCTGACCTATAATTGGTAAAGATAATAGAGTAGTTTCCACTGCCTTTTCCATAGCCTTGACTTCAGACTAATTCTTCTCATAGACTAATTACCAAACAAGAATACAGAACCCAGTTTACCTTGCTATTTAATATATAGCTTATAGTAGAAGAGATGGATTTCATGCTTTTCCCAAAGCTATTAGTGCAAAAGTGAATATATCGGACTCAGTGAACATTTGCACTCAACTTGCCAATTCCAATTTTCATGTCCAAAACTTTTGTGCTACCCACAGATCCAGTATTGATTTACCTCCATGCAGACCTGAATTTTAATTCTATTTTTTAATAAGACCAATTTTGTGAATATATACAAAGGTTATGTAATGTAGGTTGATGTAGCTGAACAGTGATTGCTTTTCTAGAACCAATTTACACATACTGACATGTAATAAAAGATCTATTTTATATTAATTTAGATCTTTATCTTTCTGTAAGTAGTTGCGTTATATAAAAGGTATTGGTTTGTGCTCCTTGTTTTGTTGTTGTTGGTTTAATTTTTAAAGTGTTCAGGGGAGATAATATAGTTTAAACAAATCACTTGTTGTCAGTGTCATTATTACTTAAGCTATTATGAATCCAGCTGAAGTATTATAAAATAGTAGTCAGCTATGGTGTTGTACAACAGACCAATTTTTAAAAAAATATTTTGAGATTTATAGCAAGTTTAAATCCTGTCAGTGAAAGAGGATGATTTTATTTGAATATCTGATTAGTTACAGAAAATAGTGAATTTATTTTGGATATTATTACATTATCTACAAAGGCTGATTCAAAAATGCTCCAGAATGAAACTAGAAAATCTTTATAGCTACTTCTCTCACAAATAATGAAGATTTTCCATTTTCAAACTGATCTTATTTTATAAATGCAAGACTATTACCGACCATTTTCATTTTTAAATATTTACCACTTATTAAATCAATTTACAAATTTTTTAGTATCACTTACTTGGAAAGAATGGTCAACTCTCTGCAACTGGCATTCTTTCGATTTAAATGAGAAATGACTGATGATATGTTCCTCTGGAGGTGCTCCAAGAGAGTAGGAATATGGGGTTTAAGAATTTGGATGCCAAGTTCTGAAAGAAAGAAAAAAAATGAAAAAATGAAAAAGTAAAATAATGTAAAATAAAATTTATAGCCACAACATTGTTAAATTTTTCTTCCATTGTTATTACAATAATTAAATGATTTCTACTTATCCTAAGCTGTATTGACCATTTAGTTTTAGTTTGATATTTGACTGTTACATAAGATCTATCACCACCAGAAATCCTTATCAACTTTGCCAGAGAAGTTGGATGGACTTGTATTCATCCATGTTTATCTCTTTACGCAATACCTCTATAAGTTCTTAATGAATTTTTGGTAGATACACAAATCTTTTCTCAATTTTGTTAATATTATGATATAGGACAATTTTTCAGCTTTTCAGATAAAATGAAGTAATTGAATCATCATAATGAAAAATAAAGAATGATAATACAATAACCAAATCTTACAAGATCTGTAATTTGATTGGTCAGTTTTTAGTAATAATGGTATCATAAGAGTGCTTTCTAGTTTATTCAAAGCATTTTGTTTTGAATAAACTTATTGAAGATTCTGATAAAGTTTCTAAAAGTATTTCTTACCATTGTTAATTTTAAGAAGGGTTATTACCCTTCCAAGAATGTTCAAACTGCAGAATAGATTTTTTGTTGCTTTTTTGTTTTACCCCAACCCAACATTTGTGCTGGTGTTTTTTTTCAAATGTGCAATCTATTCAGCCAATCTATTCTGCTGCCTTCTTCAATTGAAGAAGGCTATAGCCAAAATGTTGTAGTAACAACACAAGCAGCATGAAAAATGAATATAATAGCCTGAACAACTTTTGTAAATATTTCTTTTTACATAAAAATAACAATTTCTCATCTTCAGATATACCTACAGAATTGACCCTATCTAAAATTTAACTTTGGGGCTTATCAAAACCAGCTTTTTTGCCAAACTTTAAAAGTTTTCTTACAAATTTAAAGAAGACTAATAGTAATAATAATATTATTTATTTATATATATTACTCCATACATTATATTTAGTGGATACATATGTGAGTAGATGCTCCATTTATTTTAAACAGTAATTATTTTGTTTTGCTTACCAGCCTACATACTCAAGAAAATTTAATAAAGAAATCTGCTCCCCTTTTACCATTCAGCTAAGAGAGCTTCACAATAAAACATGGTTCCATTCTGAAAGCACACTCACTTGTTTAGATTTTTCTTGAAATATATCTGCTCAGTTTCGTATGCAGAACGTAAACAAAGCAATTTCTAAAGAATAAATGGATTTTATTTTTAAATCTGACATTTTTATTACTTCAAACATTATTTTTAGTGGATACCCACATTTGAGTAGACGCTCTATTTATTTTAAACAGTATTTACTGTGTTACAAATAATTTTTCAAGATTACCATGAGTATTAATTAAAATAGATAATTTATAATAAAAAAAAGTGTAAACCCACTTCACATTGTAATTAAGAGAAACAATGTCAGAATCAATTCATCTTGAAAATCTAAAGGGTCTGTAATGTTATTGGTTCTGACCTAATATCTTTCATTCAGTCACTTTCCCACAACTATGATATTGGCTTCCCTCTCTGTCTTTTCTATAAATATTTTCATGGCAATTGTTCTAATGAAATCTCTTTCTTGGTACCTCAACTGCATGATTTTAAGTGTACTACTAGATTGGCAATTAGGTCTCATTGTTTTACTGTCATTGTTTAAATAGTTAGATTTAACCATAAGTTCTATTTTACATTTTGCTTATGGAACTTTCTTCCAGACATAAAAAATTAAAAAATTTAAATCCAATGCCAATCGCCATCTTCTGTTTTGCTGAATCCTGTTCTTTTATTGTCTTTTCCCCTCATTAAAGTCTTCTCCTTCACTCCCAGTAACCCATTAGGTTTTAGTAGCACTATCACCTTGCTTGGGATGAAATGATTAAAAACTATTTTTTTAATTTCAGAAAAGAAGAAAATTAAAACAAATCTAATAAAACACATGAATAAAACTGATAAATAATTGAAATGTAATATTTAAGCAAAGATGGGAAATTTGAAAACAAGATGGATATTGAAATTTCTTAAGATTTTCTTTGAAATTTTGCTCTCAACAAGCATTCTCAAAACAAGTGAAAAAATAATAAAAAGGGAATAAAAGTACATATGATATCTTCAAATCAAGAATCAGTCATCCACTTCATAATCTTCATTTTGATTGTTATCCTCTACCTTCAGTGGCTCTTAAGCCTTGTCTTGGGTTAAATTTATTATCTAATAAAAAAAACTAAATAAATTTAATGTCCAATAAAAAAACCTAAATAAATTTAATGTCCAATAAAAAAACCTAAATAAATTAATATGTAATCAAAAAAACATAAATAAATTTAGTAATAAAAAACATAAATAAATTTATATGTAATAAAAAAAATAAATTTAGTATGTAATAAAAAAACAAATAAATTTAGTATGTAATAAAAAAACTAAACAAATTTAGTATCCAATAAAAAAAACTAAATAAATTTAGTATCCAATAAAAAAAAAATAAATAAATTTAGTATCCAATAAAAAAAAACTAAATAAATTTAGTATGTAATCAAAAAACCATAAATAAATTTATATGTAATAAAAAAACAAATAAATTTAGTATCTAATAAAAAAAATTATAATGAATTACAATTATGATTTGCACTTACCTTCAGCAAAATAGTTTTGAATTTTTTTTTCCTAAACATCCAAATATTCAACTAAATAAAAATTCTTCTATAATTTTTTTTAACTGTACATTTAGTTTCCTTCTGAGCCTCAAAGCTATTTTCCCAGTTAGATTATTTTGTCTTTTCTTACATAAGAGAACATTCACTGCTGGGAACCTCTCTTAAAAGGGGACAAAAAATTTATTAAACACTAGAGATCTATCATACACAACCTCATATTGCAGAGTGACAATAAGATGGAATGCAATAGTTATAAGTGCAAATGTTGATATTAGAGAAGAACAAAAATGAAACAAACCTTGTTTGTTGTGACTGTATTTTGGACATCCATTCAAAACAAGTATTTCTTTTGATAGATCTTGCTCTTTTTTCTCCTCCCACTCCTCCTCCTCTTCCTTGTTCCCTTTAACTTCTTCAAGTTGATATTCTGTTTCTTCTTCTTCGGTCATTTCCACACTGACCAGATTGTAGATCATTTCCATCACAACATGCAACACAGTCTTACTGATACCTTTGCTATTCAGCAGTTGAAACACATAAGGCATAGGAGAGATATTGGTCTTCTTAATAGTTTTCAGGAAGCAAGGAAAAAATCTGAAAGCCAAGCAATAAAAAAATAAAGTAAAACAACAAAAACTTGATAATCAATGTTCAGAATATGAGACCAGATAAAGTAATAATTGTCCTTGAATTTAAAATGATTTTTTTTTTTTTTAATTCATACCGTGGGGATTTCGTCCAGGCATGAAGAAAATTCAATAAATAGGTTGGTGTTTTGAGACTTTCAACAGGTAAGCACTGAATCTGAAATTAAAATGATAAAAAAAAAAGAATCAATATTATAATTATCTGATTTGATGTCATAATGCAAACACAGCAAAAAAAAAAAAAAAAAAAAAAAAAAAAAAAAGTACATCATAATGAGATCTTTTTTTAGGTCAATAACATTATAACATTATAATGGTTAAAAAAATAAAAAAATTTATCATTATATTAACAATTTAATAATAATGTGGAAACAATGTTTGTGCTCACCCCAATACTATTGATTCAATTTGTATGTTACAAAAATTGAAAGAAAAAAAGAAACAAAAAATTATTAATTGCTTTATGAAATAACAATACCCTTATTTTGCAAAAGAAAAAAAAATGTATTACTATTGTTGTTATTAATGTTTCTTTAAATTAATACAAAGAAAGTATGTTAAGTAATTATTCACTTACCTTTGGCCACACAACCACATCAAACACCGAATCAATCTCATTTGCAGTGTAAGGATAAGTTTTAAATATTTCAAAGAACTGCAAATTGAAAAAGGGACCAGTTAAAATGCAAGGCATATTCAAAATTCAGAATACCACAGAAAAAGGAATTTACCAAGAAGTTTCAGACAAATATTATCATATTTTATTTTGTATTAAACTAATTGATGTAATAGAATAACCTGTCACCTCCATGAGTGATTACACTATAGGTAGTAAGTACCTATAAGACTACACTATAGGTAGTAAGTACCTATAAAGTCAATGGACTACGTGAGACTTGCTGGGATCTGTTGAGTACAACTCAGACTTACTCGAAAACTTTTCAATCATCCACACAGCAGCACTCACTGCTGGTTTTACAATAACCTTTATTTAGTTATCCACCGCGTTGTTCCAGTGACATTCCTATTAGCACGAAATATAACACTATTAATTAATTATAAAACAAATACTTTCTCTTCATGTTGTGAGCAGAACTTTTCAGGTAATCCAGTCTTCACTCTTTGTCAAGTGTATAATCCATAAGAGTAAGAAGAAAAATACAGTAATATCTGTGTATCTAGTGTTTAAAGAAATAATATATATTAGTAATCATTTATCTGTCATCATTTTCTGAAATAATAAAGTTGATTTTCTTTTCTTATGGGTTATATGAAGTGGTATCTGAAAGTTTCCAGACTAGGTCACAAAACAAACAAAAAAAAAACAAAAAAAAACACCTACAAAATATTCCATTACTTCAAAAAAATAATATATATTATTTAAATTTCGTCAACATCTTCTTCAAAATAATTCTTGTGAGAACATCCACAGTAATTTTCCCCACATTTTCTGATATTTTGCTGGCCCTGAACAGGTTTTTGAGTAATATGGGTTAGTGTCTAATTGTATCACTCAAAAACCTCTATTCAATGTAAAGAATGTTTGCCTAAAGCCTGACAAAGCTTTTGAGAGTCTTGGTAGCAGATTTGCCTATCTTCACAAAATCTGATCAAAGAATGTTGCATGAATTTTTTAGTCATTGTAAAGATTACAGAGCTGTTGCAACACAATGTTACTAAAAAAAAATCTAATAAGTGAATATAAGTATATAGCACAAAACCTATTGGCAGATTGACTCAGTAGGTTGGGTACATAATACATGTTAGCAGTGAACATATTTTCATTGAAAGATAACCACACAGCATATATCATACAAGAACTTGGGCATCTCAGCATAGTGTAATGGTTAGCAAGCTTGTCTGGCTAGAACAATTACAACTGAGTAGTAAGTTCAATTCTTACTGGGTGCTCCATACTTTCGGCCTTGTGCCACATCTAAGCAGTGCTTAGAAAATCACTATCATGCAAGAACTTTCCAATTCCACATGTTAATGCTGACAAAGAATGACTTAACAACATCAAGTACACAAAGGAGTGCAACTGTCTGAACAAAATTTTCAACGTTATGTAATGAGTTGGTCGGTCAACTTGACACCCCCAAAGCGAGTGGAGGTGGGCAGGTGCAGAAATTGTGATTGGTAGCTGGCTTGTTGGTGTTTTGCATAGGTGAGTTACCAAGCTCTATGTAAAGGGCTGGAATGAGAAGGAGGGCAGTTTCAGTCTCAGAAGTGGAGACTGTGATCGTCGCTACAACAGCAGGAGAGAAAGAGACAAAATCATTTATTTTTTTGTGACACATTCCAACATGTTAATGACTCTTCTGAAAGTTAGAAACAAAGTATCTAATCCATTTTCCTAAATAACAGAAAAGACATTAGATGTAGGAGAATTTATCAACATAGTTCTTAAGACCTTTCAGTCAAATTATGCCACAGAAACTCAGTATTTAAGTAATACTATTAGTCCTGTACTCAAATATTCAACCCTTGTTATCAACAAATTTTTTCTCACTGTAGCCAATGATATCATGGGTAGGATTTATTAAATATTTCAAGAAATAATGGCGTAATATCATATGTGTATACTTTATAATAATTTAGAAAAATACACAGTGCTGAATTGCTATACAATATCAATCCTCTTCTATGGCTGTGAATGCTGGACAATTTCCTCACAGATGAAGAGGAAACTTGAGACAACAGCAATGTGGTTCTACAGAAGGATGCTGAGAATACCATGGACAGAGCATGTAGACAACAAGGAAATTTTAAGGAAAATAGAAACAAAAAGGACACATAGAATCAGAAAAAGTTAGTTGAAATTTCTAGGACACATAATGAGGAAAAAAGGTTTAGAAAATTTGATACTCACATGACAAAATAAGAGGGGAAGAGGGAAACAGCAAGTAACCTATCTAAAACATTTGTGTAAATGGATGGCAGAACAGGAAATCAAAGGAATAGTAAAAAGACAAATATTGCTAAGAGCTACAAATAATAGGAAGCTGTGGAGAGCCATGATCAACCTACCTAACACATTTGTGTAAATGGATGGTAGAACAAGAAATTGGAGGAATAGTAAAAAGACAAACATTGCTGACAGCTACAAAGGATAGGAAGTTGTGGAGAGCTATGATCGCCCACATACTGAAGGAACACAGCACATAGAGGAATAAAAGTAATAATGCATTACAAACTCTACCCAGTTAAAGCCTTCAGACTGTAAACAATTAGGAAAGATGAAATCAATTCAATTTTTACTTTAAGTCAAAAATCAATAACACAAAAGAAAGTGTACCTGAAAGAGCCGAGTGAGAGACATTTTCCACACAGTTTTCACTTGTCCCACTGCTTTGCTGTAAATCTTATGCTTGTTATCTAAACAAACCTTACAGGTAGCTGCAATGCCAAGAATCACCTTCAACAATTTGGGCAGGTAAACTTTGATGTAGTGACCCAGTTTCCTCATAATCAGAAGAATAATATTCAAAAAACTGTAAAAGAGAAAAAAAAAGTATCTGTATATATTTCTGAGATGAGGTATTATGTACGTTTCAGACATTGTACACTCCGGCCTTCTTCAGGTGGTTGGAATGTGGAACTGAACCCTTTATTTCGTTCACTGGGGTAGATTGTTCTAGTTCCACGTGCCATGTCCTCAAGGACACATAGCATAGTGGATAAAGGCGTTAGTTAGATCCAGGGACAGGACCCAAAGAGTTTGAGTTCAATACCCAGTTAAGGCAGTGGAGAACTTTCAGAGGGAAATTAACAGGAGATAACTGATATCCATTAAACATGGCATGTGGAACTAGAACAGTCTACCCCAGGGAGCAAAATAAAGGGTTCAGTTCGACATTCCAACCACCTAATAAATATGGCGACAAAGATGAGGACAATAGTCCGAATAATGTAAATAAGAAAAATAAAAAAGATATTTGCATTAATATAATGAGATAGGTGGTGACCCAATCATGCATGGGCAAGTATTGCCTAAAGAGGGTAAACAGTGGTCAACAAAAAGAGCTAAATGTAGAAAGGTCAAGTTTTACTAAGGAAAAAGTGAGAGAAGGTTTGATTTCATTTAAATGTGATTTAGATTTAAATGTAAAAAAAAAAGTACTAAGAAAATTTGATTAAACTATTTTTGTGTTTATTGTTGACTGCACAGTAGGGTCAGTTGGAAATTTGGAAACAGCATGCTCTACGGCTTGGCATTCGCACTGGAAGCTCCAACACAAACATTTCAGAGTATTTGGGTGTCAATCTGAGTCATGGCTGTCAGACAATTTCTGCGACCACATCACCCCTTACATCTGGCCACCTTAACTCCATAGACTGCATCCCCCTAGATTATTATGTGCGAGATGCAGTTGAGCGAGAGACCAACAAAACACCAAAGATGAACTGAAGGCAAGGATTATGGCAGCATTCACCAACTTAAACAAGCAGACCATCCAGAAGAGTTGCAGGAGATTTCAAAGTCATCTGAAGGCCACGGTGAAGCCAATGGTGATCTTATTGAATAAATCTACTCTTTAGTATTTCAAGATATTTTTTTTATCAATATTATTTTCATTTTTGTGTAATTTAGACGACAATTTATCCATCGCACCATGTAAATATGGCAAAATATATATATATATATATATATATATATATATATATATATATATATATATATATCACTTTTAAATAAATGTTATTTTTAATGGATTCTCATATTTGAGTAGCGGCTCTATTTATTTATTAAACACCTACTCAAATATGGGTATCCACTAAAAATAACATTTAAAGTAAAAACTTCCACAAAAATGTGATACCTAAGGCTTAAAATGAATTTTTAAAAATGAAAAGTCTTTCTTGAAGCTTTTATTTTAGTTTTAATTTCAAGATAATAGATTTGAATTTAATATTTCCAAAAAGCAAAATACTTTGTTGTATTTCCAAAACTAATTTAAACTGACTGGAAAGAATTTTTTGCTAAAATAGCTTATTAGCACCCTTTTTAGTAATCTTTCATCACAATTTAATTCTCTTTATTAAAAAATATTAAAAAAAAAAAAATATATATACTGTTCTGAAACTTGAGGAATATTAGCTGATTTAAAGTAAAATTAATCTGATTTAAAACCAATATTATTTACTTTAAGTTAAAAAATATCACAGAAATGCATGTAGCTGTGTTTTTAACTGACAGTAGCTATTTAGACGTGTTTGACAACATAACAGATCTAATGTTGTTATATGGAGACTTTATCTGTAAAAAATAATTCAAGAAAATGACATAGGCACCTTTTTTATTTAATTATTAACTCAGTAATCTTAAAAATTTAGGAAAATATTCTACGTAATCTAATGTTTTATTGAATTTTAGAAATTTTGGCTTTAAATTTACTAGTCATCGCTTGTATTTTCTGATAATTTTATTTATGATCGCCTGTACTTACAGTATGTTTATACACGAATAAAAAAAATTCAATTATTTTTAAAATACTGGTATTTGATGACTTGTATTAAGCATTTCCATTTATGATTAGTAAATATAGTTTTCGCTTAATATCATCATCAAAACTGCTGAAATTAATACAGAATTTTAAGATTTAAAACTTAATAAATTTTTTTAATTAAAATTAAAAAAAGAAATGAAAACAATTTTTGTAAATATTCATTATTCATCGAAAATTTTTTTTCTTAAGACGATAGTGTCCTTAGTATATCTTATTCATAAAAGCAATTAAAAGTTTTTTCTAATTAACTTATGTCATAGTTTTATTGCATATTTTATTTTACATTTTAGAGCAGATTTTCGGTAAATGTTGTTTCTGTTTAACAAAAACAAATTGTGATTTAAATTTCCCAAGGAGTCCTTTTAACCAATATAAATACAAAGACCCTGAAAGTTTAATTTCATAAAATTAAGTAAGTGGGTGAGGGGGGAACATATGTAAAAAAAAATAAATACCCATATTTTCTAAAAAAAATATATAAAAAATAATTTCATTAATTTGCAAATAAGTCATGAAAATTTTACTAAAATCTGATAATTATTTGATTTTTGCAAGAATTTTCAAAACAATGTTTTTTTATTACAAAAAAAAAAAAAAAAAAAAATTTCCTATACTAATCTTTGGCCAGCCTGCTGATGCAAGAAAAACAAAATTTTTTTTTTTCTAGGTGTCACGTGTTCACTCGACAATTCACTCGACAAATAGTGAACACAAGATGAATGTTTGTAAATAATTTTACAAAAACAACAGAATATGGAAAGAGTATGGAGTAACAGACACAAAATCAATGAAAGGTACTAATCTAATATGGGGTGTTCAAGCATTTGTGTTTCATGAATTTGTAAGTTCAAATGTTCATAATGGCAAATAGACAGAATCTCTTAAAATGTTCAAATAAAAGTTGGTAGTTCTTGTTTCTGCAATATAAGATATAAGACTCCAGAATAGTGCCTGTATTTTGTTTCCCCTCTGGGGAAGATGAAATAGGGATGATTTCTCTGTGTATAATATTCTTTTATTCTCTACACATCAAGTAGTTGAATAAATCCACGGTCTTTGGGAATAATATCTCTTCCCCCCCACCACTGCACATCAAGTAATTGAATAAATCCAGGATTCTCAAGATGATGTTTCCTTATTCTTTACACAACAAATAATAGAATGAGTTCATAGGCACATCTCTAATGAGCACCTGATGAGAGTTGATTTACTTGCGAACTGTTGCAGTCAGAGATTATTGGGAAACTGAAATTACAACACAAAAATCCCACATGGTGCAGCATGTCATGTGAATTTGGGTGACCAACTTTTACTTACTCCATTAGGAGGTCAATCTTTCTCATTGTCAAGTGACACATATTCTTTCCTGCCATTTCCTAGTTGAGACAGAACTCAATCAAAGGGAAATAAAAGAAAAGAAAGAGGAAACACAAAGATAGTGTGCCCCTTAATAAATTGATTATAAGCCTGATTTAACATTCAACATTGAAGGCCATGTCACAATATGATATATTAAATGCATCAGCTAAATCAGCTAAAACTATTTGAAAACTCAATATACACATAATGCTTTACCAAAAAAAAAAAAAAGAAAATTTTGAAACTTACCTTTGCATTACTTTTGGAGGTAACATATTTCTCAAGTCTATGGATGTCATCAATTGGGGTATAGTGATATCTATAAATAATACAAAAATACATTTGATAATATAGAAAATAGAAAAATACATTTGGTTATAATGGAAAAATTACATAAAAACAATGAACGTTAATATAGTCATATAGTGCTTCTGGATATTTAAATGGTTTGATGTACTTAATGAACTCTAACACAGGAGAAATTTCAAATTTGGAGTTTATGATTAGCATTTCTGATGTAAAGAATAAATATATTATCTGGTAATAATTCAATAAATTTATCTGACCCTGATGAGCGGCATGCCTGGAAAACTTTGAAGTTAGTTAGTTGAAAAGTAAATCGATCGAACTTTTATTAATTTATTAACTATTGTTGGTCTATTTCTTTATTGAGCCCTTTCTTGACAAAAAATTCTTCATGCCTTGAAATACATTAAATTCTAGTAATTTTATGTATTTTGATCATGTTACTGATTTGCAGTATTCCTTTTCTATATACAAATACTCTATTTAAATACTTTCAAAAGAGTTTTCTTAACATACATAAAAATAATAAAAATAACATTTTTTATTTATTCCCCCATTAATATATATTAACACATATATTTGACAATGTAAAATAATATCTTTAATTTTCTAAGTTATTTTTCTCAAATGGATTCATTGATAATATCCAATATTGTTAAGGTAGTAATGGAAAGATTAAGGAAGGCCTGGTGTGTCATTGCCATCAAACAATTGATTAAAAAGCACATACGAATGGAAAGAGTTCAAATTTCACTGGGTACTCCACTTGCAGTCTTGTGCTAGACTTATAGATTATATTTCATAATTAGCACAGATTTTACAAATAATAAAAGGTAACTTACCAGCAAGAAATTCTTCACAAGGTTTCAAGACCAAGTCAATGAATATAAGTTGTTCTTCTAACTTACAACTACAGAGAAATGAGAAAACCTGCCCTTTCTTTGAAACTGTAGTCTTCTTATTTTGCAGAGCACCATAGAGAATTCTGGGAAGGGGAAAACAATACACACATATTAAAACACAAAAGAAGAAAAAAAAAGGAACTTTTTATAAACTTAATCCCAATTTTTATTGTTTCTTTCAAAGCAAAATATTATCAGTATTACTTTATGGAATATGCAATGTTGTAACAGAAAAGCCAAATTGTGCATTATGAGAGGTTGATTACAATCCTGCCCAAGTTCAGTGAAATATGGAAAATTGTTGAATCTGTGAATTGTCCAATGTCCATTTGTGGGCTTGCAGACCTGAAAAAAGTTCCCTATCTCTTTTCAGAATGCTTTCCAAAATTTCTGATCTTTTTTATTACAAATTGTTCAACCAATACAAGACCCAAGAGCCACTCAAAGTAGTGAGTTACTGAATATATGAGCAAAAAAAGGGGAGGTAAGAAATGCAGTTTATAAGGATATGTAAGAAAAATAACAAATAACTCTAGACTTGAAGAGGTTAACATTGTACTATTCAAGGAAACATCCCCTTGGGAATTGATTCCATGAAATAGTAGTTCTTCAGAAGCCATCTCTCAACCTATTACAAACTACCAATCAAAATTTTTTTTCCTCTAAAATTAAAAAAATGAATCAAACTTAATTTTTTAAATATATATAAAAATACTGAAAATTTGATTTTGTCAAATGTCAAAAATTTGTTAACCACTAGCATTATTTGTTGCCTATTTTCATATTATTTTATGTTATCTTAACATTAATTCATGAAACTTTTTTAAATTATTATTTTCATTATGTCACTTTTGTCATATAAAAATCTATTTATTGTATAATAAATATGTAAACAAAACCAAAAATATGGTTGTTTATTTTCCACCGAATTGGTCAACATAAACACAAATAACAAAAATTCTGTTGATTTTATGATCATAGTTCTTATGTGAATATTAATCAGCACCCAAAGAACTTTTTAAAGATATACAACTTGACCATATTGGGAGATTATGAAGATGTTAGCATATTGTGGCAAATACCAAAATCCACCATTTTGAATTTGGCCCAACTCAAGTAAAACACTTGTAATTCAGGCCACAGTCAAAAGCCCACAACAATTTTTTTTTATGTAACTTGCCATAAAGCAGACAAATTTGTTGTCAAATTTTAAAAAAAAATTAAAGATACATTTTTTGAGAAATTAAAGGTCAATGGTTAAAGTTAAGGTCAAATTATCTTATTTGACCTTTAAACAAAAAAATAAATAGATCACTTTTAGATTTATCAAAGTACTTTAAAATGGTATATAATTTAGCATTGGAGGTGAAAAAGCAACTGAGATATTGATATTTAAAATTTGTGACTATTTTCCAAAATTTGCCTTTTTAGCAAGGGTCAAAGGGACATATCTCTGGAACCCTTTGACCTAGAGATGTAAAATAGGTACCATTCAATTTATATAATGAAGATCTATAATTGTACCAAATTTGAAAAAAATCCATGTCAGTGATGGTCAGACATTTGTTGATTTGACACAGAATGACCATTCCTTGCCATTGTGCCCATTTTAGTCTTTTCAACTTATTTTCCTTTTTTAATAGAGATTTCTTAACTGATACACATCCTTTAAGCCCTACAGAAAGAAATCTTCTGTTAACAGTCATAACAAATGTTGCATGTTGACATGTAGAATTAAATTCAGCAGTTAGTTGGGAACTGTTTTTCTTCCGTTCCTTTTGATAGACATCCTCCAAAATAGAGGTTTCTCTGTGCCAGTTTCTGCAGGCAATAATGTACACCATTTTTTTATATCTGTAATTTTCTAGCAATCTGACATTCGAAATACTCTTCAATAGAAGAGATTTCCACTTTGGCTCTTTTTTCAATACTAATCTGTTTAGTTCTTGATATTTTAATAGTTTATGCAAATAAATCTCTTTCACACATTAATCTCGATGGAATTGAACCTTTATCAAACAGTGGAGTTGAAATATTTGTAAATTTCTTCTCTACAGTTCAGAAAAGCCATCAAGTTGTAACAAAATTTCCAAAGCTTATGCAAATAAATTTATAATGCATGTAGAAAAATATGTTTGCATTTTATATAAGGGTTTATATATATATATATATATATATATATATATATATATATATATATATATATATATATTATATATACACACACACTCACACACACAATAGAAGAATTTATTTATCCAAATATGCAAAATTAGACTTTTTTATGAACTTAGAGAAACACTTCGGGGTGGTCCCAAACTTTTGCTTCTGTAAAAGAAATGTTCTTTTTATATTTTACTTCTATAATTTTTTTTTTCTTCCGGTAATCACAAGTTCGAGAGTAAGCCTATGATTTTCCTGGCAATTTTGCATTTAATTTCATCCTGGCACTCTTCTTCAGCATGATCAGAGTCTTTTTGGATACCATTTTGCACATGTAGGGTGACTCATACAGTTATCCCTATGATGCCCAAATTTTTGACATCTAAAACATCTCAGAGAAGCCGGGATATATAGCTCCACTGCTTGACATTGTAGCCTATTTTGATTTTAGATGGAATTTTAGATGAGTTAAGAATGTATGTATCTGCAAATAATTTTTCACTATTTCTTCTAATAGAGATCATTCGGTAATCAGAGACTCCCTGGTGTGGCCAGTGAGAGCTCTTTACTTCTTATCACTCCCTTTGAAGTATTCAGTTTTGTGTGAGGGTAAGTTTTGATATTCATATTGTAAAAAGTCTTCATTTTCATTATAGATTCACTGTGTTTCCTGGTTTCAACCTCCACCATCAAATTGCCATCTCTCATCTTTCTAACTGATTTCAGACTAATTTGACACAACACTTTCTCAATCAAGAAGGGGGACAGTCTTGACAAAGGAGTTTCCTCCAAGGACTCAAGCACTAAAAATCTTGGAAAGTCCGTAATAATTTCTTTTCCAGTATCCAAGTCTGAAAGGTATCGCCTGTTTTTTTTTTATTATTTTGATTCATAATTATTATGAATTAAATTTCACTGGCTGAGCTTCCCCCTCACCTTAGAACCCAATGTTGGGAAATGTCATGGGGGGAAACTCAATCACCTACACAACCCAGTATACTCGCATTTGAGAGACCCAGAGCAACTGTCACCACATTTGTTGCACTACTCAAATTTTCTGTGAACAAATTGAAGGGTTAACAGCTATGTCCAAGCCTAAATGTCTCTACAAACCGATTGACCCTAAGTTTTCGCCTTCTAACACCTCTACATTAGATTGAGTTATTATTTCATTTGGGTAAAGCTTTCCCTAAAGTAATCAATAATTTGGTATCATTAGCAGTGTTAGGGCTTGACTGCCCAGCCAATTGATCAGATCAGGCCTTTCCAACTGCCTGTCTAGTCCAAGTAAGAGCAAAAGTGATGTGTTGGAAATTGGAAGTACCTAAAACTGACTGCTGAAACCCTTCACCACCAGGATCCCATCCCCAGACATCACGGGTTGCTAATCATGACAAGCAGGTGGCTCCATTGGAGGAGATTTATACCTCTGCAGAAATGCAGTTGGTGTATTCTACAGCCCCAGCTGATAGGGCAGGCAAACCATCTGATCCTTCTATCAGCCTATTAGCCTTCTACCTATTTTTGACAAAGTGCTAGAGGCTCTAATCAACTCTGAATTGGTTAAACATCTAAACTCAGTGTTTTCTTTCAGATAAGCAACATGGCTTTCTGTTGTTGCTTTGGATCTCTCAAAGCCTTTTGGCAAGGTTTGGTATATTGGACTTCTTTACAAGTTGAAAGATTATATTTCTGGACAAATTTTAGAAATGATTCAGTTTTTCTTATTGAATTGTGAAATTAAATTTGTCTTAAATGGCCACTCTTCTAGATCTTTTTGCATTAATGCAGGTATCCCCCAGGGCTCTATCCTTGGACATACATTGTTCCTAATTTTCATCAACAACCTTCATTGTGGCATCAGTTCTCAACCTTCTATACTGATGACGCAACCATTTATTCCTGTCTTAATAATAAATCTGAGCTTTTTGCTTTCCAGTCAAGTTTGATCTTCAAAAAATTAAATGCAATGTCAATCATTATCTTCTGTATCTTAGTTTCTGTTCTTTTATTGTTCTCACTCTTTAGTAATGTTTTTCTTATATTCTTTCACTCACTAACCCCTTGTTTATTAGTGGCTTTTTTGCCTTGCCTGGGGTGAAAAAAAAACATACTTCAGTCTCTTTATCTGTACTTTCAAGTCCTAAAGGATGAAACACATCACACAAATGTTTTACACTTTATCATTAAGTTGTAATTTGGAATTTTTCTTGAAGGCATAATTCTCAAGATTTAACTGTTGCCTTTTGAACTTGTGCTATGTTTATAATCTTTATACTGGACTCTCCCATCATTTTCCATGTTTGAGAGTACAAGAACTCAATTCCTGGAAGTGAACATACAGACTATCTGCACATATGTTTTGATTAAATGGTAAAGTCTTATGCAGAACCAACCACATTTTTCAGAAGGATTGAATAGAGAGAACTGGTACACCGTTTGTCACAAGGTCTCCAAATGACCCTGCTCATGTTTTAAATTCAGAGTTGTCCTTCTTATAGACTGGTTGTCAACCAAGGCAATGAGACTCATTCTGTCTTGCTATTTTTACATATCCAAGGGGGAGAAGAGATGGATTCATACCTTTCCCAAGGGTATTTGCATGTGAGTGAATCTAATGAACTCAGTTCTCTCTTTTTCCTCAAACCAGGCCACTATCCATTATGAGTGAATGAGAAATGACGAGGGGTATCAAAAGGAAAGTAAGACAAAAACAGGCAGAAATCAAAAGACAAAAGGTAAAAGATTAAAAGGTAGATAGGGATAGAAAAAAATTGCAATTCATTAAAATTCTTGACAGAGAAGCAGAGAAAAAGAAATATAAAAGTTGAATGCAGTAGAAAATGTATCTGCATTCATTTTTTTTTTTGCTTAAGAAAATAATCTATGACTGTATAGCATCTAAATAATATGTACAAGCAATGAAGATTGGAAGGGAAAGGAGAGAGAATAAGAAGATACAGGCAATAAAGAAAGGCTATAGAGTTAGTAGTATAAGATAGAATTACTAATCATCATTGCATAAAACACATTTTCTTTTGTATTGAAAGTTTTCTTTTGACCACGTAAATAATTTATTGGGTTGGTGCATAATTATCAGGCGTTTCTGTGGACGAGTTATTTGTCAATAAAAATTGCTGTTTTGTTTACATTTTTTAATAAAAATATTATTTTGTTTATATTTCTGAGATGAGGTACTATGTACACTATTCGGACCATTGTCCTCATCTTTGTTGCCATATTTATTACAACATTTCGGCCATTGTACGCTCTGACCTTCTTCAGGTGGTTGGAATGTCAAACTGAACCCTTTATTTCACTCACTGGGGTAGACTGTTCTAGGTCCACATGGCACAGTGAATAAAGGCGTTAGTTAGATCCAGTGACAGGACCCAAAGACTGTGAGTTCAATACCCGGTTAAGGCAGTGGAGAACTTTCAGAGGGAAATTAACAGAAGATAACTGATAACTAACATCCATTAAACATGGTATGTGGAACTAGAACAGTCTATCCCAGTGAGCGAAATAAAGAGTTCAGTTCAACATTCCAACCACCTGAAGAAGGCTGGAGCGTACAACAACCAAAACGTTGTAATAAATATGGCAACAAAGATGAGGACAATAGTCCGAATAATGTAAATAGTGTGAATATCATTTTATTTTCAGATTATAAAAATGTGTGTCGATAATCATACATTCCACAATAATCATTTAAAAATGTTATTGTTGAATTGTTATGTTTCTTTTTTCATAATAAATATTGTTTAAAAAATATGCCTGATAATTATGCACCAACCTAATATATCAATGTTAGCAGACAAGGGGTTTATAAAAATCAAGAATGTCTTATGGAGAAGAAAAAGATATTCTTGCTTGCTTTACAGAGAGAAAAAATGCCTACAACACCAATTATTGCAACAAATTTAAATAATAATAAAAAACCTCATGAAAAATTACCTTGTTAATATGGCCATCACAGCAGCTCTGTGTGCCTCCTCAATAATACAGCATTCAGAATCAGAGTTGAACAATGCCAGTTCATCTCGGAAAGTCTTCTCCTCAAGAATACGCATAAAATTTTCTCTGAAAACAAAACAGGGATTTTGAGAGAAGACAGTAAAAGAGAAATTAAAATTTTTTATCACATATAAAAGTTTAAAAAAAAAAAAAAGTCATAGTATCTTTTATTTGAGAGAACAAGTAGAGTCAAGAAAGTTTAGAATTGATTTTTCATAATTTCTTCTTTTAATGTAATTTTATTTCCAAAAGCTATCATCTAATAAAATCACTCAATGTTAAAATTATAAAAAAAAATGTAAAAAAAATTACTACTCTCCCAAGCAAACGTACACAACTGTAACAAGAAATCAAAAAAAAAATGGTTGACTATGTCAACACAACAATATTTCCACATGTGACAGTACTTGATGTAATTTTCAGTTGACAATATGAATACAATAGCATTTTCTAAATTCTTCTAGTTGCTAAGGATATTTTGTTTTGTTGTTAGTAGTTACTTTGTTTTTAATAAATTCATTTCGTTTTTGCCTTGAAAAAGTCCACATTGGACGGAACGTGTTGACTAATAATACAGTTCCCCTATTGTCTTTTACCTTTATACAGTCTTTTTCTACAGGTTAACTCTGAGAAATTTTTCATATATATATATATAAATATATATAAAATGAATGACAGATAGAAACTGTATGGCATTAAACTGACAGTCAGAATGCCATGTTGTTTTCTATATCCATACTGCTTATATCTACAGTTTAGCCCAATATTGAATATTCTTCTATAAATATACCATATTTTAATTATATTTTATATATATATATATATATATACACACACATACATACATACATACTGCACAGTGAGTACTCTTGCTAATAAAACTATGCTCAATATAAAATAACAGAGCTAAAATTTATACTTACATCTGTAAAGAATTAATGGATTTAGTTTTAATCAAAAAATTTTATTATTTCATAGTTACTATAGTGGATATTTTGTATTCAAAATAGATGCCTTATGCTGCACATTTTAATAAATAAAAATGAGGCATCTATTTCAAATACGAAGTATCCACTTGAATAATTTTTGATCGTATTCTGGGAAGTGGGCTGGACTGAAAACTTTTCAGCACAGCACCCATATATATATATATATATATATATATATATATATGGGTGCTGTGTTGATGATATAGGGTGCTGTGCTGAAAAGTTTTCAGTCCAGCCCACTTCCCAGAATACAACCAAATTTTGGAAGGACTTCTTAGATGGGGTGAGAACTTTTCAGTATCCCCCTCATATGTATTTATGTATATATGTATTTATGTATATATGTATTTATTCCCAATAGATCAGATTTTTCTTTGAGAAATATATTTTAATCCAATATCAAAATATTTACCAAAAACAAAAAGAAAGAAACAATGTACAAAAGCTAATAAATGGCTATGGTCATCAACTATGTCTACTGTAAGAGTAGATACAAATAATCCAAAAGAAGGGAATAGCAACACCAATTTCTTGTTCAACATAAATTCACAAGCCACCTGATAATAATAATAAAACTTTTTTTTTTTTTGATTTTTTTACTACACGGGCATTCTGAGACCATAGGCTCTGACAAAAATTCCAGATAGGCCCCATATACACAGGATTGGCAGAGCTTAAATACTGCTCTAGGATGGAATCACTTTTAACCAGTAGGGTTGTGCCAAGCCTCTTGCTGCTGATTGAATTGCAATTAGCTTCTATGTAGATTTAACAGTAAGAAGAAATTCATCACTTATAAAAGACCTACCTGTAAAGCCCTACACCTTTCAAAGGAAATATCATCAAACATTCAAAAGCTATCTTCTGAATCATTATCTCTTTGTGCTGAAGAAGCTGTAACAAAAAAGAAAAATTATTACATTTTTGAATATTTAAAAATCACTCTATTTCAAATAGACAAGCTGGAAGAATATTCTTTTTTTTTGGAAAAACAAAATCCACCTGAGGCATCTTTATTCCAACCACCCATTTTATTAAAAGATTCATAAAGTGTCTTACAACTTCTTAATTTTGGTTGTGGACAATCTAGGATAAAGAACTTCATTACTGCAAAATTAAAAAAAGATTCTCTCCACCCTTTTTTATTTCAACTACCATGTCTACTTGAAACTCTCGGGTAATTAATGTTGAAAGTTTATAACATTAACTTTCAATATGGAATGAGCTGAACAAGGAAGACAACATCTTATTGTTAAATGTTCTCCTAAATAATAAAATGTTTATCAACATGACCGTAATCAATATATGGTATCATAATATCAACATAAGTTTATGCACGTAACAGTTTTTTTTAAACAATTTGTAATAAAAATAAGACTTATCAATTATATGTCTAGAGTCATGGCAAAGATATTGGGAGATGATCCTTTCTATTTATATACTTATTTTTTGGGAAAAAATTTAAAAAAAAAAAAAACAAGGAAAAAAGGTTTATTTATTTATTTTTTTTTTTCAAAAAAATATGATAGATTTATAGATAACAAATTTCACAAGATTTGTACAAAGTTGTTCAAAAAGATCTCTCATATTCTCAAAAAAGAGTGAAGATCAGAGAAAATATAAGTTTTATTAATCAATGATGCCACTCCTGGCTGTAGCAATTATGGTAAACTAATATAAAAGAATTTTTGTAGATTTTGATCAAAGCTGAACAACCTAAATTGATATCTTCTTTGTTTCTGAATGTTCTGGAACTACAAAAGTGATCAAAACAAATGATAAACAGAACATAGTATGTTTGATTGATATGATAGACAAGGTATAATTTCCATGCCTAATAATTTTATTTTCTACTAAGTTTGTTCATTGTATTGTTATGCCAGGAGACCCTTTCTATTAAAAAAATGCATACACTAGAAGACAAAATTTTAGGGGCCACACTATCAATTTAATAATTAGTATATGTCATACATTTCTTTGGTTTAATAAACTCTTACTAAGCTAGGATGTTGAAACTAACCTAGGTATGACATTCAATTTTTTAGAGAGGGGGTTGATATCTAAAATTTAAACCCCACCAGTCTTAAGATTACAGTTAGCCAGCAAGGTAGATTAAGCAAAACGAGATCAAATTTTAAGGGAACTTTATGCAGTAATGGGTTAGTTTTGTTATTATTATTAAATATATGATAAAATCCTTCAGGAAGAGAAACTCCCTCTGTCTTGAAGTGAGCTAGTAAAATAATTTTGAAAAAAGTAAGCAACCTTCAATTTTTAGGCAATTCTTTGAAATCTAGAGGATGGTCCCTATAAGGCATTTCTAACAAACTAATGACACTAAATATTAACAATAAAGATACGGCTTCCTCCAGGATCAAGTAGACAATGCCTGTCATGTTCCCACAGAAATATCGCAAAACATTTTGTAAATGAAGTCATTGTTTTATTTTGGGAATTGGTTTGACAAAATGATAAATTACTTGTTTCTTATTTCCTTGTACAATCCATTGTAAAAAAGAAAGTTTTTAATTTCTGGTTTGCAGAAATGGTTGAAATGTTGCACTCGATTCTATAATGAGTTTTCATGGGAAATAAAAATAATATTTTTGGTTAATTCATACATTTTCAAATTTTTTAAAAAACTATTATTAAATAAAAAACATTTCATAGTTTTACATTGAACATAGATGGTAAAAAAAAAGTTTTTGAAAATATTTTTTTAAATCAGTTAAATTCTATAAATTTTTTTCCTTTCCAAAATAAATTTACTTTGAATTGATTTAAATTCTTCAGAGATTTTTAGAATGTAAACACCTATTGTCTCTGCTGGATATTCATTGAGATGTCATTCAATTAAATTAAGATATTGAGTAGCTACACAAAAAAATACCCCCCCAAATACCCTTTCTTATAAATAAATTTAATAATTAATGAAGAAATAATGAAAGTTTTATTCAATTTCATTAATAAATTGAAAAAACTTTTAAAATGTATTTGGCACTAAAAATCTTCTGATGGATTTTCTTATATCCACTTTTTTTTTTTTTTCAAATCTAAACAAATTTCAAAACATAACTCCATTTCTATATAATGTAAAAAAAAAAAATTAAATAAGATTGTTTTTTTCAAATTCTTTTTTTTTTATGATAGAAATTCTATGAAAATTGATTAAAACATTAAATGTGATGAAATAGTTTTTTGTTATGGGATTTCAAATTTGCAAGTCTTACTTATTTAAAACCATTTTCTGTAAATTTCTGAAGAGATATGATACATTTTAACTTCTAGATTTTTTTAAATTTCTTTTTAACAAATTATAGTTTCATTGCTTAATATTTAATTTTCACCACAGCAACAATTACTGCAATAGATATATGAAACTGAATCAATGAATAAGTTTTATATTTCCAACTTTGTCATATTGGTTCTGATATTGCTTCATTATTTTTAATACCATAAAACATTAGTATTTATCCCTATTGAACAGCCATTTTCCTTCTTTTTTTCTTTTTAATCCCAGTTTAAAGAGCTTAAATCAAGACAACTTATTTATTTAAATCAGAACTTATGTTCAATGTAAAATTAATATATGTAAACAAATCTGAGAATATTGATCATATGGGAGAAGAATAAAATTTTACCTACCGTTTCAAACAATTCTTTCAGTTTCTTTGAGCTACTCAAAGAGTTTCCATGGCGGAATTGAGAAAATAACTGTAAATGGCTCACTAACAAACTAAAGAAAAAAAAGAGAAAACATATCAATATTTTAACTCATAAAATGTAATATTTTGAAATATAATAATTTACAAATGAAAATATATTGGCAAAGTGTAACATTCATACCCACAAAAAAATGGTGTGTCAAAAGGACATTTTTTTTTCTCTCTCAACACTGTTATTACTGTATACTCCCTCGGCAATTTTTATTGTTTTAAAGAGTTATTTTTAGAATTTATTATTATTAGTGAATATATGATAAAATAATGAGGGTTGAATCAAATTCTTGCTTAGCTTTTTGTTAATAATTTCTTGTCAGTTTAATACAAATTGCATCAAACAAGTTGAGAACCCAGTTTCAATATCATAATACAGGGTTCTCACAGAACTGTGAAAAAAAAATTCCAGGACTATGTTAAGAAGTTTCAAAGACTAAAACTGACACAAACACATGTGTGCACAAACACATGAAGTAAATGGTCATCAATTTCAAAAACACAAATATTGTGATTTATCTTTTAATAGAGTTTGACAGATGAGATGTTCAAAGAAAAGCTACAATAATTCATGTCATATGGATCAGTTGAAAACAGTGGAGAAATCAAAGTGTTGAAGGCTAAAACACAATGGAATGCAGACTTAATTATGTTACATATTTTGTGCAGAATTCTACACAGTTTGGAGTCCTACTACACTTGAAAATTTTGAACTTTAACGCTTGCTGCTAGAAATTTCACCTATCTAAACTACTCATGGTTTATGAATGTCACAAAAATTCTTGACTGCTGCACATTTCCTGTGAAGTTAAGTATAATGATTTTAATGAACAGAACTATAAATAGAAAATAATAATAAAACACTAAAATAAAATAACTTCACATTGTCAGTTATTCAAAAGTTGAAAATTTCATTTTTCTAATCCCATTGAGCAGCCAGTCTGAGAATTAAAATAAATCAGTTACTTACTTATTAAGTTCTTTTTGTTGCTTCTGAACTACAGTTTGAATGCTATTTGCTGTCTCTTGTTTTGTATCTTCTGCTTCATTCTCATCTTCTCCCTCCTCCTCCTCCTCCTCCTCCTCATCTTCCATATTAACATCTGTCTCCTCTGCTTTCTCTTCATCAGTTTTCTCCTCCTCATCATCAACCTCCATATTCTCTTTCTCAATTTCATCAATCTTCTCTTTCCATTCCCTATTTAGAATATTCTGTCGAGCCATGGAGTCCTTGTCAACTTGTTTGAATTCATTTCTGGAAATAAAAATTCAACAATGATAACCACTTAATAATCAAATCAAAGATTAAAGAAGCAATTGTATGTATTCAGAGATAAGTTTGCTTTATACTGTTGATTGATTAACCTAAGGTCTATTTTCTCAATAAACAAACCTATTATTTAAATAAAGCTAAAAAGGAAATGTATTTTAGAAAATAGATTTATTAAACAAACAAAACCAATTAACTTATTAAACTAATAAAAATGCCCTGTTATCTATGAAAAATAATATTTCATTGAAGCTTTCTTTATAAAACAAAAACAATTCCTAGAGGAATTGTTTACACTAAATTTAAAGAATATGTGATAAATTATAAAATTAGAAACCATTTTTATTTTATACACATTTTGTTTTGCATTCAATTCTCCTTTAAAAAAATATGGATAATCATAAGCTCAGATTCGAAAATATCTACAGTTTATATACAGCTGAGGTATCAACATATATAAAATATCAAATATATAGCCATAGATATTTATATTCCTTTTGTGTAGTACTTTTCAGATTGCACAGAGACTACACATTGATCCTAGGCACAATACTCTGTGACAGGATTGGATCAGCTCGTGTTATGCCACATGCCAACAGCAGATGAAAACACAGCTGAGGACAAATGAATGGTGTACTTGGATCCCAACCTAAAGGCCAAACAACTATATTTTGGCTCTCGGCAGACAAGAGAGGAGCAATACTTTGATGTAAGGCAGTGTGCATAGATACTCTTATCTTAGGCAGACTAAATTCAATGTGTTTCACATAATTAGCCACAATTAATTTTTTTCTAATTTTTAGAAAACTAATGAAGGAAACATTTATGCTATTAATAAGGCAGATATTTCATATAATTATATCTATAAAACTATAGTAGGCAACAAGCTAATCTTACAATGTAGCAACAATTTTATGATTTGTAACAGATGTTTTTAGTTTCCGATTATGAACCAAGCTACTAAAACTCCAAGTAAAATTATCTTTGATCTAAAATTATCTGATTTTGTGAGCTTGTATATTTCTGAATATAAAACAAACTCTGCCATGCATCCAAAATGGTAAACTGCCATTCACCAATAGAAACCTTCATCTCCAAAATGTTCCACAAAAATTCAGTTGGGTGAACAAGCCAGCCAATTCATCAAACAAGTGTCTTTGAAACCCATTTCATTCAGATATTCCTTAGTTTCTTTACCAAATATGATGGAACATTGTCATGCATAAAAATCATCTAAAGACATTTGGATTCTACTTAAACTGTACATCACAAAAAACAAAAGTAAAGAAATATCAATGTATAGCTGAGCTGTCACCATATTGACATCATCTGGAATTTGGCATAATCTCATATTCTCACCACCCTATAATTCCACTGTAAAGCATTTAATTTACACTATCCTCTATTTTGTTAATATCCCAACAATTGAGGACATTTCCTGCCAGCAGCCCCCGCTCCATCTACCTAGCTAATCTGGCATTCATCAAGATGACAAAAAAAAAATGGTTTCCATGTATTTTGTTGCCAATTTCATTCACTGCTTCATATACTTGATTTTAAAGAAAACCTACTGATTTCTTTTCACATATTTTACCACTTGATTTAGGACCCCGAATCTTATACTTTACAACACTTGCTTGCTGCCACAATGTCTAATTATTTCATAATTTGACAAAGAAGGATTTTTTAATGATTTCTCTTTTAATACAGGAAACAGATTAGCAAGATAAAGTTCTCAACTTGAACTTATCAGATCTGCATCAGTATCGTCTATGATTTTTAATGAACTTTTTCACTATTTGGTGGTGATAGCAGATGATCATTTTTGCAAGCTCCCAAAGTAAGTAAACATTTTGCAAGTTTCAAACTCACAATGTGACTATTAATTTGAGACTTTGAAATTCAAGACATTTCATACCAATAGCAGCTATTTGTTCACATCTGCAGGTTTCATCTTAATTATATAGATAGACCATAAAATAAATCTTTAAATTTCAATATTTATTTTATATATCAATAAGTGGATAATAATGTGAGATGTAGTATAATCCTGTTATTTTTTATGGGTACTATGCAATTCAATGTTAATTGCTATCTACTGTCTTCTTAATTGCTCTTTCCTCTTTCTCCTCATTACTAATGTTTCTGTTCCTAATTCCTCTACACTCTGTAACCCCTTGCATGCTAGTGGCTGTACTGCCTTGTTTGGGGTGATACAGTTTAAAAAAAATGCTAGTACTTCAACAATTTAGTTACTCATTAAAAAATAACACACATACACATATACTGTTCTTTTTACAACTCTTTCACTGATTTAGCACATAACCAGTGCTTAATTTAAATAAATGTCTACTTAGAATGTATTTAATGGGAATTAGTTGTGTAGACATCATGAAAGAAAGCCTAACTTATAAGAAAACACATAATTGATTTGAACAAACAGAGCAACTTACTCAATAAACTGAAAGAGTAAATGTGATAAAAGTTTGGAGTTTGCTTCACAGACTTGCGGAAAGTTTAACATTGTCTTCCACAGCTGCTCTCGAAAATGGTCTACAGTTGCTGACGAAGTCTCCCTCTTGAGTGAATTTTCAAGTTGCTCTCTAAATATTTGCAACAAAACTGTATCTACTTCTGCATCCTCTTCATCAGGCAAAAGCTCAGCAGTATCACAAATGGACACAGTCGGAACATTATTTTCTGTAGAAATAAAAAACAAAATGTTGAATCAATAGAAACCCATTTTCTTTTATAACCAGTGCAAATCATTCATTGTCCAGAAATCTTAAACAAATTTACTCATTTCAGAAAAAGGAAAATAAATGCAGAAAAACCACTTCCTCTTCTTGGGTAGTTTAGGACTTCAAAAAATGATATAAAATGTGTTTAATATTATCAAGAGTTGGACTCTGTCTACAAGAATTGTTAGTTTAACCATTTGAGCCCTGCATTCCTGAACAATTGCAACCTTTCTGCTTGAGCTCCTGAATCAAAATTCCCAAATAATTGGTATGCAATGTTTCATGGTAGATATAAAAATAGTTACAAGTGTTTACCCACCATTCAACCAATGGCTGGGCATTATGTCATTTTTCTCTACCACCAGTAAAGCAGTGGTCAGGGCTAAAACTGACTATCAATACTTTATGAGTTTTTTTTCATCTTATTTTGCTCAGTCAATTTAAGAGTAGAACTAGTCATACACAGAATACAAAAAAGTTTAAGAATTCAAAATTTTATAGGTATAAATATTTCTTACAGACAAAATGAATAACCAATGACATGATATTTCTTAAAAAGCTTGGTTCTCTAATGCTAATGTTGCTCTGTAAAGGCAATCAGGTGTTTTTAGCCCAAATTTGGAACCAAACATTAATCTGAAAAGTACTAAAAATTGCTGTAAATAATGTTAAAGTCAAAACAATAGGAAAGTTAACAAGATCAATGGATAAAAAGACTAATGAAGGTTATAGACTGTCAATCAGACCATATTAATATGTAAAATAATAAAATAATTTATTCAGGTATTGTGTTAAGCCATTGATTCCCAAATGATGTGGCAGAAGAGGATAGCAGGTGAGGTGGAATGATTCAAAGGTAATCAAAGATTTAGAAACAGTTTCAAAAAAACTCATATGCCAAAAATAAATATTATTTCAAAATTTAAAATATTATTATAGATTGCTTGTAATTGCATGCATGAATCTCAGAATAAATATATATGAATAATTATTGACCGGTTTTATCATTGTGATATTTTTGCATTATATTAAGTATTAAGAATATAGTAACTAAGGTTTTCAAATTGGAGGAGAGAGTTATCAATGATAATATTCAAATCTGTAGCTATCTCCCTTTAACCCTCAAGTTCTGTTTTTTATTTTTATTTTTAAATGTACTAAAAAGTACATTTAAAAAATAAAATTTGGTGAGGCGCGAATAAATTTTCATTCTGAAAATTTCAGCCCAGAGAAAAAAGTTTGGGAACCACTGAGTTAAATATGTTTCTATATTTTGTGAATTTATTTATAAATAAAAATATGTTGCACTTTGTTTGCATAATAAAAGCTGACATCCCACAAAACAAGTTATTATCAATAGTTTTGTTATCAAGTAGAATTTCCTTTGTATTTTATCAGTTCAGCCGTAGTTGTTTATGTTGCATACTGAAATCTGACCCTACCTTATTGCTTTGGCATTTATATAGTCTCTGAGCCTTAGCTATGCTAATTAGGTAGTCATTTACATATCACTAGTTTTAATAAGGAGGGATATTAGAAGCTGAAACTCCCAGGATGCATTGTTCATATAAATATATCCTGAAAAAATTTAACCAACTTCATTTAATTAATAGCAATTTGATTTTGAAAACTTGTATCATAAAAATCTGAGAGTAAAAATAATGAATATTTATAAAAGACGGAATCCAATTAACAAGAATTTCATTTTGCTTAACTACCTTAAAAAGTTCAATCACCATTGTCACAATATTTGTTGTGTGACGCCATTCGTGAAGCAATTGTGACAAGTTTTGTAACAACATTCTCTGATCATCTGTCATTTACTGCACCTGTGATGACATCCAAGGTTGAGTATATTTGCATATACACCCAACTCACTATGTGCACAGATTCGTCTTGTTGGCCGTGATGGACCGGAGACAAAATTCCTACAAAACTCAGATAACTAAGTGGACTTAAAAGATGTCTGAGAAATCATTGTTACAGGTGACACAGGTTAACAACTGGGATCCACCAGTAAAAAAAAGAAAATTTTACATTAAACAAAAGTTAAACTTACCACAATCAAAAGCTGCTTTCTTAAGATGTTCCCCAAAGACTTCCCAGAAATCTTCTTTGGACATGGAAGTTGCATATGAGGTGATGAGTTTACGAACTGGTTCCCAAATAGGTTTGAAGTTGCAGAAAAGGTTACCTAACAGGAATCTTAGTGGCACCTGAAAATAACCTCAACATTTTCACATATTCTGAAAAGGTAGTTTTAACAAGATTTTCAGTCCCAAAGAATATTTTAGATCAGATACAGGAAAAATTTTTTTGACTTACATGAGTCACATCTTGAGAAATGTAAAAAAGTAAAGTAGAAAGAAAATCAAAAGTGATTTAAGTAGCTCATCTTTTTGAAGGTATCATTATATTTTGCTGAATTGAAAAAAACAGCCTGGATTGCAGATATTATTGCATTTAGCAGTAGCCAGGTTTTCAGTTTTGAAAATACAATAAATTGCCTATACTTTTTAATAACACGTGTTTAGAAGATTGTAGTTTAAATGGGTCTCTATTACTACGACGTAACTTGTACAAATCAAGATATTGTTGGTTCAATTCACCATTCTTGCTTTCTGCACACTTCACAACGTAAATCCTAGTTTTCGTTCTCCCATTTTCACTGCTTCAGCCATCTTTTATCAGGCCAACACCACAACTTGCTATCGGTGGAAGCATGCCAAACTGTACAAAAACCCTTGTCACCGCACACACTGCTGGAATTGCTGGAGAGGAGAGTAATGCCATTTTCACAGAGCAAACTTGCTGATGTCATGTGGTGCACGTTAAGGTAAGACCCTTATTTTCTTAAGCACCAGATACAAGCCACTCTGGCTCATTTACTTTTGCAGGGATGTTCACCACAAAGATCAATTGCTGTCTAATTATACTATATATATATATATATATATATATATATATATATATATATATATGTATGTGTGACTATCAAAGGACATAACGTAATTGCTTAGAATTTGTGCATCAGCAGGCATCACCTGATGACCACTACCGTGTAAGGTGCCAGCTAGAGACCACTAGAAAACAGGCTGCCAAACTATCTACACAGAGACTTGATTATAGTAGAGAAGGCTTGTGCAAGACCATCCACACTTTTTGGAAATGCTTATAGCAAATGATTGGGGCAAAAGTTTGCCACAGACCAAATGAACAGCACCTTTCCATATACTATACTAGATAAGCATCATGCACACATCAACACCAAACAAATATATATATATATATATATATATATATATATATGATAATAATAATAAGTAAAGACAATCCTTAAAAATCCATTTTGGTTTTCATGAATATATTCAAATATTCATCTCTTCAGACCTCTCTTTTTTAGAAATGAAATCAATTTGTCCAGACAAAAGGAAAAGGAAGAGGAAAAAAGAAAGAAAAAGAAAATGCAAAATTATTTTTTTATTTAAAAAGGGAAGAAAGAGAAATAAAAAATTCAATATGAGATCTAAAAAAAAAAAAAAAAATTGTTGGAGGAGAGAGAAAGAGAGAGAAATTTCTTATATTGAGCTCTCTTTGGGTTAATGTCCTCCTTGGAATTATCCCTACCAATTAAGAGTCAGTATTTTATATATATATATATATATATAAAATGTAAAACTGCTACATAAATGCATTCATGTTTCAATGCATCTCATCAGGTGGCAGTATATGTGGATTATTAGAATTTTTAATATTTACTTACAATCATTTTTTTTCCCACGAAAAAAAAGAAAAACAAGAAAATAAAAAGAGCAAGAAGGAAAGAAAAACACAAGATATAGTTTCTTCTCCAAAGAAAAAAAAAAGATTATATATATATATATATATATATATATATATATATATATATATATATATATATATGTGTGTGCATAACTTTAATGTGACACATTTCATTCTGTAGGACTTTATTGGACTAAGTTTATGGATGCAAATTTACTGTAGATGATCTGGTGATTACAGCAGTTTCTAAACATTTTCATCTTTTTTGGCAAAACAACACATTAACTTCATTAGTTGTTCACCATAATGAGACGGACTTCAATTTTGATTTGAAAAAACTCTACTCTAATTAAAAGAGAAAACAATTTACTAAGACAATATTACTAAGGGAGATTTAATAACAAAAGAGAATGAAACAAAGAAAAAGAATTTAAATGGAATCAGCTAAATTATATACCCAAAACACATATTAAAAAAAAAACAAAAATATTCTCAACATGTATCATTTGTTCATGCACATGTGTCATCACATCAGCGTAAATATAAATTTAGTCTAATTAGTCCTAATGGACAAAATGTGTCACGCAAAAACTTTTACCACTTTGTCATACTTCTTTTCTTTAAAATTGTTCTTGATATATAAAAAATGTTTATGATATCGTTATACTATATATGATTAAAAATGACAATTGGAAAAAAATTGTTAGTTCTTGCCAATGCGTTTTGTCTTCCAACTTTATCAAGGCAAGCAAAGAAAGCAAAATGTTTTGTAGCCATAGTTACATCAAATCCAAAATTTAATAAAAAGAGATACTCCTGCGTAAACCTCTTTCTGGATATTGGTATTGGTAACTCTTAGTAAAAAGGAAGTTAAAAAAAAAATTAAATGAGAAAAGTTACATCACTTCTGTACGATAACTTCCTCTCACATTAGCTATCAATATATCAATGGAACAAACACACATTTTCTGTAAAGAAAGTAAGTAATGTTTGTTTCCAAATATATTAAATAAAATTTAAATTTTCTCATTTTCCTTTTGGTTTTTTTCTTTTTGTTCAGGATTTTTTTTCGTGTCTAAGGTGTTACATTGTCTTGTGGTCACACCAATAAATATATATATATATATATATATATATATATATATATATATATAGAGAGAGAGAGAGAGAGAGAGGGAGGAGGAAAAAACAGTTTTTGTGGGTAGATCAATAAAAAAGAAAAAGATTTTATCTCTAGAAATATGAAAGAGTAAAATACAAGAATAGCCTCATAATTTTAGCTCTTAACAAAAGTAGGAACAAAAAGAAAAATAAGCAAATATATCTTATTTACCTGATTGAATCTTGGATCAACAGATGGAATACTGTTCTTAATTAAACAGCTGTCTAGTTTCTGCAGGTGTTTGATGATATCCCGATAATCTTGGACAGTTCGAGGAATTCTTTCAGCATCCAGACAAATGTTGAAAACATCTACTTGAAAAATGTCCTGAGGAATGAGAAATAAAAAAACACTTTGGTAAAAGCAGATCTAAGCTGTGTTATTGGCAAATTAGCAATCTAGTTCATTAAATGAAATACAAGCAAAATACACAAATTAATTTCACAATGATGACACTGAATTTTTGGTACAAGGCAAATATGTACAGAATACCCACAATGGACTGAATTCACTTAACTCATGAGAACAGCTTTTTTTTGTTCATTGCAGAGCAAATAGATACTTTCAATGTTGATTTTAAAATTCTAAAACAATCAAAATATGAAATTAGAACAAATGTATTTCTGAGGGTCACTTCAACTTCCACAACTTAAAATTTTAAAGAAAAAAAAAAACAAACACATAAATAGTGCAATATATATATATATATATATATATATATATATATATAGATAGATAGATAGGGTCAATAAACTTATCAAAATTTCAGACACAACACTAATCAGGGTCAGATAAATCTATTAAATTATTATCATATGACATATTTATATTCTGTTCACAAAACTCTGAAATCAATTGAAAGATAAGTCAATTGAACTTTTATTAATTTATTGATTATTGTCACTATTTCTCTACTGAGCACATTCTTGACAAAAATTCTGCTCAACTTAAAATGTGTTAAATTCCAGTAATTTACATATTTTGATAGGTGTTACTGATTTGTGTTATATATATCGTGTGGTGTTCTCTAAAGAGTCTATATTAGACTCTTCCGCCTACTATAAGATTAGTAGGACAGAAGGCTTCAGGGAACTGTGAATAGATTGAGTGTTAGTTCATTCGATACACTATCACTAGTCGTGTAATACTCTTCTGGTGTACTTACTGTTTAATATACGATATATCTGCAAACCTGGTTTTTGTTATTACTTAACCATTTACTTGGTCACAACATCTTGGTGACAAAGGATTCGATGAAATGGACTTCACGTTAAATCATAAAAAAATTTTTTTTGCCAGTGTCTACAACAGTGGTGGAGAAAGGAATTCTAATCCAACTCTACAACAAAAGGGTATCCAGTGTTAATTACAACACTGACAATGAAAAAAAAAAGAAACTCTTCAAAACAAGAGTATTTCTACAAGTTCAATTCAGTGGTTGGGAAGAAGGTTGGTGAACCTTGTTATTTTTCACATTCCAACAAGTCAGTGAAAGGACTTATTGCTTTCGCTGATAGGGTAAAGTAAAAATTTACCCCCCTCTCCTGCTTTTAAATTTTTCAGTAAAAGAATTGTAATAGTCAAATAGACTTATTTAAGAGGGTAAAGAGAAAAAAATCCCCCCCCCTCATTTCTTAGTCTTACGCTATAAAATGGAAGAATTTAATATGAGAGTTGTTGAAACACCAACAGGAACAACGACTGTTGGAGCTGAAATATCAAGAAAGAGAAGAGGAATTCCAAAGAGAACAAGCAGAATACCAAAAGAAATTTGAGGAATTGCACCTAGAAATTCAGGTTAGACAACAGAAACTGGAAGAAATGCTCCTTCAAACACAGAATGAGCAAAGGCACTTGTATATGTCCATAAAAAACCAAAATGAGGACAGCGATAATGTGTTCTCTCAAAACGCTATATTAAGCGCTATTGAAAACTTCACATTTGCACCTGAAGAAGAAATTACATTTGCTTCGTACTTTAAACATTATGACGACTTATACAATACGGATTGTGCAAATTGGACTGACCATAAAAAGGTTCGCCAAATCCTCAGGAAATTACGCACAGCAGAATAAACTAAGTTTGTTAACTATATTTTGCCTAAGAAAACCAGCGACTTGAAAGTTAAAGAGGCTGTTCAATCATTAACAGAACTCTTCAGTCCAAAAACATCGCCGTTCCACAAGCATTGGAAATGCATGAATCTCACCTGCAAAGAAGACGAAGATTTTACTACTTTCGTGAGTGTAGTCAATAAACACTGCGATGACTTCAAATTGGCGCCAATAATTTTAAATGCTTGATTTTTGTCCAAGGTTTGATTTCAACGAAAGACACCAAAATATGTTGTTGGGTACTCAACAAGCTTGAAAACGAGCCCAACGTTACTTTACAGCAAGTTGCCGAAGATTGTCAACGTTTCATGAGCGTCAGAGAGGATTCGAAAAACATCGAACAGAGTGGCATGGCTCACATTTTAAAAAAATACACCAAAGAAAAATTAAAAAGGGTCACCAAAAAATAAAGCTACTTTGTCGTAAAGACCACATTTCAGGTGTGGTCAATTACATTGGTATAGAGATTGTCCTTTTAAAGATAAAAAAATGTTTTAATTGCGATAAATTGGGACACAAAAGTTCCCACTGCAAGATTAAGACAAAAAAAAGTTTTGTAAAAATTACCAAGACTAATGAACCAGAAAGTTGTGACATTAGGAAATATATTGAAGTGCAAATATTTAACAAAAATATAAGGCTACAGCTTGATTTGGATTCAGACTTATCCATAATTAATTATGAAACATGGGAAAAACAGGGTAAGGCGACTTTGTTAAGAACTAACTGAATAGCTAAAAGTGTAACTGGCGACCCTATTAAGTTTATGGGCGAACTTATAACGAACGTGTCATTCAAAGGTAAAACTTTAAAACTCAAGGCGTATATTATGAAGAATACTGGTAATTTGTTCGGGACTGATTGGTTAGAACAGTTTCAGCTTTGGGATACGCCTATTAACTCATTATGTCAAAAAGTCGAAAATTTGACTGACGAAGTAGAAAAGTTGAAAGGTAAACTTAAAAAAAAATTCCTGACATTTTCAGTGGAAGACTAGGAAAATGCACAATAATATCTGCCAAATTTGAGACATAAACCCAGTTTTTAAGAAAAAAACCTAACGTTCCATTTGCCTCGTTAAATCAAATTGACGAGGAGTTGAATGGACTTGAGGAAATGGGAGTTCTGGCAAAGGTTGAATATAGTGAATGGGCATCTCCCCCCACAGTTTATATTAAAAAAAAAAAAAAAAAGAGCAAAGAAATTTATGTATGTGCTGACTTCTCTATGGGGCTGAACAGCGCCCTAAAGGATCACCATTATCCCTTTCCAAGTCCAGACGAGATATTCGCTAAGCTCAGTGAAGGAAAATATTTCTCTAAGATTGACTTCAGCAATGTATATCTACAAATACCTGTGGACGAGGAATGCTTAAAGCACCTTTGCATAAACACCCACAAGGGTTTATACAAATTTTTAAGACTTCTGTTCGGGGTTAAGGTTGCTCCTTCCATTTTTCAACAGGCCATGGACACGATGATAAACGGTCTGGATTTTGCAGTGGCCTATCTCGATGATGTCCTAATGAAAAGCGAGAGCATCGAGGAACACAAATCACATGTTTGGCAGGTGTTCAGGAGAATCCAGGATTACAGATTCAAATTAAAAGACGGAAAGTGTGAGTTTTTCTTAGACAGGATTATGTACTTGGGGCAAATAATTGACAAAGACAGAAGACATCCCAACCCAGATTAGGGCAAAGGCAATAAAGAATATGTCAGCACCAGAAAGTGTGCTGGCTCTTCAAAGTTTTTTAGGTCTTGCCAATTATTACAACGTTTTTGTACCAAGAATGCACAGTTTGGGAGCTGCAATTAATGAATTATTGAGAAAAGATAAAGAGTAGGAATAGACAATCAAATGCCAGGAAGCATCTGAGAAAATAAATGAGTAAAACACCCATCTCCTCACTTATGAACTTTGAATTACCAGAAAAGCACAATATTCATTGGATTATTGGAAATTATTATCTTTTAAAAAAAAGAAAAAAAATTGTAAACGTAATTCCTGTATATAGCTTTTTCAAAGTGGTTGTTTCTGATTTTTATTTATTTTTTTTTTTTGTGGAAAAGGATTGAATAAAAAGTATTGTGTGGTAATTATAAAAAAAAACTCCATACAGAGTCAGGCTGAAAAGGGGGGGGGATGTCCTCCCTCTAAAGCGTCTATGTTAGACTCTTCCGCCCACTATAAGATTAGTAGGACAGAAGGCTTCGGGGAACTGTGAATAGATTGAGCACTACACTTGATACACTCTCACTGGTTGTGTAATACTCTTCTGGTGTACTTACTGTTTAGTATACAATATATCTGCAGACCTGGTTTTTGTTATTACTTAACCATTAATATATATATATATATATATATATATATATATATATATATATAATTAAAGCAAATGTCAAATTTGTCACTTAGCTGATTGGTGTTACTTTCAGCATCCCGACTAGATTTTTGTAGATGGATCCTCCAACAATTACTCCATACACTCGTTATATATCAACAATTGATATATAAAATTTTCATTCACCTCAATTACAAGGTAAAGCCTACTCTGAAATTGTCCAGTTCCAACTGATTTAAATAAGTGCTCAATACATGAGCAATTCTATGAATGTTTCTTTTTAAAAAGATATAAATACCTCATTTGGAAGAGGTATTTACTTCTTTTTAAAAGAAAGGTTCTTACATTGAAATTTCAAGGCACTAGAACCTTTTCAGATCAGCTGTAGTATGGGGAGGTACAGAAACTGACTAAGACAGCAAGAGATCAAAGAAGTTTAAAATAAGTACAACTTGTCCAATCTGATGTCAGCAGAGAGCACTGATAATGAATAATTGAATGAAAAAAAGGGAAAAAATTCTATCTAAAATGTTTTATCCGAAAAGAAAATGTCTTCAAACTTTTAGGGACAAAACATGTTATGTAGAAGTTTTTCCCCCCTTTCATCATTCAATTAATCATTATCTTACAGATACTACAAAACATCTGTTAGGAAAATAAACGACTCACATTACAGCATGAAAGCAATAAACTTTGGATGTAAGAGTCTAAATGCTTTGTCATCATATTTATTACAATGTTTCGGCCGTTGTACACTCCAGCTTTCTTCAGGTGGTTGGAATGTCTTATTGAGTTCACATGGTCCAGTAGAACCTCAACATCTTCCTAGTGTGGCCAGAGTATGAAGGTGTAATCTACGTACCTTATCCATAGAGTTGGCTTTAGAGATATGGATTCTAATGCTATGTATATATTCACCATCACTCACTGGTAGTATAATAGATGTCAGTTATCTCCTGTTAATTCCCCCTCTCCAAGTTCGCCACTGCCTTAACCAGGTACTGTCACTGGATCTAACCAATGTCTTTATCCACTGTGCCATGTGTCCTTGAGGACATCTGTGTATGAATTTCTGGGTATTATAAACCTAATGTCTTCAGCACCATTTTTTACCAGTGCTCATATTGCAATTTTTGTTGTTATTATTGCTTTTCTCTGGAACACCTTATTACTGGTTCCCATATTGTATTCATTTCTATGCTTGGTCGGCTCAGGAGATTTTTGTGGCCTAACATATGTGCTGATTCCTTAAGTTTACAAATTTTCCAATGATGTTCTTTGTCTATGATCTCAACTTGATCCCACAAAGGGAGGTGATCTCCCTTTTCTCTCCATATGTGGTCAGTCATTCCTGATTTTTCCACTTCCCCTCGTGTTACAACTTTCTGGTGTTCTTGAAGCTTTACCTTAAGGGGGCGGCCTGTCTCCCCTTTATATTTCTTTCTGCAGCTGTACGGGATGGCGTACACATAGTCTTTAGTCATGTTCTCCTCTATGGGGGGGGGTCTTACTTGAGAGAGATATCTGCAAAGTGTCATCCAGCTTTTGAAGATAGTCCTGATGTTATATGGACCACAGATCCTTTGTATTTTCTCTGATAACCCCTTCACATAAGGCAGACAGACTGTTTCTGAGTGTTGTTGTCCTCCTCCTCTTGTACCCGCCTCTCCCATTTTTGGGGGGCTGCTGCCATATACCCAGGTTAGTTGTTACGTTGTAGGGTACTACTTATACTGAACAATTCTTTATCTAATGTCTCTGGGTCACCACTTATGACTTTTGCTTGGTGTTGTAAGCAGCAGACGGTCCCTTTCTTTATGCTGTATGGATGGTGGGAGTTGAAATTGAGGTACTGTCTGGTGAATGTTGCTTTACAGATGTCTTGAACCCGTGCTCTGTTCGAGATATTAGAACATCCAGGAATGGGAGTGTGTTGTTACTTTCTTTCTCCATCGTGAACTGTATTGAAGGTCTTATTGAGTTCACATGGTCCAGTAGAACCTCAACATCTTCCTAGTGTGGCCAGAGTATGAAGGTGTCATCTATGTACCTTAACCATAGAGTTGGCTTTAGAGATATAGATTCTAATGCCATTTCCTCAAAGTATTCCATGTATATATTCACCATTGCTAGTGATAACTGTGAGCCCATTGCTGTCGATATATGTGTGATCCCATTCTGAAGTGTGTTGTTTGTATACAGAAAGTCAACATCTCCATCAGATTATCTATTGGAATACTGATCTGTTCTTCTAGGGCTTAGCAATGGGCTATAAGAAATATAGACAGATACTTACATATTTACAGTCAAAAGAGATAAAACAGTGATGTTAAACAATTCATTCATATTTGACTCTTCTGATGACATTGTGGAAATAGAATTTTATGTTATTTTAAACTTGACACTTAAATAACCTGGAGTGGAGTAAGGTAGCATTTTTAATATCAGGAAATAACAAGGTAAATATTTCATAAGTATACATGTAAAATCTCGTTAAATTTGAGCCAATAGCTTTTGGAATTAGAACTCTTTGAGATTGAAAATTTTTTATTTTTTTTTTATTTCAGCTATAGGTGTACCTGTAATTATTTTCAATCATTTTCCTCAGAATCAAACATTAAAAGTTAAAAATACTTACAGGGTTGTCTGTTATTGGAAGAGAAAGTTGAAACTGGGACAGGATTTGAACAGTCAACAGACGAACCTGTGAAAAGAGAAAACAAAAATATTTATTTATCAGTCAACAAAAATCAGATTGAGAGTGATTGCAATTACTGTACACAACCAGGCAACTAAAGATATATAATCATTGTGAAATATTTTCACTGTATTATAACTATTGTCATATCAGTAAGTGTTTTTTTTTTATTAAATGCTAAAGATAGTACAGTATGATTCTAGTACTAAGGATGGAAATAAACAACAGTTTCAACATATTAAGCTTTTTATTTAAAAAAAACATAAAAATGCATTTCAAATGCAAAGATTTGTGCAGTTTATGGAGAAGGTACTGCAGAGAATTGAACATGTCAAAGATGGCTTGTTAAGTTTCAAAACACTCCACAGTTGAGTAAACTAGTTAAGATTGAGAACATATCAAAATATTACTTGAGAATAATCAATGCTATATGACACGGTAGATTGCCAACATACTTAAAATATCCAAATCAAGTTCTGAAAATCATTTGCATTAGCTTAGTTATGTTAGTTGCTTTAGTGTGTAGCTTTCACTTACATTTAAAAATAAAATTCTGGGCCCTATTGAGCAATTCACTACATAAATGTAATAAAATTATTGATGATAGCGGATATTTTAGAAAATAGATTTTGAGCTCATAGAGAAAGTCAAATGAAGCACCACTAACCATATAAAAGGCTGATCTTCATCAAAATACTGTGATGCTGGGATAATAACATAAAACTACAAGTTTCTTTGGTGACAAAGCAAAAACTTTAGACAGGAATGTTGCACTTATCCATTATATTGCAATTTTAGATTTCCAATCATCCTGATTTTTACAGCAGTGTTTAAAGATACCAGGGATGAAAGCTCATGAAGACAGATCCAGAGCCTTCTCATCATAAATGAGGCTACCATAATTTCTCAAAAATAATATGCACCCATAAATAATATGAACCCCAATAAATGATCCAAAAATTAAGAAATATATGTATCCCTATGTATAATATGCATCTATAAATTTTGTCAAAAAGAAAAAATAATAACTACAAAGACAATTTGTCAACCTTGACATTAGGAATAAAATTGAAACCTAGCAGCTAAAGTAATGTTGAAAATTACCGCAGTTTTCTCAATAAATATAACATTTTATTTTACCGCCAAAATATCATCAAAATGTGTGAGTTATAGTGCAAATTTTAAACAAAAAGTAATAGATTTAATTAGCTGAAAGAATAGGCAACAGAGCTGCAGCTAGAGAATATGAGTTGAAGTTGAATGAGGCTAACATACGTTTATGGAGAAAGAATAAAAATGAACTAAAAAAGAGTAAATCAAGTGCCAAAGCTATAGGTAGAGAAAGAAATGCTCAATATCCTGATATGGCACAAAGTTTAGTTGAATTTGTGAAAGAAAGATCAAGTGAATATTCCATAAGTACTGTGGAAATAAAGATGAAGGTAAAAGAACTTATGAAAACCATGTATCCTGGAAACATTTAAAGCTACAGTAAACTGGTGTTTTCTTTTTATGAAAAGGTTTGATATATTTATTAGAACATCCATAGACTGATGACTATGAAGATAAGCTTTTGAATTTTCAGTGTTTTGTTATTTTGCATGAAGAATATACTTCAGGAGAAGAGGACTGATCTGGTTATTATACCGGGGGAATGACTGGCCAACTTCAAGTAATGAATGTTGTCTGCAACCATACCTTTAAACAAGAGATGCATAAAAAAATGGAATGACTGAATGTTTTTACTGCTGGTGGCAACAAGAAAAAAACAGAGTTAGAACTTATTGTAAAATGGATTCAGGAATCTTGGGATGTTATAAAAAGAGGTTTCAAGAATTGTTGTCTCATGACACCAATGGATGGCTCTGAATATGACATCCTTTGGCAAGAGAATGAACAGGATGAAGATAATATGATGAATGATAATTTGTTTAATGACAATTTAGATATTGATTCTATAATACAAAGTGGTGATAATAATGATGAAAATTAAAATTTCAGTAAATTGTTAACTTGATATCCTCTTTTCTTCGAAATTGGCCTTTTTATAGATTTTTTTTATTTTTCTGTGAAATAAAAAATGCGATTACTGATAAAAATAAATTTATTGACAAAAAAATGTTACAATTATTATTGTTGAATTTAAAATGAAAATTGGGATAATATCTTTCTTATTTTAGAACAAACATATTTATTATTAAATCAATAATGAAAAAACTATTTTTGTTTAAACCTATTTATAATACGCACCCCCTACTATCACCTGTAATTTACAGTAAAAAATGCATATCATTTTCGAGAAATTACAGTATTTAACCCATAATTGGAAGCTTTGCATTCAGAGTAATTCTTCTCTAAGACCGGTTGCCACCTGAGGTTATAGGACACAGTCTGTCCTGCTATTTTACCCATAGGTGGTGGAAGAAGAGATGTATTTATACCTTTAAATGAAAAAATAAAAAAATCAATTTCCTAGAGAATTCCTGAAGTAGTTTTTTGCTGAGAAAAGATTCAGGAGGACAAAATTATGAAGTTGCCAGAAAGGAAACAGATGATAGTAGACCAAAACAGAAAATATGTTATTCAATAAAGTTGATGCTGAAAATAACAAAATTTATTGTTGTATTTTTATTTAATAGTCCAATAGATTCAGAGTCAACCAGTCAAGAATTATTGATCAAACAAATACACAATTTTTTACAATAAACATTAAAAAATTATAATTTTGTATGGGTACAAAATTTTATTAACACAATAAAAACAGACAACATCTAATGCCCTAAACCAAGGGTCGGCAACCTACGGCCCAAGGGGCGGATCCGGCCCGCGAAGGCATTCTGACCGGCCCGCGAGCCTGATTACCAATGACTCTATTTTTAACATGAGAGATGAATGGAATTTGTTATATGTCATTTTCCATAAAATTTCTACACATCTCAGTGCACTAAAAATATTAGACTATCTTTCATGAGACTTATTTTACCAAGTTGCATTGCCTACGTTTAATGTCAAATAATGAATACATATTTGTTATGACCCTTGGCTACATTAAAAGATAATAGAAGCGAAAGGAACGATAAAGTGAAAGAGGCCAGGGTGGGACTGACATGCGAGGTAGCAGAAATCTAAAGACAGCTAAACATACGCACATTATACATACATGCCTGATGAATGTGTTGATGATACCGCATGTGTACGTACGTAAGTGTATACGTTTGCAACTGTTTGTACTCGTATGTATGGGTATATGTGCTTCGTTTTTGTTTGATGTGTGTGTGTGGTTCATTTGCGGAACAATTTTCAATAACAGTTTCAAACCTACATGTCATAATTTCATCCATTTCACATCGGTTGATTTTTTTCACTTTGAAGTATTTTGACATTCCTTGAGAAAAAGTCATTTTTGTTAGGTGTTTTTTAATTTTAGATTTTCTTTTGTTTTTCTGATTTCTCGATGTTTATTTTCATTATGGTTTTAAATATTTAGGTTGACAGGGGTCTGCATATGTAATTTTCCTTAATTTTTCATTAATGGCCTTTGTCCGGCCCACGACCCCTCATTATAACATGATCCAGCCCACGGGGTCGAATGAGTTGCCGACCCTTGCCCTAAACTTATCCGAAGAAAGAGGCGGGAAATTTCAATATTTGAGTAAAATCACTTTGAATTCTGCAAAAATATTTTACCTCTTAACCAACAACAGAGGAATAATAAATTCCAAACCATCAGATAATACATAGAATTCAGTAGTAGACAAATGATGTTTAGATGAATTTAAAACAAACTTATTGTTGAAAGTAGACAATCTGCCAAGCTTTTTAACAATTCAAACTTGTAATTTCTTTTTATGATTAATTTGTGAAATAGTATACTCACAATTGTCAATTATGACAAGATAGCATCCAAAGTGCATAATGTCAAAATAAGACAAAAAAAAGTATGACAAAACTTTTCATACTCCATTTTTATCACTAATAATGGACAATTTTGCAATTCCATCACCAATAATGGTATGTGCAATGCTATTACTAAAATTAAGCTTTACCTTAGTAATATAAAAATATACATCAGATAAACCTGATTCTCCAAACAGTTTTAATAAAATTCTGTTACAACAAGCAGTCTTAATCCTTGGGGCAAGATTAAGACTGCTTGGATTAAGACTGTTTGGAGAATCAGGTTTATCTGATGTATATTTGAATCTGCAGTGCACCTGGTCTTTTTTCTTATTATCACACTAATTATATTTTTTAAGATTTGTCAAAATATCATACAAATACTACTACTTACTTTTCCATTTCCCTATCAGCATATATCTCCTTTCCATTATTTTTCTAATATATTAATACTTTATTTCAATGTCTTACTTTACCAAATAAAAGTATTGAAGACAAGTCCAGAGTATACTCACCTGATGAGAAGCACTAGAAAGGTTCTGTTCAAGGAATGAGTAAATTCTGAGACAGTTATCTGAATTGCAAACACTTTCCATATTAGTTGACCGAGAAGCCAACCAAAAAAATATATCAACAACTTGGAGGGCATGAATGTTGTCGCTGTAAGACCTGAAATTAAAACAAAAACAAAAAGAAAAAATTAAAGCAAATCAAAAGAAATCAAAAAACGATTACAAGTTTCTTTGAAATATTTTTTTCTTTTAATCAGATTATAAAATGACCTTTGCTTTCTGTCTAGACTACCATTCTATGATTCTACAGATAACTACATTTTAATAAATTCTGGTAAATTTAAGTACAATAAACCCATTTCAATGATGGACTATTATTTACTGACTCAGTTTCATAATTTTTAATAAATATATTCTTTGTACTATGCACATATATACTCTTCCTGTACTATATAACATGATCCTTGTTATCATTATTATTATGATACATTCTTGATATTTCAGTAGATAACTGGTGATTAAAAACTGCCACAAAAATGAAAGAAATACAACTGGATTATTCATTAAAAAATATTTTCCCAAGAATACAAGTTAACATTTATACTAAACATTGAATAGTTTTCTAAAGAGAAAAAGATAGAAAACTTTTACTTAACAGTGACAGCCTTTCCACTACAGAAAAAGAGACATGACTTTAAAATACATAAATATTCACTGTCACAGATTGAATGAACATCAAGAAAGACATCAACATTTTTTGCATGGTTCCAACCATACTAATTGCACATCCACATTTTTTTGCATGGTTCTTTTTGTATTTTGCTATTGTGTTAATAACAAATGAATATGAATAAAAATGATATAAAACAATGAGGTAAAACAATAGGTCTGAACAATGTAGAATCTTTATTGATACTAGATTGAGCTTACTACTATGTAGCAATGTTATCAGGGGGTGGGAGTTTGCCTGTCTTGTAACTTCTAATGTTTATGGTGAGTGTTAATAAGAGGTAATGACAATATACAACATCTCTAGTCTGTTAAAAAAACAAATTTTATTTTTTTTAATAATTATGCCAAAGAACTTTTAAATTTATTACTACCATATTTTATATTTTGCTGTGACTTTTATTATTCTTCCTTTTCTTGTGGTATTTTGTAATTTAGTTGGTATATTTTTACTAAGTATTCTTGTTTATTTTTTTTTTTGTTAAATATGTTTTGATAGTCAAACTGCATTTTTGGTTTATTGTTAGTTTTTAGTAGATGTATTCTATTGAGTTTTATGCATGTACCTTCTTCAGTAGCTACTAAATATGAATGGATTATTTTTATTTTTATTTTCTAATTTTGATGGAATTTTATGCATACATCTGGTTTTAGCATTTGTAATTCTCTATGTCTGTCTGTATCTTTCTTTGCAGGCTGCATGTAGATTTACTATGTTTAATATTAGGAAGATTTCTGCATAAATTCTTATTAACATAACTAAGTAGTGTTCTTGCTGACTTTCAAATGCTTTCTTAAGTGTCTTTTTGATGGTCTGTATGTTCCTTTCTGCTAATCCATTTGACTGTGAAAATTTTGCATTTTTTGTGATGTGTTTGAATTCCCATTCTTTTGCAAATTTATTAAAAATCAGCCAACTTGTATTCTGGACTGTTGTCACTGATGAATATTTGAGGAATGCCAAATCTGGTGAAAGTATTCTTCATCTTTTTGATTACTGTGCTTGACTTACAGTTTTTTAATTGAGGTATATTGAAATATCTGCTTGTATAATTACAACATGGTTTATTATAGAGATGAAAGATGTCTGTTGCTACTTCGGTCCATGGGATTATCAGGATATCATGGTTAATCAATGGTTCAGCTGCTTGCTGGTACCAATGGTCTATGCAGTGTGTGCATGTGCTTACCATTTCCTTGATCTTGCTGTTCATATTTGGCCAATATATCACCTCCTTTGCTTGTGCTATGCATTTTCCCATTCCTAAGTGTCCAGTGTTGATCTTTTGTAATGTTTCCTTTTGTAATAAGTGAGGAACTATTATTCATGCACCTTTCAATGCTAACCCTTTTGTAACTAATATTTCATCATGAATAGGCATATATGGTGAAATTGAGTTGGGTATGTCTTTATTTTTCATAAACCATATTGTTGTTGCATATTGCATTAGAGTTTGTAAGATTGGGTCTTTACTTGTTTCTTCTCTATATGTATTAAGTTTGTGATCACTCATCGGATATTGCTTTAATATAGTATGAATATACATGTTCATTTCTGTTATCTGTCATTTCTTGAGTGTCATCTGATAGATATGCGCATAATAGTGTGTTGGCTATGACGGAGAGATCAAACTCATATTTCTGTAATGCTAACAGAAATCTTTGAATTCTTGGGGGACTTTTTGTAATCGATTTCTTGAAAATCTGTTTTAACAGCTTGTGATCATTTTTGACAATAAAATGTGTTCCATATACAAATTGATGAAATTTATTACAAGCAAATACCATGCTTAATTTCTCAGCTTTCAATAGGACAATAATTTTGATCCGGTACCATCGTCACCCTTGATGTATACAATATCGGAAGCACGTGTTACCATGTTTTTGTTTTAATTAATACCATGCCTAATCCTTTTTTACTTGAATCAGTAGTAATTTTTGTCTGTAATTTTGGATTATAGAATTGCAAGATTGGGTTGTTTGTAATCATTTGCTTCAAACTTCTTTCCGAAGCTTGTCAAACAACCATTGTAGTTTGTTATGAAGGAGTGCTTCCGAGTATTTAGGTATGAATTTGTATCGGTAATTTGTCATCCCTAAGAATCTTTGTAGGTCTTTTTTTTATTTTGAAGGTTTGGGATTTGCATAATTGATTTTATTTTTGATGGGTCTGGTTTTATTCTTTCATGTGTGATGAAGTGACCTAGGTATGTCATTTGTTTAGTTGAAAACTTACATTTTGATTTATTTAATTTTAAGCCTGACTTTCGTAGTTGATTGAAGACTAGATTTAATATTTCAATGTGCTCCTCGAGTGTGTCCAACCATATTATTAGGTCATCTTGGGAATTCCTTGTTCTTTGTATTCTATTATTTTTACTATTTGGACTTGGAATACCACACATGCACTGTGTATCCCATATGGCAAACAAGTAAAAGAGTGTCCTCCACTCCAAATGATGAATTGAATGTTAGGAGTTTCGAACTTTTTACATTCATGGGTATGTGCCAATATCCATTCAATGCGTCTAATTTTGTTAAGTACTTTGGATTTTTTCATTTTTACAAATATCTCTTCTGCTATAGGTAGCTTGAAGTGTTCTTGTTTTATTGCTTTATTCAAGTCTCTCAGGTCTAAGCATAATCGTAATTGCCGTTTGCTTTTTCTACTATTATTAAGGAGTTTACTCAGTCTATAAGTACTTGTACTGGTTTTATTATTTCCTTTTTTGTCATGTTTTCCAGTTCATTTTTTAGTTTTGGTTTCATACCAAATGGAATGTTTCTCACAGGATTTATAACAGGTGTTATTTCTTGGTTTACTGTTATGTGGTGCATAAACCGTAATTTGCCTATCTCTCCAAAACAGTCTTCATATTCCTCTAATAAATGTTCTTATTTTATGTAAATTCTTCACCCTGGATCTGCATATTTTAGTAAAGAGTTCCTTTTTTTTCTGTAATTTTTATAGTTTTTGTAAAATGCTAGACAGTTATTTTTGCTGTGTGAAACTGGGGAGTTCATGTTTGTACTAAGTTTTCTGCACCAAAGTTCAATTGTTTTGGATGAGGTAGAAATTCCATCTCTTTTCCTTTTTGTATCCTGGATTGTAGGAATTATTAGTTCTGTACTTCCGACACCATTTTGTATTTCCCTTTTGTGTTAATAACAAATAAACATGAGTAAGAACAATATAAAACAATGAGGTAAAACAATAGGTCTGAGCAATGCAAAATCTTTCATACTACACTTAGCTTACTACTATGTAGTAATGATATTAGGAGGTGGGAGTTTGCCTGTCTTGTACCTAAGGAGGATGTCTTGAGTATTAGTGAGTGGTAATGATTTAACATATCTCAGTTGCGTCTCTGTCCTTGTTAGTGAAAGGTAAGGTTTATGGTGAGTGCTAGTAAGAAGTAATGACACTATACAAGAGTTCCAACTGTACTAATTTTACATCCACACATTTTTTGCATGGTTCCAAACATACTAATTAATTAACCTGACCTTAACCTTCATGTTTTACAGATTTTTCAACTCTCTGGCAAGTCTTGGTATTTGAAGGTTTTTTTTTTCACTTTCAGTGTTCCAGTAGCAAAACTAGATTTTTCATAATCTGGTAATTCATTCTTTTCTTGCTTACAATTATTAAATCCTATCTTTATTGAGTTGTATATTTCCCAATGCCAATAGTTTGTTTCCGAGTCCAATTGAAAAGACAGGATTTCAAAGACTGATTTTCAAGACAGGCAAACCTGGAATGTGCAGAATGATAATCAAAATAATTCAAAAGATCATCATCTAAAATATTTGTCACTTCCAACAAATCTGATAAAATGTACACAATGAAACCTAATAACTAAAACAAATTTACTGAGGAGGTTTTAAAAGATTTATCAAAAAAGCATAAAGTAAACATGGACACATGACATAAACATGGAAGCCAAGAATATAACTATAAAAACTGAATATCAGTAACTATTTTAGCTGTATCACAAAATTGACTGAAAGATCAGAAATCTTTTTTTTTTTTTAAATATTGGTTATTATCAAAAGGCAATTCCTTTTTTATTAATGAGTAATACAAAGAAATGAAAATAAAATAGAATATTATTAAAAAACAAAGTTCAAATGTCAGTCCTGTGATGAACTCTTTTAAATCCCAAAACCATTAAATCAATGATTTACTGTATATAAAAGAAAAAATCTTACTTCAAGAGCACTTCTACTTTATCCAATGTGATACACTCAAAGAATTGGGCTTCTTCGACCATCAGATAAAATCTTTGTACAGCTTGAGCCAATATAAACAAGTGCAAATCTGCAAAAAACATTATGTGTAGATAATAAAATTATAATTCATAGGTGATAAGTTCTAAATTTAATTCCAATATTTCTTTGGAGATTTAAAATTACACAAGACTTGGGAGAAAAAATACTAAGCCAAAATGTTTTAAATAACAAATATTCCATTGCAAACAGTATAAGATTTTACCTTTGAGGGAAGGCTCTACATCAGAACATGTAATACAAATCCAAAGTTCCTTGATTAGCTTTTTCAGGACATCACAATTTGATTTGGGTCTAAATGAAATAGAATTGTATACAGTTTATATTTATGAATACACATGCATTGTTTTCTTTTTTTTATGAATTTATTTTATATCAGGTAAATTACAAACAAATAATTCATTAATAACTGTAAAAATATAGTTCAAAGAGAATACTCTTAAATGCCTAAAAGAAATGAGGCTGTCCTCAATATGCAATAAATGGGAGGGGTAGAAAAATTATTTAGAGGGTCAAAAAATGTGAAATTAATAAATGAGGTGATCTTAATAACCCACAAGTGGAAGTGAAAATTTCCTCAAAAAAATAAATAAATAAAAATGTTTCCACCCAGCAGCAGCAGATTTTTTTTTTCTTACTCATGATTTTTTTACTCATGATTTTTTTTAAAAATGGCATTTGTTTTTTCTTACTCATGATTTTTTTTTTAAAAATGGCATGTTTTTTCTTACTCATGATTTTTTTTTTAAAAATGGCATTTGTTTTTTCTTACTCATGATTTTTTTTTTAAAAATGGCATTTGTTTTTTCTTACTCATGATTTTTTTACTCAGGATTTTTTTTAAAAATGGCATTTGTTTTTTTTTTTACTCAGGATTTTTTTTTTTAAATGGCATGTCTCTTTAAGATATAAGTGATCATGCCTCTCTACTGAATCGTGTTTTATAACTTGGCTTGATGATTTCACTTTCCACACATCTCCACATTCATGATAAAGACTGTTAAAAAAAGAAAAAGAAAAAAAGAATTACCTGATGTGTGGCATACAGACAATAGCTGCCCAAGTCAATACTAATTGCCATCTGTTGTCAAGGTTAGTATCAGAGATGAGATTCTGAACGTAATCACTAAAGACAATTCCTTTTGTGGAAGTTCTGAAAAAGAAATAAGGGAATTAAGAGAAGGGTTTTATAATCAAATGTTTCAGTGTTCAAGTTCAGTTGAGAGTAAATCAAGATTGATTGACTTTTTTATGGCTTATCAATCTTCTTCAGATTATATAAAGCCAGAAAATACTTTTAGATTGTAAGAATGTTTTGGAGATAATGACTTACTTATAAGTCCTACTAATTAACCCATAGCTGTGGGTGAAGAGGTGGATTCATACCTTTCCCAATGGTATTTGTGTGTAAGTGAATATAACAAACCAAACTGGAATTTGGTTCTCCAATTTCCAATTCCAATCTGCTACTAATTACACCACCTGCACATCCAAACTTACAGCACCTGGTATTCCCAAGTGATCACCCACCTAGGTATTGACCAGGCTCGATAATTGCTTAACTTTGGTGATCATATGAGAACTGGTGTTCCAATTTGATATAACCATAAGCTGAGTGAATCAAGAATAGGTAATAAAGTTCTGTGGTCTTAACCAGATTCAAATGGCTAACAAGATATCTTGCGAGAAGTTTTGTTGTTCTAGCCATGAATCAGTGACTAAAGACAATTAACAACGAATTTACCAATAGGATATTAAACAAAAAAAATCCAGGTTCTAATTGGTTAATTAAGCTAACAGTTCAAAATCAATAAGAACCAATATCCACTATTAATTTAGACACACAGAAAATAGCAAAATCTGACAAACTATACAACTGAAACTTAGTCTACTTTTGTAAGCACAGTGTTGCTAAATTTTAAATTTTACTACTACAAAAATTTAACTTTTGGGGGTTATTTTTAAACTCATCAGCCACAGTCAAGATCATAAAATCCACAACTTCACATCATTGTTAATTGTGAACTCCATGGTTATATAGTTAATGCTTCACCAGGACTAAATATGTAGAGGAACCGATTTTCTGTTTCAAATTTTCTTTAATTCCATTTCAGGTTTTAGGGAATTCCGTTTTTTTTTTCTTTTTCAGTATAGAATTCTGTTTTTGCTTCATTATAATACTTGAAAGTGAGAAAGTGTAACAATATATAGATGTTATTAAAACAAGAAAATAAAAGAAAAATTTTACTCGCTGGAATATCCACCCATTGGATAAGTTGCTCCAGCTTGATTGTACCTCATACTTCAGCACTTAATTTAACTTGATGAGTTTCTGGGATAATCCTTGCAAAGAATTCTACAATCCTAAATAAGAATTATTAAGTGAAAGTGACAAAACCTACAGAAAAGTAGTACCACAATGTCATCTAGAGACAAAAAGCTATATTATCATTTGGTCACTTGAAATTATTGAAATTATTAAATAACATTTTTGAAAAATGTCTAATTCGTAAAATTTGGCTTTCTGAAAAAACAAACTTCTCCTACCTCTGTAACCATGTATGATAGTAAAAAGAAAGGAGAAAACAAAAAGACAAAATTTTACCCCTCCATCTTTTATTATTAAATCAAGCCAACTTCATAAAACTTGGTTCCTAAATACTGTAAACTGTAGGGAGACAGCAGGCAAGGGTGATGTATTAAAACATTACCGACTTTATCCTTTGATGTTTGTCAGACGAGTAAGTTAAGAAAGGCAAATATAGTAACAAATGAAAATGGCAGTTGACTGTTAGAAGAAAAAGAAAATTTCAATTTCAAAAATCACAATTTCCATTTCAAGTAGGCCATTCTGTTTTTCCATTCATTTTTACGGAAAATAAGCCCCTCTACATAGGGTTTTGAATTTAGAGTTGTGCTTCTCCAAGACTGATTGCCAACTATGGCTAGAGAGATCCATCTGTCCTGATACTTAACCCATAGCTGAAAGAAGAACTGATGGATTCATACCTCTTCTAAGGTTATTTGTATGAAAATAAATGTAACAAACTTAACTGGAATTCAAACTTGGCTCAACAATTTCTTGTTCCAAGATGTTAACCATGACACTGTGTGCACATCCAAATGTGATTTTTAAAACAAACTAAACTTGAAAAGTTCATGTAAGATTTAGTAGCACTCTGCTTTTAAATGTTGTCTAACTGGCTACAAGAATCTGTCAAGGTTGATACAACATGATTATACCACAATAATTCTGAAAAATCAGAAAAAAAAAAAAAAAAAAAAAATCACTGCAAAGCTTTTTTTTCCTATTACCTTTTCATTACAATATTAAAGTCCATTGTATAATGTTGATAGTCATCAAGTTCACTTGCATCAAGTGGAAGAGAAATTTTGAAAAGAATCACTTCTGTAGCCATCAGCAGTGATTTTACTTTAACTGAAGCATCTTTTTCCTTCATTGTACTCTGCATGAACTCCATCAGTGGATACAAGACATTCTAAAAAAAGAGAAAATAACAAATATTAAATCACCTTATAAACAAGTTTATTTCATGGAAAAGGCTTCTGAGATATTTTTCACTTTCTTTTGAAATTCTGAAAAAGTATTATTTCCTTTTTGCAATTAAGTAATTCACCGAGTCTGAAAGAAACCTCAACAGAATGCAGAAAGCACTGAACAGCCATTTCGTCCTATATTTGAGACTCATCAGCAGTGCTCATCCACTACTGAGAATTGAAACTCTGACAGTTAGGTTATCTTGCAAACATCATACCAACTGTTCCAACAGGATTCGGTGACAAAGAGGTAGCAAATCAGACTCAATATAGCGCCGCTCGCTCACATATTCTGTGGTGGAACTCAACTCGACGAATTACTTAATTATAATTATCAAATCCTCCTAATAATTTCTATCACTTGTATGTATATATATATATATATATATATATATATATATATATATATATGCCACATACAGTTGTATGTGTTTTGCTGGGAAATTTTTGCTATAATATATATACACACACACACAAAAGAAGTTAATGGTCAGAGTTGAATTAGACCATGATACAGTAGTATTAAAATGCATTGAGAAATCAACTGTGCAAAATTGGCTGATTTCCTAATTTTCTATCCTCTCTCTCTATATATATATATGAGGTAACAATATATATTTATATCTATGTCCAAGCTCAAATGTCAGCAGCAATACTTTATTCCTATATAACACAAGTACTATGAATATTTACATATATGGAAATCTAATAATGACTTCACAAAATATGCTGTCATTCTTGACAGTGTTGGTGCACAAAAAATAAAACTATAATAAAATAAACTGTACTGAAAACAAGAAAAATAACCTCTTCTCACCATTTTTCAAAATTCAATCTTTGTTACTAAAATTTATGCTTGTTTTCCTATTTGCAGTAATTTACTCATAATTCTTCAAATATATATATACAGAAGATAAAATTATGTTAAGAACATGTAAAAAAATATAAACTGCAACTGAATAATTTGACTCACAGGTACAAAGACTATTTATTCAAATTATAAAATCATTACTTAAAAAAAGAATATATTGGGAATATAAGATTAGGTAATGATCCATTTTGGAATTTTTTTTTTTTTTTAGATTGTTAGTTCACCCAATTCAAGGCCAAAGGGCCACTCAAGATAGAGGGATAATAAGCAAGATTGTTGTAAGGGAGGGGGAAGGAAGGATTAAAAAGAGTGCATTATGATGTAGGATAGATATCAGTTGACCCTGGCCTTGAACAGACCAAGATTGTAGCCGTCAAGGGAGTATCCTCTCAAGAGTTTGTTCCACAAAGTAACAGTTCTGGAGAAGAATATGTGTGAGTAGAACTTACTCCTTTTCAAAAGAAAATGAGGATCATTTAATCAGTCAGTGTAGTGCCATATGTGATATACGCTTGGTCAATCATGTTTCTTGATTCATGACTGACTAAACAGAAGATTTTCTCACAGTAGGTTGCCATTTCTTTTTGCTATAGACTGGTTGGCAAGGCTATATGATCCAGTCTGTCTTAGTGTATGAAATGTGAATACAAATATAATGTTCATTACTGGACAGAGGTAGAATTTTTTAATAAGGCAAGCAAAAATTTGTTGGAAAAGTTTGATACTGGGAAACAATTCTCAAAGATTCTGAAATAAAAGAAGGAATAGAATCTATAGTAATAAAAATCTTAAGAAATCCTGACAGAAGCAGAATAAAAGGAAGAGAAAATTCACTGAAGAAGTTCCAATGCATAATACATTTTGCACATCAACTATAAAATGTCATACATACCTTTTCAAACAGTGGCATTGAGAAAAGTGTCTTTGCAAAAGGATAAACAATGTCAACATCGATTTTTTTATTGAAGCTCTAAAAAACAAAAAAAAAAAACAAGAAGAATTTAAGAAAAAAGGAAATGAAGGCATTTAATGAAAGGACAAAAACACAGATGCTATTCTCTGATTATTCTTATATGTGCCATGTCAATTCAGGATATTGACAATCGTGGCTCTCTACAATTTCCTATCTCTCTGAGCTCTTTGCGATGCTTGTCTTTTTACTATCCCTCCCACTCTCTGTTCTATCACCCATTTAAACCCACCTATTATATAAGTTACTCAGTTTTTCTGTCCCTCTTGCTTTCAATAAGTTTTGCAAGTGTCAAATTTTCCAAGATTATTTTCTTCATGTTATCTGTCTGAGAAATTTCGATTTCTCCTGATATATCAAAATCAAACTAGTACAGAAGTTTAAATATCTGGGAAATTTATTTTTAAAAGATGGAAAATGCGACAATGAAATCTGAAGGTGTATAGGAATAGCAAAAGATGCCTTTCAGAAACTAAAAATATTTTTGGATTAGTGATTAGTAATTTATACAAGGAGGCATGGTGGAGTAATGGATAGTGGCTTGGATTGAAGAATCAGAGAGCCAAGTTCAAATTCCAGTTGAATCCATTACATTCACTTATATGCTAATAGACTTGGGAAAGGTATGAATCCTCTTCTTCTCCCTCCAGCTATGGGTAAACAGAAGGACAGAACAGGTTCTATAGCCTTGGATGGAAACTGGTTGACCATAGAAAGAAATGGCAACCTACTGTGGGGAAAAAGAATCTCCCTTGTCAGTTATATATCGAAAGATACATGATTGCCTAAGCGTGTATCACCCATGGCATATAACTGACTGACTGAATTTATACAAAGATTTACAATCAGAGGAATTTTGTATTCTGTAAAGTATTAAATAAACCATACATCTTTTTTATGTTATGTCTCCTCAGGACATGAGCAATCATGGCTCTCCACAGAATCTATTTCTTTATTATCTGTAAATTGCCATGTTTTCTTGGGTAATATAGTGGACTGGTATCCCGCCTTATCCACAGTTTTGAATTCAGAGTAGTTCTTCTCTGAGATTGCTTAACATCCAAAGCTAGAGTGACCAGTCTACCAAGCTATCTAACTCATAACTGAGAGGAGAAGAGGTGGATTTAAACCTTTCCCAAATCTATAAATCCATCTTCATACAGTTCTGGTATGATAGACAAGCCTGACAGTTTGACAGTTTCTTTTTTTTTTTTTTTTTTTTTTACTAGCAGTTTCTTTCCCTCTAGGCAATTTGTTATTTTTCCATGTTCTATCACATTGTGTCCATCTCCACCACAATGCTATCACAAGCAAAAGATGTATTGAAATATTGTCAAGGGTTTAATTCATTACTGTGAAGCCAAGTGGATCTGAAAATAGCCAGGTTCCTACTTCAGTCTCACATGCCAAAATCTTTGTTGGCTACAATGAGATTCCATCTAAAGATGAAACAGAATTTGTACAAAGTATGAAGAAAACAAATGATTGAGAATATTTGTAAAAATGTGAAAAGTACTCATTTCTAAGAATTTTTCTTTATAGCAATTGAGTTTTAAGACGATTTGCAGACTAATACAGACATAAATAAGTGAACCTTGCCTTAATTCAAATCACCAGGTGAACAGGCAAGTGTTATACCAAAATGCCAGTTTACTTCTGCCGAGATATTTGAGTAAAATTAGTTTTGGAAATCCTTGTTTGAAACTTTCTTAAATGCTTGTATTTCAATGAATCATTTATATTTCTTCTTTTCTTTTTTTTTTTTTTCAAATGGCACTGATTTTTAAACTCATTTAAAACAATAAAAATAAAATTTAACATTCTCTTTGAATTTTTTATTTTAGAAACTGTTGATCCAAAAGTTTATTAATGAAAATTTTTAAAGAATCAATTAGAGCACATTCAAATTTCAAAAAATAATCAAATTTAAATTGTTTTTTAAAAAAGTATAAATATTTTTCAAATTCTTACCAAATTAATAACTCTTGATAAGCTAGACATGCTAATTCTTTCATAGCATCCATAAATCAGAAGTGACACACAATTAAGAACAGCACACAGTGTGCTATCTGGTAAAATATTCTCAGATTTCAAGATGGCTGACAAAACCTGAAAACAAAAGAAAAAACAAAAAAAGAACTAGAGTAATTATATTGCATTTAGAATAACCAATATATGGCTAGTGTGATCAAAGGACATATTGTTCATATTTAATAGCATGATTAAAAAGATCAAATGACTTCACTTTTTTGTTACTTTTTAAAAAATTTATAGCAGCTAGATTTTACAGATTTCAAATTAAATGATGGGAATTTGGAAAAAAAAAAAAGAAAAAGATGTGTATATAATTCAATAACATGGCTTGGCCAAAAACAGTCACGGCTGTCATGAACAAAGGACACACTTTCATGCTGTCTAACATAACATGATTAACTCTATCAGACCTTAAGAGATCTGAATTGTTAAATCCCTGGAGTCTCAACTAAATTGTTGAAAAATCTGAATATGTGATGTTAGTGAAATTGATATGTCTCACAAATCATTGAAAATTAAGTTTTACAACTTGTTTATATGAAAGTAAATCTATTTCTCTTTCAAATGCTATGAAATTTAGCCTACTTGGTATCACTGGTTATGAAATATGGTTTTGGAAATCTATAACTTTTACAAAGTTGTAAAATTTCCAGCAACTCTAATTGATCATGTGACAAGCGTTAGTGTTGTGTATTAAAATACAGTGCTAGCTGATTGGAAGTGCATTCAGGTGTAAGCATGTGAAACTTGTAAGCACTTCTGGTCATAAAGAGTTAAAGGAAAATCTGTATGATAAACTAGATTACTATATACTATTTAACTAGACAGAATTCAGTCAGATTAAGCAAAACCAAGACGTCCTTCCCCACTTCCACTGATAAGAAAGAAACCATTAAGCTATCCACAAAGATGTCAGATAAAATAAAAACATATGTTAACATTAAAGAAACCAGGGTAGTCACAGAAATAAATAACATTCATGATTCCTCTGGACAAAGAAAAAAAATATAATCTGTTTTGAATCAGTCACCCAGAAGAAAAGTATGCCCACAGAGATAGAGACCAACTGGACATATTTGTCATTATAATTTTGGTGACATTCATATCCAAACATTAATTCAGCTTCCTTTGGATACAAATATTAAGGAAAAATTAATTACTATTTTGTTTTCACTGCATCATCGAGAAGGAAGAAGAGAGAGATTAGCACCATCTACATGGAGCTGTTGGATGGATGTTGGATTTAACGGCATGTCAACTCCTATTACATGGAGCTGTGGTGCAAGGTGAAGTGTAAAGAGAGTTGAAGGGGTGGCTTGATCTCTCTGATCACTCTCAAAAGGGGGCTGGACTACTCCAAATTTGGAAAACTACTCAAGTAAATGCATTTTTATATATGGAAATTTAGAAAAGGCTGATACTTAGGGTAGAAGACAATCAAACCCAGACCGCAGTCAACTCCACCCCTGCCAGAAGCAGGACTTCATACGAGCTAAGGAATTTGGAGAAGAGAAGTAGAGACACACAAAGAGTCTCCACACTACTTCTAGCAGAATCCACATCGTTCATGAAGACCTGCTGACCAAAGACCTTGTGCCAGACCTGCTGACCAAAACTTAGAAATTTAAGTTACTACGAACACAAGCTGCAGATTCCAAAGGGGATCCCAGTGTCATTTGATTATAACAACAAGTGGGAAGGGTTAAAACTGCTGTATACAACAAATCGTATATAAACCAAATCATTGTTACATTTTTAACCAGAGTTAATTCTTTATTGCAAAGGAGTCATTTTGGTGTAGCCCCAGCAGTCGAAACATCTTCACTTCAAGTTTACTTCATTAGCAATCTTCTCACCCCTGAGAACAAAGACACAATGTGGCAGAATAGTGAAAGATCATGAACAGACAAACACCAGTTGAGTGGAACCATACCACCATCACGATACCAGCAACAAAACAAGTCATGCACTAACAAGTGAAGAGTCAGCTAAATGGTAACTGAAGGAACTTGAGGAGCAAATCCGAGCTACATTATTGATTACCGCTGTTTAGGAATGAATCAGAGGTTACATTATTGGTTGCAGCTAACCAGTATCAACTGAGGGGTTACAAGGAAACCCTGTCCATTGGTCAACTTGTCTCTCCCTCTCTCTTTCTCCCACCCCCACCATTCTATGATTAAAGTAAATCATCTAACCCACAGACCAGAGCTCTCTTCTTCTATCACTACTAATACAATGAAACACTGGCCATTAATTATTTATATTACATGGTACATGGCCACCAAACATGTATATTACATAATTCACTTATTCCCTTTGTTATATAAATAAACTTACCAGAAGAAATTACAGCACCTTAAATAGTCTAAAGTAGGTCAATGAGATTAATGAAGCTGTTATTGATACTCACATTAGAAACTTTATCAGGTTCAGAGACTAAAGCTCCATGTTTGAATTTGAGCCAAACTGAAGTCACATTGAGTAGGCGCTGAAGGTTCTCAGGAGCAGAATTCTCTCCCTTGAGCCAGAATTGATGATGCTTTGTTATCTCCTCCTGTGGAAATAAATAAATAAATAAAATAAACATTCATAAATCAGGACTATAGCCTAGTGGATCAAAGCGTTGGTTCGTATATTTGTTGACCTAATAATTATGAGTTCAAACCCTGGGCCAGCAGTGTATGCTTGGATTTAATGGAAACAGGGTGAGTAATAACTGAGCCGTACTAAAAAAAAAATAAAAACTAGATGAGATATCCCCGGATATGGACAATGGAATGAAAACAATCTAACCTGTAGATTAAATAAAGGATCAGTTCAGAATTCCCTGTTGGGAGTAGTTCTTGTATGTTATTAATTATGGTAATTAAGTATGAGAAGAAGAGAGAAAACTTCTTTTTTTTCACAATTTCATGGTGATACAAAACTTAAAGTATGAAAAAGCAAAGAAATGTTAAAAATTACTTTTGCAAGTCAAAAATAAAAGTGTTATAAATTCTCTTAAGTGGCCAGATTTTCAATCTTCAGCAAAGAGGATCATTGATAAATATTTTTAAAAACTCAAAACAAAATTACTAATATAAATCTTGTAAAGCATTCTAAAAGCTATCATCTTTCATCTTATTAAAAAAAAACGCTACATGAATGAGAAAATCAGAAATAAGTGAAGGCAGAAAGTCATTTTTTTTTCTTAGAGAAGGCTATTTAAAAATAAAAAGAGTTTCAAAAATCTTTAAATGAGATAATCATGCTAATGTTTTATCAAATTCTCAAGTTTGAGATTTATTTCATGCTTAAAATACAAACGTTAATGAGATTTAGAAATTTCAGTTATTTTCCATAAATATGAGGAGAGGTAACATTAATCTAGAAATTGGTGATCACAGTTTCTTTGGTAGGGGTGGGGGCATTTTAGGCAAGATTACATGTGTAATTTTATTTTTGGTTTCAATAACATGGTAATGATTTATTTACGGTATGGAACATGTACATATACATACATTCAGTAGATTGTACTATAATAGTGATTTTTAAATAAATATCCTTGAATTTGAACTGTAATAAATATTATGCAAAACTCAATTGAGGCTTAATTCTGAGATTAATCCTTGTTATGCTTATGAGCTTCATGCTAATAATAATAATAAAAAAAACCTGTACTTTTAGAATGACATTTTTATTGGTAATTTCATTTTAGTATTTTATATTTATCAATGATCCTCTTTGATGAGGATTGACTGAAAAGCTAGTCACATTAAGAAGACTTACAATACTTCTTTTTTCATATTTTCGAGAGCAATATTGATAACCAGATAAAATATTTTAGTAAATCAACATTAATGTATTGCATGCAGAATCAGTTCTTTTTGTTTTTACAGTCATTAAAAATTTCACCTTATATAAAAAGGGATATCACAAAGCCTAGATCCCAAGACATGCCACATTTACATATTAACTATTCTAGAGATATCAGTTTTTAGGTTTATAAACTTGGAAAAAAAAAACCCAGCCTAATCTGATACCAAACAGTTTATACAGGATGTGGCAGAAATACTTCCCACGGTACAATAAGACATTAGTGGCAGTGGTATTGTAGCTGGGTAGGTAATGTTGGGTGTTGATATATTATTTTCCCCATTGTTATTATTTGTTAACTGTAATGGGGTTGATATTAATGATAGAAATTAAAATGCATAAACATAGATCAATAACAACAATAAAAACTTGAGACACATGTTGACATAAATAACAAGAATTTTTCTTTTCTTTTTGTGATGTGAATTACAGAATATTGGTATTGTATGTGTAAAAATGTCCTCAGTGTCTGTTTTGTTTAAAAGTCATTTCTCACTTGTTTTGGTTCTGAGAATTTTGTTTATGAGGATGGTGTTTGAAAATCATCTGTTTTCTATCTTCATGGAGCACTGGCTAGACATGTTTCTGTACTACTACTTGTCTACTGACTACTGCTACTACCCTAGTCTACACTACTCTATTCTACACTTGTGGTGGAAGGGTTTACAATGATGAGGGTAGGATGATGAAATATCATCATCATCATTCTGGACTATAACTGTCTTCATCTAGCTAATGTAGTACCATTATGTGGGAGGTATTTCTGCTGCACACTATATAAAAAGATACTTAAATTCTGTTTACCACCTTTTACAGGATCTAAAGTTTGACATCAACATCAAGAGGAGATCAAAAAAAAAGATATCCAGATATAGAAAAAGAGAAAAGAAAGAATTAGTTTTATACATTGTAAACACCTGACCATTGAAACGAAAGAAAAAAATTAATACACATAAGAGTGATGAGCAGTAAAGAAAATTGCTTTAAAATGACAAACAAAAAGACAAAGAAATTTATTTGCTGAAAATCCCTAAAAAAAAAAAAAAAAAAAAAATTAGTTGTTTCCCTGTAAGGAAACATTCAGCATTCATTAACTGAGCAGCCAATACTACTTTCAGTTGAAATTTGTAAAATCTTTCTCTGGAAACCATTTTTCAGGAAAATAGGTTTCTCAAGTTCACTGCTATTGCCCTTTCCAGTATTGACGGGAGTTTCGTTTCCTAACCTTTTGTTTGAAGTAGTGTAGAACATCAACATTTTGATTATGTCAATATTTTCTCTTTGAGTTACATCTGCTATCAATCTTAGTTGTTACTGCTGTTGAAAGTCTTCAAGTGATGTGGTTTCTGTTATTTGCTACAGTTCTTTGTGATTCTGTAGTACCAGTCCATGAGTTTCAAAGAAAGATGGTTCTCACTAAGTCATATATGCTTCACTGGAAAAATTATTATACACATACTAGCACTATTCTGTCACTAAAATTTACCTTTTTTTCCTGACCACTCAGTGTTGTTTTTTTCTCAGTTGTATTGTATTTTTATAGCAAAATAATTTGTACTACTTTTCTATAGTAAAATATATAACAACACATTTACATTATATATGTAATAGCTTTATTCGGCTAGTTAGGACTATATTAATTCCTGACCACTGACAATGATTTTCTTCTTGATTTTCAATGTAAATAGTAAAGTTATTGGCAATATATTTACATCATACATGATAGCCCAATAAACTATAAAATTTGCATTCTTTCTTATTACTGACCATAGATAATCACTTTCTTTCTTGAAATTTGCAAAATGTGGGAAGTAATTTTTTTCTACTGCTGAAAATATTTTCTTTGCTAATACAGAAAATGACTAAAGCTGAGCAGGAATATAATGGCGTATGGGTAATGTCAGCAGACAGAAAGGGCTGGGAGGGTCCATCCACCATTTGTTGTGTTAATAGATATATAAGAACGAGTAAATGCTTTGAGATATTTTTTTCAAGAAGTCATCTCTCTGATATCATAGGTTACATAAACACTTACCAGTAATATCGGCCACAAGTGAGAAATGTGGTCTGTGCCATCTACATGAGCAGCCAATGCTTCCATCATTTGAGTGACACAAACCTCAATCTGATTCAAAATAAACTGGTTTGGAATATTGTCACTCTTGGGGTCAGGCCCCAACTTGGACAGAATAACAGGAAACACCTGCAAGTAAAAAAAAACAAAAAAAAAACACTTAAAATGGTTAAATAATTTAAGGAAACTTTAGCTAAACACTAACACTTTCCAGATAATGACAATTGGTATTTATGATTACATATGATGATGGACTCATTTGTCAATTTCAACTTATAAGGATTCAACCTCATTCAGTTTTTACGTTTGCGTCATATATGACTGTTGATTTCGATCTATAACTTGAACACTTGCCCATCTTCTTTTATAGGAAGAAGTCCACAAATGCATGCTGGGATTTTTTCTTAGTCAATAAAATGGGTCGGTTTGCAGTTTGACATGACTTAGTCTAGAGCTGCCTTGTCTAGAAGACAGAACGCTACATTTGTTTGTCGAAACTTACTTTTGTCTGCCGATGCCATTTCTTAGTTTGTAAACTTTTTGCCTTTTTATTATTAATTTGCCTTGTATATATTGTTTCCTTGATATTTCATTTTTTGACCTGTTCCTTTTTCTTTTTTTTGCAAACTTTGTTAATTATGTTTGTTGGACAATTCTGTTCTTTATTTTGCATTTGACCATGGCTATATATATTTTGCATTTGACCATGGCTATATTTTGCATTTGACCATGGCTATTCATTTCACAGTAACACTTCAGCCTCACTAGTGACTTGCATACAAGTCCACATATTGTGCAATAGCAAGAATCTTGAAACATAGCAACAGGAACATTTGCTGATGCTTTTCACAGTTTTTTTTTCATCTCTGAGCCTGCCAATAAAACAGAGTTCAAAATTTCTGATATGACTCTGGCACAAATATCTCCAGGACAACTAACTCAAAGTTAGTATGAGGCACATTGACAGCTTCTCTTTATACCTGAGCCACAGCTGTCCAAAATTCCTTTGTCCACTGTCAAGTTAGCTATACATGAGGACCTTAGATATTCTGTCATAACTGATCCTTGCAACAAGACCAACCCAGTGAAGTCATGACTGCATCAGGAAGTTGCAATGTTGCAGTTTGCAAGATCAGCTTTGGACACACTATTGTCAAAAGTATAACCACAAAGAATGGAAACAACTTTTATAAATGATATATATATATATATATATATATATATATATATATATATACACACACAAAAATGGATGGCAAAAATATTCTTTGTATATTTTTTGTTTTTTTAGTTGACATACAAAATAAAAATTTTGGAAATCAAAGTTTTCGGTTGTTCCTGCAACCTTTAGCAGTGCTTGATTTTTGATGAATTTTAAAAGAATGAAGTGTAAGTTGAGAATATCAATATTCATCAAATGTTCAAAATCCCTGAAAAGCTATTTGTGCTCTCAACTAAAAACTACTCTTACAAATATATCTACTTTAACCAAGCTTTGAAAATTAGTGGCAGAAAAAAAAAAAACATGTCTGAAACAGACAAAAACTGATGCATTTTTCTCATAAAATATTAACTTGGCAAAACCTCAAAGTGTTTCAAAGAACAAATGTGATTTCAGGATATTAAATTTCCTTGAGAAAATAACTTTTTTCCTTCTTTTTCAATAAGTATTAAATTATCTGGAATATTGAATTATCCAAACATATTTTTTTTGCCCCTTTAACAAAATGTCTGAATAACCAAGGAAGTACTGTAGATAATTTTTAAACAATGGATATTTTAATCTGATATTATTTCATAGATTTAGTATACCTACTAAATATAATATTTACAGTAGTTACCTCCAAAGAAAAGCGATACCTAAGGTTTAAAATGCATTTTTAAAAATGAAAAATCTTTATTGAAGCTTTTATTTTAGTTTTAATTTCAAGCTCATAGATTAAATTGAATATTTCCAAAGAGGATATATTACTATAGATCAGGCTTTTAATTTGGAACTTGTGCATGTACTAATCTCTATATGTGACCAAAATGAATATCCACTATAATAACTTTTGAAGTAATGACAATATTGGATTAAAAAATAAATCCATTAATTCTTTAGAAATTTATTTGTTTATGTTTCCAATACGAAACTGAGCAAATATGGGATTTGAGGAAAATATCTGAATGAGGAAGTGTACTTTTCTTAAAAGAGAAACTAAAACCATGATGAATTTTGATTTTTGTAGCTGAGAAGTAAAGCACGATGGATATAATGGTGGTTTCCCCTACAAAAGGGGACACAGGTTCAATTCCTAGTGGAAAGCACATCTTCTTTATTAAGATTTTTCAAATATGCAAGCCAATAGATGTAATAGACACGGTTTAAAATAAGCAATATATTTCAAATATCAGTATACACTCTAATAACATTTAGTGTATATATATATATATATATATATATATATATATATATAAATAAATTAACTGATTTAAAATAGGTTCCATTGCTACACAAAATTACCATGTTTCAAAAAAACAGTTTCTGTTTTGAAACATGGTAATTCCTGTGTAGCAATGGAACCCTATTTTAAATCAGTTAATTTATAATATTTATGCTCTGTAAATTTGCATTGAGCACTGTTTTGTAAAAATAAAAATATTAATAAGAACACCGGATTATATATCTTACTGTTCTTTTTTTTTATTATTATTATATATATATATATATATATATATATATGCACAGAATACATAAAGGTGTGACAAAAAAGCAAATATTCACGTTTATATCAGAAACAACTAAATAAAAGTAAATGCAACTAAATTAAAAAAACTTTATATTTTTATTTCTTAATTGCTTTCTATTTTAGCTGAGTATTTTCTAGTCTTTAGCCAAAGTGGCCCAAACCAAAGCAAGCAAGAAAAACAAGGTTTACCTTCACTGCACAGGAGTGGACATGGTTCTGGACACTCTTCAAGACTTCAAAGAGTAAACGACTAATGCCAGCAGTATGCTAGAAAGAGAGAAAATGTAATGAAAAACATTGTATAGTTAATAAAAAATCTAATGAGGTCTGTTTGAAAGATAAATAATACAGAAACATATGAAATTGTGTAGATAGTTGTAAAAGGGTCTTTTTTTTTTTTAATAAGAAACTTATTTGATACAAAAAAGGATATATAATTTATAACAAAAAGAACTATAAGCCTTTTGATAATTTGTATCAAATCTAGCAAATTCTTTGGCCAAACAACTTATAGATATCAACAAATTTGGCAGATAATGATGTCTTCACTTACCTGTGAATGTTTGTTTAAGCTTCCAAAAACAAAATCAAGTAGTTCACTTTGATCTTTCACCTTTTGTAAAAAGAATACAAAAAATATTACAATTTATATCTTTTAAATTGTACAATAAAATCAAATTCAGTAATATCAAAATGCTAATTATTTCATAGCAAATTGATTGTTACAAAAAAAAGTATTTAAACAGAATTGATTTCTGTTAGAAAAATCATTGATGCTTGCAGAATTGTTCTGCATTAGAAACAAAAATGTCTTTTAGGTCATTCCAAAGCTATAACTCTCCATCGCAATGTTAACAAAGATTTTTTTATTTGATGTCGTCTAAAAACAAAGCAATTGAGTACCAAAGACACAGACCAAAATTTAAACTGTTTTCACAGGAAATGCTTAAAAAAAAAAAAAAAAAAAAATTGCAGTAAAATAGAAAAAGTTCCAATAAAGAGAAATAGCAATAATAATAATAATAATATACCCCAATGCTACACAAGGCATGGCTTTCATAATTTCTGACCTTGATTGGCGGTGTTCACATGTTCATGTTTCACCTTCGTGAATTAAGATGGGCAATACAAGAAATGTACCATTCAGCACCACAGATTTGGTTGACAGTTGACTGACTGCAAACATTTAGGCATGTCCTTTAGGGATCTCATGCAAGGTGCATCTCTGTCCATGAGCAAGAGTAGTCGAAAGAGTACATCATGGTCAGGTGTTGAGAAGAGTGTTGGTTTTTTTTTTTTAGCTTGAAGGATGATGCAATCAAGGCAGCTTGCAAATACTCTCAATCAGAGATTGTCCGAGTGAAATAGGTTACCTGATCTGAAGGTATTCCTTACTGGGCTCCACCTGCAAGGTTAGGTGCTGCTTTTATTAAAGTCTATCACCATATCATGCATATTTGGCTGCAATGTATACACACATCAGACTAGGTGTCATTATGCCTATATGACTGGGTTTAGTATAATTGTACACAATTGTTTCTATAAAAATGATAAAAATAAGACGAAGAAAAAGTTTAGTTAAGAATAAATAATTATGACAACACACCATAAACTTGGATTTATGAAATCTTGTTCTTTTGAATCTGGACTCATTACTTCAAAGTTGGACCACAAACCAAATGTCAGATCTCAAAGCCAAACACATTTACTTCAATCTTAAAACCACATCTCAAGACCTTAATTACCCAAATAGTAAAAGAAATTGTATGTAAAAGGTTTTGTGCAGGTTGACAAAACACTAACAATCAACACCAAGTCACCAAATAACCAACCATAAGAACATGCACAAGCAAGCACTCAAATGTAGTGGTTTATATGTACACTTGGGATCCCCCATGACTGGTTAGATAAAAAATTGCTAATTTCTATATAAATGAGCTAGAGACATGGCTCCAGTTTCTTATTTTTGGCAGAGAATACACACGATCCAATGGAATTTCATTTAACAAGGAATATGCCTATTTTTATTGCTACAGAAATTTATTTACTCTTATAAAAGGAGAAAATAAACTTCAGTCAATATATAAAATTTTAACAAAAAATATCTCGGTATTTTCTGAACTATTAATAATAATATATACAGTACACTGGAACATTTTATGCAAGTCATATTTTTTTCAAATATTTTAACTCTTTTTGAATTTAATTTAGCCAAAGATTTGCCAACACTGACAAAAGCAACCATGTCCAATAAAACATGTTTCAGCATTAAAGTTAACAAAATAGCAGACTTTTTGGTGATAATGCATCATTGTCACCTTTCCAATTTTTATGCAACATTAAGGAATTTTTAGCAATGATGACAAGACAAAAAATGCTTAAATGTTTCTTGATCCTTAAACAAAATTAAATACTGATAGCTTCTTTATAAGATTGATTGACATATATTACATTAATTTAGTGGATACTCGTGTTTAGATTGTCGTCCCAGTTTTTTTAAACAGTTTAATCTATGGCAATGTTAGCAAAGATATCTGTTGTGTAAAATTCTCAAAGGTACAGTGTAGCCAAGGAAAGATAACTCCACTGACGAGTGTAGAAACCTTCCCACTTATATACAGTCTAATTTACACATCACCACATCTCGCAGACCCTTAGAGGCTTTATACCCTTGGTAGATCTGCTACTTCTATGAACCACTCCAGAAATGTACCACTTGTCTTATGATGATTGTTTAGATTTCTCTTTATGGGGGAATCTCAGTCTCATTAGATTTTCTTCATTTAACCTTCCTCATTATCACTAGATACACTCATTCTCTCACGCCCTTCACCTTCAAAATCTTGGTGATACTCCTGATCCCTCTCTTCTCCACCAAGCTCTTCCTCCATTTCAATATCTACCGGCTCTCTTTGCAATCTAAACTGGTCTTCATTAGCTAACATGTCCTGTTCATTTTTTGTTAATATCGCTATTAAATCCTTTTTGCACTACAAATTGTGTTTTCTCAGGGTTCAAATTCTTATTTCTTTTGTACCATACATCCTCATTTGTTGAGAAGGACATGGTTATTGGGGCTCTTATTTGCCTTCTCGTCAATGCGAAGGGGCTTTTTGTTCTGCATGCTTGTGGGATGGTCCTGTAATTTAAAAGCAATCTTTGTAGATAAATTTCTAGGCTGCAATTCCCTGGGATGCTTTCAATCCAACTTCTATCATCTGGACCATCCTCTCTGCAATTCCATTTGACTGAGGATGGCATGAGAGTGTTTTGTATGGCCTACATTCAATTCATGTTAACTATGTACACAAGCTTTCTTCAACAAACTCTGGTGCATTATCCAACACCAATGTCTTAGGTACTCCATTCCTCGAAAATACTACTCTTAACACCTGTTTTACAGTACTTGCTTTTCTGTCTGAAACTCTAACCACTTCAGACCAACCTAATTATAAGTCTACTAGTATGAGGAATAGGCCTACATTTTTAATGTATGGATCCATGTATACTCTTATCCATGACTCCTCCTCTTTTGGCCATGAATGAATCTTAGTTTGCCTAAAGCTCTTTATCTTTGTACACTTAGGGCATCTTCTAACATAATCCTTCACATCTCACATATATCCTGGCCACCAGGCTTGTAATTTCAACCTCAGTTGTGTGTTCAATACACCACCATGTATGTTGTCATGTACTTAAATCATTAAGAAAAGATGTTATTAAAATAACATCTTTTCTTAATGATTTCAGTGGTACAATAAGATCTCCACTGCATATGACTCCTCTTTCAATTGTTAATCTGTGCCTTGCTTCCTTAAAAGGCCTTTCCACCATTGAGCAATTTCTCCTTATATTATTCCGTATTCTATTTAGTACTCTTTTTAATACAGGATCCTGCTCGGTTTCAAACTAGAGCCATTTGAAGGATAACACATCTGTCTCTATCCAATGCAAAATTCTGTCCTCACAACTGTCTTTTGTTTCAACATTCTGAGTATTAAAATTTAATCTTGACAATGCATCTACATGTGGAAAGGCATTTCCTTTACTATACATAATGTTGGGTTGAAAATGAACTCTAAGAGCTTGTGGTCCAACTTTAGTAGAAATTTCTTACCCAATAACAAATTGCTCACCACTTTTAGTACGCCAGAAAATTACCAGCAATTCTTTTTCAATGTTAGAATAATTTGTCTCCACTGCTGTCAACTTTCTGGACAAATACATAATAGGATGTCCCTCTTGTGATAATATCGCTGCTATGACATGTTCGCTGGTATCAGTAGTTAATGGGAGTTATTTTTTTTAGGTCAAATACCTTAACTATGGGCTTGTTTCTAAGTGCTTACTTTAGCTTTTTGAAGGCCACCTCCTGTCTTTCAGTCCACTGAAATTCATTATTCTTCTTTCTCAAGTTTGCAAAAGGTTCAATCATGTATAGCTATAATGAGGTATTTATTTATTATAAAAGTTAATCAAATCAAAGAAATAATTCTAACTCTTTCTTATTTTTTGTTTTACTTATTTCTGCTATTTTACTAATAAGTCTGTCATCTGGTGAGATCCCATCTTTAGATATTTGATACCCAAAGTATGAAATTTTCTCACAATTTACACTTATATTGATTGTCATGTTTGTATTAGTCAATCTGCTCAGTATGAGTGCCAATATGTCATCCTGATAGAATAATGTTTTTTTTTTTTTACTCCTTCCAAAACTTTCTCTTTTGAAATATGTGGCTGGATGTCTTTAATTCCAAATGGCAGATAAGTCCACCTTAGAAAACATATAGAAGTGTTTAACATGGTGACTTCTTGAAAATAGTGATCAATTTTAATCTGATTATACACAAATTCCAGATCAATCTTGGTAAAAAGTTTCATATGAGCAAACTCATGACAAGCCGTTTCAATATTTGGCAATGGGAAGGCATCCAAACATATCTGTTGATTTACATCAACTTTGTAGTCACCACAAATTCTTAAATCTCCATTTGTCTTGCATATGACCACAATTGGAGAAAACCAATGGCCAACTCCCTGGCTGACCTTCTCTAATATTCCTTGTTTAATCATTTTATTAAGTTTCACCATAACCATGGGCAAAAGGTGAACTGGAACTTAATAAGACTGAAAATATACCCGTTGGCTATTCTCTTTTAGCTGAACACTCGCCTCATGATCCTTTAAAAGTCTAATTGCAGGTTCTTCTAATTTTAAGCAATTAATTAACTTTGAGGTGTCTATTCTTAATACGCCAACCCCCAGAAGACCTTGATTGTTTATGCACTCCACAAATACAAATGGTATTACCTCAACGCGACTCTTCTATCCCGAACATCCCCTCAAAGCATCCAAGTGTTTTAATAACTGACCCATCAAATTGTTTCAATTGCAGATTGGTCCGCCTTAATTTCAGTCTTCCCATTTTCTACCCAAAATTCTTAGGTATAAATGTTACATCACTACACATATCCACTTGCATTAGTACAGTTATTCCATTTATATTTACCCTTTCTTTACTCTTATCTCACACTTTTACTTCATAAATTTCAGTTTCTCACCGAAGGCTGTATCTTCGCTACTTCTACTGGGTTTTTTTAAATTTGCATACTGACTGGAAATGTTTTTTCATCTTGCACTTAAAATATCAAAAAGCTAGGCATTTATACTTGTTCATCTCATGTTCTTTGTTGCTAAAATGACATTTACATAAACTCTACATAGTACTGTATTTCTCCATGTTAGACTTAAAGGTATTAAATCTCTGAATTAACCCTAGCTGCTGTAAAAATTCAAAACTCATTTCAGTATTTATGTTGAAGCTGTTCCAAAATTTTGTGCTTACTCGAAACGCCATACAGTTCTTCAATTAGTTTTAACTGTATTAATTCCTCTTCTATAGACATCGGTCTTGTACCCAACTTTTCGAATTCCCAGTACCTTGATGCTTCTTTTAGCCTGTGAATGTACTGTCTAATGTTTTCATCCAGGTTTTGCCTGATTTCAAGAAACTTTGTCATTACAGCTATGACCAGTATCTTTTTTGGATGTACATTTGCTTGTACAATGTTGGCAAATTCTTCAAATGTCAAGTCTTTGAGCATCTTCAGATAGACCATTACAGAGATCTTTTTTACAGCCTCACAACCTGCTGATGCTAGAAATAAATCTGTTACTTTATTTACTCTTCCTCTGTGATCGCTGTCACTCAACTTCATGACTCTCGTCAATGCCACAAAACATCTCATCTAAGTCTCCACAATGTCAGGATTCTCTAATGTGGTTAGATATCCTATCATCAATGCCATGTTGCTGTGTTGTGTAAAGTTCTCACAAATACGCAGTGTATTCAAGGAAAGATAAGTCCACCTTACGAGTGTAGAAACCTTTCCACTTATATACAGTCTAATTTGCATATTATCACAATATCTTTATTTGATGTGGTCTAAAAACAACAGTTGAGTACCAAAGTAACAGACCAAAGTTTAAACTGCTTTCACAGGATATGCTTTATAAAAAAAAAAAAGGTTGTGATAAAATAGCAAAAATTCCAATTAAAACTGTGGCCTGTGTATTCAAGAGTTTTAATAAATAAAATATGCCTTCTGGTAGAGTTCAAACCTTATTTTAAAGTAATAAGAAATAATGCTGGATTGTAAATATATAAAATCCATTAACTCCTTGGAAATTACTTGGTTTACATTTTGGATGCGAAAATATATGTGTACCCAGATAAATATTCAAATTTGTTAATTATATTGCAATAAATAGAAAATTAAAATTTACTTTTCGTATAAGAAATCCAAAACTTTCAGCTGCAAATTCTCTAATGTAAGGTTTATTCTGTGTGCTGAGCAGTGGCAAAAAGTACCTACAATAAATAAAATAAAATTAAAGTAATACGATTCAACAAAAAAAAAAAAAAAATTGCAAGAGAGGAATAGTTTTTAAGATTTTGAAAATCATTTTTTAAACCGACACATATTTTTAAATAAACAAGAAGTAATTTAAAATTATAAATAATGATTCTTGTTATGATTAAAGTTTATCAGAAGGAAACTATTTTTGATGCAACACACTGATGTACTTTTATTATGTCAGGTTATGCTACATAGTACCATGTAACCCAATAGTATCTGCTGCATGGTCAGATCATCAGCAAGTAAACCAGTTCCCCCACCAGGCTTTTCTGGTGAGGAGAGTGGCTAAATTCCAAGCAGGATTAAAAAAAAAACAAAGGGCAGATAAACCTTCCTGTAGAGTCAATAGCTCTCTAGTACAATGAGAGGTAAACTTGGCTTCATAGCTATGAATGCAACCAGTGTGGTGATTACAGAGCATCCCTGGGTGAAGGTCTTCCAAGATAGAAACCAATGTTTAGGGTAAAGGGTTTCTCTTTGATAGAATCAACAACCACATGTCCATGATCAAGTTGGAGGACCTGGAAAGGAATGGGCCCCACCAGGTTTACTTGCCCAAGACAAACTTAGCATGAATAACTCTCTGACACCTACATGAGTTGGTCAGGTGTTCAGATGCACAGTAACCTGGTAATGACTAATGTTTGATGTACTTTGAAATAGTGTGTGCAATATTTATAATGAGACATTTTATCTGTTACTTTAAACTTTGTGAAATATTTGAGAAAAACACAAGTAAAAAGAAACAATTATAAAGTAAATCTATAAAATATATTTCAAGAAAGAGCGAATGCTGAAAATGTAACAGTTATTAGCACAGAAAGTAAATTCGGCATGCCGAGTTCTATTCCTGCTTGACTGTTTCTTTCATTTTGTGCTTATGCTATAGGTAAAAGGCATGAATCCCTCTTCCTATGGGTTAAATAGCAGGGTGGACTGGGCTCTTCTTGCCTTGAGGTGACAACCAGTCTAGGAGAAGAAAACCTAAATTCAAAACCAGCCTGAAGAAGGATGAGCTTCTATATTGTACTGCCTTTATGACCGGAATCGGTATAGTACTTGTGACAAGATTATACAAGAGAGTACTGAAAAACTTCTCAGCCACATCAAAAAGCTTTTCAAAAAATTCTTGATGTCTGGTTATATTTTGGGAAGTGAAGATGATAACATTCAACACCTCATCAGATGAGATGCCAAAGAAAACATAGTAAAACTCATTTACTAACAACATATAAGTAATGCAAAAAAAAAATCTCAATTACTGCAATAATATATCCAAATGGCTAAGTTTTTAACTAATTTATCCAAAAGAATTTAATTACCTACAACTTGCAGGAAAAAGGTGATATTTTGATTTTACCTGATGACATTCTTGATATCTTTGATCATGTAGCGCCAGAGGAATTTTATCAGGTAAGAAAGGCAGGTGAAAACCAACTCAAGGAGTTGGATATCTTGTGAATTGGCTTTCAATAAAGCTACTAAAATCTTGAATACATCAGGAAAATGTTTGTAGAAGTCATGCTGAAGATCCTTGGCAAGTTGAACCACTAAGCTAAAAAAAGAAAGAAAATAATTGTCTATATAAATATACAATACTTACAATGAAAATTTATAAGTAAAATTGATGACATGTTTAAGAATAAAAGCAAGAGAAATAGATGACAGTATAAAAACAATTAACATGCAATAACAAGGGTAGGATTTATTTAATAAATCTGTCAAAACTTTTATTCGCATAACAGCAAATACTAAAAGCATATATAAAAATTCATTAAAATATTTTATAATAAAATGCATTGTAAGTTATTTACCAGTCATTTATATAACTTGTTTTATCCCTGATAGAATTTATTAAACAAATGCATCAACATTTTCATTCACTCTGATATAGTGACATAGCAATTTGCTAAAAGAATACATATAGAAATAAAGCAAATAAAAAAATCTTCCATTATACATTTATCATACAGATATCTAGCATTAAAAATCCATAAGGCTGTATTGTACTTCTTGTCTTGAAGATCAGATACAAAGGAAAGATGATCAGTATAGTTTCTGAATGATGAAGAAATCTTTTCAAAAGATTTCACTTGAGAAGTTAAAAAAAAAAAAACAAAACAAATGAAATGAAAATTTTATTAAGGCTTTTAAAAGTATATATAAATATATACAAAAATATATAAAGCAAAATGGGTGTAAAGAGCAAGGGATAAGCAAAAAAAATAAAAGATTACTTCTCATAAAGTGGTGGATCAAAAAATAAAAAAACAAAAAAGAGCTAACTAGTTATCATTCCTCACTCTTCAAACTCAATTGAGGACAAAAAATAAAAAAAGGGAGAGAAAAAATTTCTTACAAGAGAATCAATAGAAATAGTAATTTTTTCCCCTTCACTTTTTTAGTCATTGTGCATGTATTTTTTTTTTATCCTTGATTGGTTCTGAAGAGCAAGGAGCAATAACTTTACAGCGAGTAAGATTTTTGTTTATCCTTGCTCTTCCTCTCCCTTTGTTTTATATATTTTTGTATATATTTATATATACTTTTAAAATGTCTGTTTTTAAAACCCTAATATAATTTTGTGCTTCACCCCACAGATTATTTGAAATTAAAATTATTCCTCTTCAACAGATATAATAATATACTTACTCAAGTAAAGCATCATGTGCCATACTATTTGGTACAGACAAGTGTTTTAATAAGGAAGCCACAATTTTATCCTGGGAAAAAAAAAACAACAAATAATCAAATGCAAAATATTTTATATGCACATATATTTTAATCCAAAAAATTACAAAATTCAACTAAATTTTTTAATACTCAGTGTTTGTAAAGCAAGCCATTTATCCACATAAAATCTGATATTGTATATAAGATTATTATACAAATCAATGTTTTCACAATAAAATTGGTATTTACCAACTGATATTGAGAAAATTCTCAAGATATATTTACATTAAATATTAATGTAAGTTTCTATTGGACATAAAATGAGGAATTGGTTTCGGCCGTTGCATGCTCCAGCCTTCTTCAGATAGTTGGAATGTTGAACTGAACCCTTTATTTCGCTCACTGGGGTAGACTGTTCTAGTTCCACATGCCAAGACACACGGTACAATGGATAAAGGCATTAGTTAGATCCAGTGACAAGACACAAAGAGTGTGAATTCAATACCTCAAGAAATTTCAGAGGGGAATTAACAGGAGATAACTGATAACTGACAACCATTAAACATGGTATGTGGAACTAGAACAGTCTACCCCAGTGAGCAAAATAAAGGGTTCAGTTCAACATTCCAACTACCTGAAGAAGGCTGGAGCATACAACAGTCAAAACGTTGTAATAAATATGGTGACAAAGATGAGGACAATAATCTGAATAATGTAAATAATGTAAACAGATATAATACAATTTAAATAGTTTAATGTCTTTGCCTTTATTATTACATGTCAAGATATGGGATTATGGCTTGTAAATTAATTAAATTACATAAAATTTCACCCATCCATCAACCCATCTAGTTTATGTCAACATTTTTGATCAGCTTCTACTCACAAGAAATAAAAATTATTATTATGTAATAATTGTGTTATAACAATCAAAATAAACTAAAGTGTTATTCATGAGGTCATGAACAAAAGTCTGAGACTTGCATATTTCAAGATGTGAATTTGCAAATAAAAATAGACTCACCGAATGATGAACCAACTGGACAAAAGTTTTCACCTGATCTGATATTTCTGTCTTGAAATTGTCTGCATAAGGGAGGAAAAAAAAGACAGAAATCACAATGAATTCCTGTATCGTAAAAGAAACTTATTATCAACCAACAGATAAATATTTGTAGCCAACTAGAAAATCAACTGATTATGGTTAATTATAGGAGATAAGAGATTTCGGTATCAACTTCCTGGACAGATATGGTAATTATAGGAGAGTGGTTTACCCAAATATTCCATCACAATCTCTTTTTCTCCGTTAATGCTGGTAATATTTTGTAAAGCTATCAGACACTGAGACAGAAAGCAGGGAGAAATAGATTCATGCTTTTGCTAAGAGCATTACAAGTGTGGGGATGGACGCCATTAAAGATTTGTCCTAACACTTGTTTAAGGAGATTAAATTATATATATGGTTATTATATGGTATACACTTCAATTTGCATATTCATACTATTTATTGTGTTTTAGGTTTAAATATATAACAAGATGTCACTATGGGACACAGTGCAATAATCCGGTTAGTGTTTTTTTAAACAATTTTGTAATAGATGACATTCATGCATTGAGCAGATTCCACATCCTAGTGTTATTAAATATTAGTGACTGCATTTCAAATGTGATCAGACTTCACTGGAAACAGCACTGAGTCCCGGCTACTCTCAGTCATCCATTAACAAATGGTGACTGCAATTTTTAGAAGATTGCTGCATAATCATTTTGGACCTTAGGACAATTACAGTGGGGGGGGGGGGATATGTAAAGAATATCAGTGCAGTGACCTTTTTGTTTTTTCACACCTTTTCAGAAAGAAGTCAGAGTCAATTGCTCCTTTGAAATTTTGAACTTGTGTAAGTACTTTTTCCACCCAACTGTTGCACAGAATGAAACATAGGTTCATCACTTTGACCAAGGGAATACTTTATTTCCAAGTTCACACTATTTACTTCAGCAGTCAAAAAGTGTATCAATCCCGAGTGTTGTGATAAAAAGCAACAATGAGACTGAAAATATAGTCAGAAAATAATGAAATAATAATAATGAAAGTGTTTTATCAAGAAATTTAGTTACTGTTACACAAGCATTCAAGGGAGATAATTTTATTGGTAAATAATCAACCAATTGCTTACGGCCAAATCAAGTTAATCCCCAAAAGTTAAGCGGCAATAAATTGTCAGTAACCAATTAAGAACATAGTAAGCGATTTTAGTCTTTGTGCCAGACTAAGCAAAGGTTTGTAAATATCAAAATCATTATTAAACAAAGAGTGTTCATTCAAATTATTAATGTGAAGAAAGAAAGCATTTACTTACTGAAATCATTTGTAAGATTAAGTGAACACCACTTAAACAAGGCTGCTCCAAAATAAGTTTCTGTAACCTACAAAAAAAATATCAATTAAATAATAAATAAACAAGGCAATACAATTTACATGATACAATCCAAGCCATGACTTTGATGAAAACAAAGAAAATAAAATGAATAAAACAAATATATATTTCAAATATAAAATTAGAATTCCAATTCTATCACAATATTTAATGATTCAAAGATATATGTATAATATATTAAATAATCCTGTACTTGCAAAAGAGAAATTTCTTCTTAGAAAAAACTTATCTTTGAATTTAAAATACTCATTGGCAGCAGATTCAACTGTTCAGAAAAATATGCTAAAAATAGAGTAAGCTAATAACCAAGCCAAATTCTGAACACTGATAAATAAAGAAGGAAATTTAATTGCTTTCTCTCCAACTGCCCCAAGGCATGAACTTCATTGTACCAATCCATGTGCACAGCATAAAAAAAATTTAATAAAGAAATTCAACAGTGAAAACTGTAGAATGGCTTACCTCTTGGAACAAAATGCACTTGTACGTATCTTGCATACAACATACATAAAAGAAAACATAGCTGATCCAAAAGCTACAATTTAAGAATAACTTGATCTCATAGATCAGAGATTTTGTGAGATAAATTTGAGGCTTATGCCTCAGCCACTCGATAAAATGCGAATGAGCAAAAAAAACATGGGAAGGGCAGCTGAGGCCAATGAGTCACGTTATCGTGCTTTATGTGTGGAGTTTCACAATAGTCTCACCAATTATGATTGAAAAAAGAAAAGGTACCACTGGTACTCCAAACACCCATAGCTTTTTGCTACAGAAACTTTTGTAATGTTGTCCAGGGTGGTTATTGAAATAATAACCCGAGCGGCAACTTACAAAGTATAAGGGTTTATTTTAAACAAGAACAATACAAGTAGATATTTTCAGGTTCAGCTGAAGGTTAGAAAGCAAAACCTCTGGGACCAACACAATAGGCGATTATATTACTACTGGAACAGTCCATTTAAGAGAGATGTATCAGTTCTTTGTATACTGAGGGTTATCAGTTCATTTCCTACAACAAAAAATTATCAGCCTACATTTTCTTTTACATTGATACAATAATGACAAAATAATGTAGCCAAGTTTTCCAAAGGGTAAACAAGTAATTCAAAACAACTTTCTCTTTTGTTTATAACCCTGTATAATGTAATCCCAGTAAGAAGAGCATTTTCTGTTGTTACAGTAACTCATAGACTTGTTGCTCATTTACTTAGATTAATAAATGGATTACATTAAACAAGAAGTTGTAACTTACCAGTGTGGAATTACAAAGTAGAGTTCAAATTCTCGCTTGATCTGTTGCATTCCCTTTCACACTAATGCCCTTGACAAAAGCATGAATCCATCTCTTTTTCTCCCTGTAGCTATAGGTTAACTATCACTTTAGACTAGGCTCTCTAGCCCTCAGTGACAACCAGTCGAAGACAAGGAAAATTCTGAATACTAAACCTTGGCTGAAGGCAATAAGAAATCACTCCACTATATTTCTCAAGAACATATGGCAATTCACAGATAACAAAGAAAAGTAATCTGTGGAAATTCATGACCACCTACATAAATGTCCAAAAAACCAATAAATATACAAACTTGGTTCTTGAGAATTTCACTAAAAAGAATCAAGGAATTAAATGCCTAGAGTAAGAGCTGATAAAGAGGCAACTTTTTTGGATAGTCCAACATAGACTACAGTTTTGAGTTATGAGCTCTATCAAGTGGAGATCTGGACTTCTCCACACCAGAAAAAGTGCCATTTAGGGTCATTGGAAAGACAAATTAATATGGCATCATTTATCACAGAAAGTAAATCAATGTTAATGTAACCATTACAAAATATGAATAAACAATGATTGATCCAAAAATAAATACTGAGCCTGAATGAATCCATTTCTAAATCACAATTCTAACTTTTATAGAAACAACTTATCTGTCATTACATTAACGAATACTGACATCATAAGAAACAAAACAGTTGTATCTTTTCAGGCGAATATGCAGTTTTAAATATAACAAAGTGAACATGTAATAAGTATACATAATTCAAAACTGCTTGATGGAAGAAGAAATTCTCTAATATGTTGTTATAAGATAGTTTTGCTAGTTACAAAAAACAAGGGATCCAAAACTTACTTCAGCATCATCTTCAGGGCGTTTGATTTGATGGATAACATCAATCTTCAAATTTGAAATGCGATCAGAAAACTTTTTAAACTGAAAAAAATATTAAGACAAAAGATTTATTGAAACAGTGTATAGACAAATTAAAAAACAAAACAAAATCAAATAAACTGGAATAGAAAACACAGGCTGATATTCCTTTTACATTAATTGCTTTTAAAAAAAATTAAATAAATAATCTCAACAGTTTGTTAGACAGGGTTAGAAAAAACACAATGACAATTTTTTTCCCCATTTACTAAGTAATTTTTTTTTTAACCTTTAGTACTCTGCATTATTAGTAGTCATCCCTTTCCACTGCATTCTTTTTCAAGGCATCTAAATTGCAGTATCCTTATTGTTGACTTCACTAAAGGTGTTTTCTGTTGCCATAACAGGACATGACAACACAACTACAAAATTCAAACACACTATTGTTCAGGGATCAGAGTCACCTAAAGTGGCAGGATAAACTTTTTGTACAGCAAATGAAGTCACATACATAGTGATAAAGGTTACAAAAGAAAGAATTGAATTAAATTTCCTGTAGTTGGGCTGGGGTTTAAAGAGTTTTTTTTTATTCAAGCATGATATTAATTTTGTCATTGCTAGAAAATTTGTTTCATGTAAAAAAAAAAAAAAAAAAAGAAAAATTAATAAGTTGACAATAATACTTATTTTTTTGTAAAATAGAAAAAAAAGATTACCAGACCTCTATCTCATAGTTGTATTTTTTGTCTTATGCTAGGTCGGAGGAAGTATTTTTAATTTTATTATTATTTTGAAAACATAGCCATTTTGATCAGCTTCACTTCAATCAACTACTTGACATTTAATTGAAGCTTACTTTTTTATGCTAAAAAAAATAGTTAAACACTTAGAACAAATACTGTTAAAAAATTAAAATGAAATCAATAAGAGAAAAATAAATAAAATCCTTCAGTTTTAATTTCGATGATTTATTTTTCATGAAAAATAATAGAAACTAATGAATCGAATCGAAATTTCTAATGATGCCAACTTAATTAAATAAAAATAATATTTGTCTTTGTTCATAAAACATTTTTTAACCTATATTTTGGAAAATGAATAAGCCTGCGAAACTCATAAACAAACCACAGGACAAACGGACTAAGGGTAGAGTTTTTAGTTTTTGTGGTTGAATTATCAAAGATAAACAATACGAAGATTGCAAATTGGTGATAGAGCTAGGAACAAAGAAATATATAAACCAACAACTTAAATAAGAAACTATGCTAATTTCCAAGAATTTGTTTAATTTTATTTTTACACATTTTTGTTAAAATATAACTTAGTTGGGTTTTTTATCTAATAACTAGATAAAAAACCCAACATTAAACTAAAGAAAGTACACAACCCTGAAAACATCGCTATATAATTTTAAAAAAATTATATTTCATATTAGTAAGAGAAATTTTGAAATAATCTGAGACTTTTTAATCTGATTTTATTTTGTATTAATTATAAATAAAATTTTATTTTATTTGAACATCTCAAAATCACAACTTTTGATGAATCAACTCAACACGTGTGAAAATAGCATCGTCCAGTTTCAATAAAAGTAGCTTCTATTTTGTTATTTTCTTAATTTTAAAGTTGATGATTAAAAGAAATAATAATTACCTTAAATGTGTTTTTATTTTGATGACGAGATGATTTCCCCATTTTGGTGATGAGGAATTTTAAAACGTGCGACCAAACTTCTCGTCGCTACGACAAACCACGTGGGTGACAAGTAAAGAAGAGGTAGCCAAGGGAATTAATTTTGATAATTCCCTGACATAAAAAAGAACAAAAACTGCGGAAATGTAGTCTTCATAAATTAATTTTAGTTGCATTTTACTGTCTCTGTTATACTATAGCTAAATTATTTCATTAAATGGTCTGATGATTATTTATTCTTTATTATCAAATAGTGCAAATTAAAGACAGAAAAATTTAAAAACTATATTTCACTTTAAAGGAGATTATTTTACGGTGTCACCGGCTTAAAATTTTAAAAGTCTTGTTATCTCGTGTAAAATATTGTTTTTCCATAAATAATTTTAGTTTCGTGATTTTTTTGTAGTTGTAGCCTCTTGAACGTAACACGATTGTCACTTTTGAACATGTGATTTTATCTTGAATTTTCTTAATATTTCAAATGGTATTGTCTAACCTCAAAAGTCAACTTACACAAGTGCAGATTATTCGTAGTCGTAATATAAATGAATGAAACGTTTTTCTTAATAAACAGTAAATAGATAAATATATTTTTTAAACATATGCGCGCACATTAGTAGCAAATTTGTTCTTAAAGTCTCTTTTTTTTTTCAAACTAAAACTTAAAATTTAATTTCATAATGATTTAAACTCTTTCCAAAATCTACATTCTCCAAAAATTCAATAAGTTTCCTAAAGAAAGTTTATTTAAAACTCTGCTTTTCACTACATAACTATCAGAATATGGAAACTTCGACATGGTGTGATGATTATTAACAAGCTTGTCTCGCTAGAGATCATTTACGATTGAATAGCGAGTTCGATCCTCACTGAATGACCCATACTTTCATCTCTCTGTACCACATCTATTCTATGTTTAGAAATTCACCATAACTATCAACATCGTTGTGTGTAATATCTATCATCATGAAAAATATAATCGGCGAGTCGAGTTCAAATTCCAGCTTAGCATGAATTTAGTAGGTGGAAAATACGAATCTACCTCGTCTCTCTTCAGTTATAGATTAAATAGCAGAGTAGACTGAACTCGGAATATGTAGGTACTTTAACGGATATCAGGGCCGAAAGTGAATTCAGCAAACCAAGTTCAAATTCCTGCTTAGTCTGTGTAGTTTAAATTCGAAAAGACTGTCTTAAAATTCCTTAGCAGACGTTAATTCTGAGTGACAAAACGTAGATGTTGTATTTCACGTATTGTTTTGCTGTTTTTAAATTAAATTCCTCTTCTCTCTCCGTCTTTCGTACACTCCATATTTTTAGCTTTTTTGTAAACTAAATTCCTCTTCTCTCACCGTCTTTCGTACACTCCATCTTTCTTTTTTCAACTCCCGTCCTATGAACGCCATGATTCCGCGTTAATTTCTTTTGCCAGCTTAAAATAAACAATATATAGCTTTTACACGAGACTTTTTACGTACAGACGCCAATGAGATCATTTTTTTTTTAAACCACACGCCCCCCCCCCCCGATCTCATGATCACATCTCACGTTATATAATCATCCTTCCATCTGGGCGGGTGTCGCTCTCTTTGCGATTTCCGTAGTGTTTGGGGCTGAGCCTCATGAGAACTTCTCCAATTTTCTCCTTCATTCTCTAAATCCTCTTCAATCACTCTTAGGTCAAGAATATGCCTTGGCATACCGCCCACCTCAACATTGTTGCGCGACTGTGCCCCGGTAACCATTCCTCTTGTCCATTTTGTCGTGCAGCGGGCTCCAGTTGGCTTGACCCAAACCTCCTCTCCAATCCGTATAGATTCAGGGCCGTCAGAGCGTGTTAAACATGGTGCAACTCTAGGATGTCTCCATTGGTATGTGTAAACTGCTTTGTGTGGCACAATGTCTTCACGTTGGCCAGATTTAGGCGACATATTATACCAAAATACTGCTTCTGCAGGCGATATCCATCCTCTCTCGGCAATGACTTTTATAGTTCGATGGTTTCGTTCTACGATACCATTTCCACTAGGCCTGTACGCTGCTCTATAATATTGCCTAGTGTTCCACTTATCCAACATTGACCGAAAAACTTCCGAACGGAACGCTGCCCCATTGTCCATGAGTACCTTTTCAACTGGTCCACGCTCGAAAAAAAATTTCCTCCAGCTCCTTCGCAATGATGTCTGCCGTTGCTGCTCGAATCTCCCTCCAAATGGCGAACCGGCCAGGGCCACAATCAACTATAGTCAGGTACATTTCACCTCTATAATGCGTCACATCGATAGATAATCGCGTCCAATTGGTGTCTACTTGGATTTCTCCTAATTCGTGAACATTTGGCGACGGATCGATTGATTGACAACGGTCGCAGCTTCTAACCACCTTCTGTACAGTATCTCTTGACACCTCCGGGTAGACTTTCCGTACTAGACATAGTGTTCTATCCACTCCTACATGATGCAGTCCGTGCAACTCCTTGACCTCATCTCGGCCTGCACGGCACGTCGCTGTAATAGCTTTCTCTACTTTCATCCAACTCTTTTTCACTCTGGTTAGAGCATCAGCCTTATTTCTGTCAGAGGGCACGAACGTTACACTCAATTTTAAATTAAATTCATGAATCATTTCCCTCAGAATCCCCAAACGTCGCATGATAATTAGCTCTGCCGCTCCTTTTGTACGGATCCTTTTTCGACTGTTATCGTAAGACTGATCCAACTGCGGACAGTAACCGAATCAGTTCGAATTTCAATCTCTTTTAGACCCCATTTCAATGCGAGGTTTACACCCTTTATCGTAGCATCCAACTCAGCAACGTTGATATGGTTGTAGTCACGTTTCTTTCTTAGCGACGCTGCATCTTTGACTATCGCACCATCGATCTCAATACATACACCAGTGGCCATACTGCTTGCGTCGCACCATACAACACCCGTTTCCATTTTGGGAACATGCCATCTCTCTCGAACTGGATCGTGGTGTCGAACTTCTTCCACAACTTCCTGTACCATACCGGTTGTTTCACTATCCACTATGTCTTCCCAATCGATTTCTCCTGCTCTTCTCTTCAAATAACTGCAGGCGATTCTAAGCCATCCAGCTATTGGGTAGTGGCCCACCATTTTTCCGCAGGCAGAGAACAGTTCACGTCTGCTCATTTCCTCATGCACCTCCGGCACGTCATTCCCTCTCGCAAATACCAGATCTCCTGCTTTATCCGTATGAAGCCGAAGACCCAACGCTCCTCCTCCTTCTAATGATTCTGGTGGCTTTGCTGTTAAGCCAAAGTTGTTAAGATGATTTACAAGGTCTGCCGCTGGTACCACTGTTTCATCCACTAGTATATCATCAATATACGAATCTGTGTTTTTTTCCGATGTGTTCCTCTTTTGTTAGCACATTTTTTAGGATTTTTTTTTGACATAATTTTCAGGGGCTACATTGGTCCGAAACCCAACCTCGTTAAACAATAGGTCTGTCCCTCGTATCGAACTAACTGGTACTTCCACAGATGTCTCGCGACATGGATTTGCAAATATGCGGACCTTAGATCAACAATTTTTGATGCCGTTGTCATTTGCCTCCACTTCCTCATTGTTTCTCCACAAACGTCAATTGCATCCCCACCAGAATGACATATAATATATTTATTTAGTTCTCGATAATCGAGAACTGGCCTGACCTTGTTTTTTGTGGGTTGTTCCACCGCCATTAAGGGTAGCACACCCGTCTGAACATCCTGGTCCCACGGGGTTAAGATTCCTTTCTCAATCCACCGTTTAACTTCACTGTCGAACTCGACCTTCTTCTCCTTACTCAATTTAGCATGATAGTGACTAACGTTGTTTTTTTAATATTGGGGTTCTGAAATCCATTTCCATTCCACGGTCCACTTCTTTCCATCAAATTTTGCACCAAAGTCCTTATCTAACACTTCGCATTGATTTTTTTTTTTTTTTGCTACTCTTGCTGTTTGGTTGTATGTTCATAGCACAATCTCCTCCTCTGAACTCCACGTTACCATTTCCGTAGACGGTTACCCTCCAAGCTGGCGGATAACATCCATGCCCACAATGACATCAACACCATCAATGATCTTGTCCATCACAATTGCCTCGATTCTCAGTAACCGTCCACATACCTCCAACGTCACTGTGCTGATCCCTCTGCACACAACCTCCCGTCCATCCACTGCTCTTACAGTACTTGTAATCCTACAATCAGTCGAAAGACCCGACCGGACTAATGTTGCGGTGCTGCCAGTATCAATTAAGGCCTTAGCTCTCATGCCTTCTATTTGTGCTTCTATTGTTGGTAGTGTTCTGGTTTGCGCCATTGCTGATTTGAAGGGGTAACCGCCGGCGCACCGGTTACCCCCTGATCTTTTCCCTGTGGGCATTGTTTTACATAATGTCCCTGCTTGCCGCATCCATAGCAGGTCACCTTGATTGGTTCCCTGCAGTCTTTCAACAAGTGAGGACCCTTGCAGTTATAACATTTGCCACTAAACGGTTTGATCATTCTTGGTCTTCCATCACGCTGTTTAGGTTCTCGTTCTGCGACCGCTACTACTTCTGGTCTCCGAGTGGCTGTAAGCACTCTGGCACTTGAAATTATTTCACTCAGTTCTAGTTTCTCCACATTTGGCAACTGCTGTAGTGGCACCGAAATACTTTCCGGGAACCCATTGACAAACGTGAGCTTCACGATCTGCTCTTGTCCACTTCCTTCAAACCCTGCTAATTCCGCCAGTCGTTGTATTTTCGTTGCATACACATCAACGGCTTCGCCGCTCCATCGCGTCTTCACTAGTTTTGCATATGCAGAAAAAACTCCGTCCGTAAAGGCTGTTTTTAACTTAGCCTCTATTTTCTTTGCATCCCGTTGATCTTCATCGGTCAATTGGAGATATAAGGCCAGGGCGTCTCCTTCTAAAAACAGAGACATAAAACTTGCGAGGTCGTGGATTTTTTGCAGTCTCGCTAGCAATTTCACTTTCGCCAACCAGGCCATCAAATCACCTTCGCCACTAAATGTTTTCACCATATCGACAGTTACTTTTCGATTCCCCTCCATACCGTCACGGTGCTTTATATGTATATGCCGAAATAGCTTGTAGTTTAAATTCGAAAAGACTGTCTTAAAATTCCTTAGCAGACGTTAATTCTGAGTGACAAAACGTAGATGTTGTATTTCACGTATTGTTTTGCTGTTTTTAAATTAAATTCCTCTTCTCTCTCCGTCTTTCGTACACTCCATATTTTTAGCTTTTTTGTAGACTAAATTCCTCTTCTCTCACCGTCTTTCGTACACTCCATCTTTCTTTTTCCAACTCCCGTCCTATGAACGCCGTGATTCCGCGTTAATTTCTTTTGTCAGCTTAAAATAAACAATATATAGCTTTCACACGAGACTTTTTACGTACAGACGCCAATGAGATCATTTTTTTTTTTTTTAAACCACAGTCTGTGACATTCACTTTAGCACAAATGTTCTTGAAAATACAGGTAAGTGTTAAGGAGAATAAGGAAAGAAAGAACAAATTAAAAATGATAATGTTATAAAATAAAATAAGACATATCTCGGCTGATTTACAGGCAAATACTCAAGAGCGAGAACCGGATGTGAACGGGACAAAGCCCCGTCACAAAAATCTTTCTTTACAAATGTTTCCGACACACGTGTTCCGGTCGAAAAATAAAATAATAATTAAAGTGCTCTATTTTTCGTCCAATAAAAATGCTTCCCTCCTAATTATACTCGCTTCGTTTCTCGAGCCTGTTAAACCATAAAAAAACGCTATAAAAGGGGTCACACGGAAGTTCAGCAGCAGTCTGAACCGACAGTTCGGTTTAACTCTCTTCCTACGGGCGGGAGGAACCCGAAGGAGGCTATGCCGAAGGGCGGAGTCTCCTTCGGGGAGGTAAAACCGGCCCTGAACCCGTTTATACGGGTTCAAATGGGCTATTTTTTGGCCGAGCCTAATGGCTCGGAAATGCCCACGTTAAAAAGGCCTTGTGCCACATGACACCCTCGTGGGGGGGGGTGACTGAATATTGTCAACAGGTGGCCACAAAGGAGACCGGTCACGTTCAGCAGCTGTCAGCAGGAGACCACCAACCACCGTCAACATGTGTGAACTACTATGAGAGATCGACCAGATCCGAAAACCGGCTTATGAACTTTACCACAAGGTAGCTGTCCCTAACCCTCACGTTCCTGTTGAAATAAACCACGTAAATCTATTTCTGCTGTTGTCGTATTTCTTTCTTGCAACCATACGCTTGTCTATAACACGTCTTTTAATTTGAATCTGTAATCCTGGATTCTCCTGAACACCTGCCAAACATGTGATTTGTGTTCCTCGATGCTCTCGCTTTTCATTAGGACATCATCGAGATAGGCCACTGCAAAATCCAGACCGTTTATCATCGTGTCCATGGCCTGTTGAAAAATGGAAGGAGCAACCTTAACCCCGAACAGAAGTCTTAAAAATTTGTATAAACCCTTGTGGGTGTTTATGCTATGGTGCTTTAAGCATTCCTCGTCCACAGGTATTTGTAGATATGCATCGCTGAAGTCTCCACCATGTAACAGTCACCAGGATCATTCTCCTCCACATCCCTCGGGGACACATAATTCAGCAAATAACCCAATACCAAAACAAATGCCAACAAGAAGAACACGAGGACAACTTCCCACACGCTTCAGAGACTTTATCATGACTTAATCACCCAAATATACACGAATAACGCTCACTGTAAATCAGACCGAGATCTGGGGGAGCCTTGTTATAAAATACAATAAGACATATCTCGGCTGATTTACAGCAAATACTCAAGAGCGAGAACCGGATGTGAACGGGACAAAGCCCCGTCACAAAATGACCATTAACTTTCTTTACAAATGTTTCCGACACGTGTTCCGGTCGAAAAATAAAATAATAATTAAAGTGCTCTATTTTTCGTCCAATAAAAATGCTTCCCTCCTAATTATACTCGCTTCGTTTCTCGAGCCTGTTAAGCCATAAAACACGCTATAAAAGGGGTCACAGGGAAGATCAGCAGCAGTCAACAGGTGGCCACAAAGGAGACCGGTCACGTTCAGCAGCTGTCAGCAG